TTGAAAATATATCTATCAAATTATTGAAAATATATCTTCTGAAGGTGCACCAGATCACCACGTCATCTGTCCAGGTGTTGCCCAGGCCCAATATATGGCCACCAGTATGAAAAATCAAACATTAAAAATATCATTAAATGTGGTAAAAATGCGATTAATTTCGCTCTTTAAAGTTTAGGAAATCATATTATACTGGCCGGTCCGACCGGAAATATTGAATACAAGACCCAAAATGATTTTAGCGGTAGGAAACAGTTGAACAATAATTAAATTACGATTTTACTACAAAATACCATATTATTAACTTTTTCGATATGAACTCCAGTAAGGTTTCACAAACGTAATCTTTAAACGAAGAATTTCTCTATAATTGATTATACAGTTCTTTTTTTTCCCCAGTCTTTCTCCATGTCTTCTCTATTCTGTATCCATTTATCCATCTCTAGTTCACTTCTATCCACTCTATATCTCTACTTTACTGTTGCCGCCAATAACAACCCAAATTTATGGATTCTCCGCGGTTACCCATTATCCTTTCCGTACGGGTAATGAGTACCCGTTAATCCGTACGGTTTTGAGACATGATGAAGTTTCTTCTCCAAATGGGACTGAGTACCCGTTTCAAACGAGAAGAGTACCCAGTCTCGTCCCCTTGCCCACTCCTATATAAATACCATCGTTGAAATCCCCGAAAATTGCAAGCTATAATTAAACATGAAATATTGTATTCAAATATGATGATTTGTTATTTTGTTAGTAATGTTGTATTTTATTTAAGGACTGATATCATACAACGTTTGAAATATATAAAAAAATGTTGATTGTATACTATTTTATTCAATGTTCTAATCCTATCCCGTTATATGATAATTTGTGCTATTTATGCCATGACGCTTTCATTGACCGTTAGAGATAACGGTTAACCAAACGGTGATTAAAGCAATGTTAACTTTTGTTGAAGTGGTAGAAAATGTGGCATCCATAAAACATAAATTTTATAATTAAAAATACTAAAAACGGTTAATATATTTGTCGTTGCCCACTCCTATATCAACTTAATTTCACAATTCTTGGGGGTATGATTAATTTTTGTGGTCCATCATATTATTTTGATGCAACAGTTTTTATTCTCGCCTATATAATTGATCACGCGGCTGACATATATAGCTAGCTAGTGATGTCAAAGATTTGATTCTTTGATTAAGTTTTGAAATATGTACTTTCAAAACTTATTACAAGCGTCGGGAGGATATTGGGTGGAGTAGAAAAAGAATCTTTGATCTCAGAAGAAGTAAATGCCACAAGACCAACACAGTACTCCCCCAACTGCAAACCCAAGTTAAATAGGTGCACCGTGCATGGAAGAAAACTCTCACCAATTTTCTCTAAAGCAGACTATTGTCATGAACGGCGGGTCAAGCTCCGGCGGAAGACGTTCCAACGCTCCGAGGGACTCAACAACATCCCTATGGTGGGCGAGGACAAGCCTCTGCTGTACTACCTGGTCACCGAAGGCCGCCACGTGAGGATGAGCTTTGGCGGCTGATCCATGGAGTGAATAATTAGTGTGTCGTGTGTCGTTAGGAGGTTGTGTTTGGTTTGATCATTTCTTGTATTTGTTGTTTGTGTGGCAAAAGAGAGTCAAGTTAAGGGGGTAGGTTGAGTTAGTTTGAGTCAATGTTGGGTTTAGTTTATGAAAATCGGGGTAGTGAGAAGTTGGCGATTTATGTACTCTTGGATCATGTATTCTCTTATTATTTTTTTTTTTTTTGTGAAATAAAATATCGCTAGTTTACCCCAAAAGAGCTCGCTTAATTTATGCATGTCATGTTTTATTATTATGATTATGACTCAAACATACATGAACCATATAGAAAAAAAGCACTAGAACACCTTACCTGCCCCAAGTCAAAATAGAGTAGAAGCACAATATTCACGTAAAGAGGCTTAACCCATACATTAATCATCCAAATAAAAGCTCGCAACTCTCAAACTCAATCATTAGCACTATCCAAAAATCAAAAGATATATGTGGCACCATCAATTTCTTTAACTCTCAAACTTTGACTTGCCAATGCCAGCACACTAAGAAACGACCAAGTATGATTGCAACTCAACAATACAGTATAGTGAGTTCAGTTTTAATTGTCAACCCGAGTCCTATATGTACTGACTACTCAGCAAATTATTTATTATCTAGCGATCAACCAACGTATAGAGGAGTTGTTTGTATGCAAAGTATAAAAGAAAGCAGGTAAATGTTATGATTTTCAACTGTGAGAAAGACCACTCATGTAACCGCCCCTCTAGTCTGCAGTTAGGCCAAGTTGTAACTCCCCCAATTCGTTTCAATCGATATTTATATTGCGAAAAGTCCCGAAAGAGTTTGGAATCTCGACTAAAGCAGACCAGACCAAGAACCTCTTGAATAAACTACAAACGCAATTCGGTAAGCTTTCCTCTATTGGCTTTTGGTTCCAGTACAGAGCAATGAATCGATTTACTACTTCCAAATGAAGTTGCTCTATTGACCTATTCACAAACTATCATTCTAGGTCAAAGCAAGAATCATACAAATGTGATCAAGACTCATATAATTCTGATTAATGCCCCAATTGAATATAAATAATCAAATGTCATGTATGTGGGTTCATACAACTGCTCCTAGCATACAGATCTAGGTTTCTTCATACCAAGATGGAAGATGTGCTTAATCCATGGAGAAAGGGATAAATGCAAGGCTCGAGACGGACATCATTGTGTGAATGAGTGAAATCTTCTCCAAATCAGCAATCGATACTCCGAGGGGGAGGAATCAAGCTCCAATGGTCCTAGGTGGTTTCAAATCAGCTCGTGACTCTCCAAACGAGTTATAACCTAAGTCACGACCGTAAACGACGTCGTCCCTTCAATCCGGAAGGAAAGAGTTACGGTTGACAGCTGGGAGTTAAGGCCATCATACTCTAGCTTCGCAACATGCCATAGGACCTTGACTAGCTGATACGTGCTTTCGCTTCATGCCATAACCTAATCAATGAAGAACATTGAACTGAAGATAAAACATGATTAAGAGTGGGCCTCTTGAGACATAATTGATGGTCTATAGCATCGATGATCTAAGAGTCAAGCATTGATACTACTTGAGCTATATATGGTTGGTGCATTATAACTCCCGATGGGCCTTATGCCGAGTTGGGCTTAGTCGTTGGGGTATTATTATTTTTGGTTAATTGTTATGTTATTGTGATTATTTAGGGATATTCGTATTAGTTTATTGTGTCTTGTTGAGTAAGTTATTAGTTACCTTATTAGAGTGGGATAAGGTTAGCTATTAGGTTTTCTTGTGTTTCCCTATAAATATGTACTTTGTGGTTCAGTTATGAATAAGAAGAAGATTATTCCAGTAATTATCATAGTCGCTTAGGAGTAGAATTAAAATAATTTAGCGATTCACGACGCGTGAATTCTATCACGCGCCAATGGTTAATAATTTTCTCTACTCTTGTGTAACATCAATGGGGGTATCACTAGAATGTAATTTCTTAACAACCTATATTATACTAAGCACAATGTATATAGTAATATACTATATAATCACAAGCATCGATAAGAAATAATTCATATTGAACTAATGAGTCTCGCCCAAAACCTTCCTAAACCTACTAGGACACAGTTTCTCTCACTTAGGGATGAAACAAGGCCTTTTGGATCTTTATTTGAGCTTGGGCTTAAGTGGCAGCGGGGTGACGGTTCTGGCTGACACATGTTTTCTTCGTGGTTTGAGCTCTTTTGCCCATAAGCAACCTCTCATGAAGATTTTTTCGTGATTTGACCAAATTTGCTTGCCGTTTGACGTGGTAGGGAACCCATTGTAAGATAAAAGATATTAGATACTCAGAAAGTAAACAAGATGTATATGCTCTGGAATTCCTTATAATGTACTCAATAACATACTAAGGCACCACATGATCATATTTACTCGTTATGCATGTTGGTTCAGTTTTTATGTTATGGAAGAATGGTATTAAGAGTAGGACTGACCCTTTTGCTCGCACTCAGGATTTGAAGAAGCACTAGAGTATAATAGGGATTCATCATTTCACAACAAGGATTAGTGGATCCAGAGGACTCCAAGATGAAGTTAGTAAAGTTCAGTACTTGGTGGGACATAAGACTTTATGTGATTTTTCAGATGGATGTTTCAAAGTCAAATTTTTCAAGTATGTTCATGTTTCAATGTTGTTTTGTATTTATCACCTCTGTTGTTGTTCAACGTATTTCAATAATGATTTATGATTAAGGGAATTTTGGTAAAAAGCAGTACCTGACCGTGTTAGGTTGTTACAGAAACCAACCAGAAGGGAGGAATCGACACTAAAAATGGCTACACAGGCCCTGTTTTCTCTATTGTGGCTGCCGATTCCTGTGGTATTTTGGGGACTTTGTTTTGATCAATGATAGCCCAGAAACCCTTACCCATGGCTTACTAGTTCTTTAGGTGCGTAGGTATGTGAACCCTAGGGGTTATAGTCATTTAAAACTCGATGTCTGGTTTAATGCGATTGTTTTTTTTTTCATATGTGCTGATTCTTGATTTCCTCTATTTTGTTATTTGTCCATTTGGATGAATGCTTGGTCAACCTTGCACTCTTCGAGGTGCAAGGATCGAAATCCAAGTCGTGTTGGATTAGACAAGACATGGCGGTCCTATTCGATCGATCCTTCAATCCAACGACGTGATGCCTCAAGGGAGGAATCCATAGGGTCCTTATCTCCCATTAATTCGGGTAAATGCTTTGACACAAGGTGATATCGAATAGAATACAAAATTGGAAGCTCATATGTTGCCAATTATTGAGGGATACGCGACTATGCAATCTAGATGGAGCTTTCCTATGCAATTTCTTCCTTCTCTGCTATCTGGTCCATCCAACTTAGCTATATGTTCACTTTTATGTGCACTCTTTTCTTTTTGTTTTTGTTTTCCAAAACTAGAGGCACCTCAACCCCCTACATTATTTTTTTCTAAATAAACTGGAACCGTACCTCACTACCAAAGTAAGGTTTATGCGAGAGGCCCTAGGGAAATACGATCCTGGATTTCGGGCCACCTAAATTTGGTATGTGCAGCAATCAATGACATCAGTATCAAATATGAGAGTGATAAACACTATAAATTGAGTGTCATCAGAAATACCCCACACCTGAACTTTGTTTCTCCCCAAGCAAATACTACTCATGATCGTACAACTCAATGAAAACCCGACAATTATCACTCAACCACAATCTTAGGTTGTGGATCAAAAGTAAACTTACAACGTCAATAATAGCATGAGAGACTCCTCTCAAAACAATAGGGTGAAGTTTTTGAAAAACGTTTTTATCTTTGAATGCTTCTACCATCAACTTGACATTCCTTTAAGCACTTTTGCCTTCTTAAAAAACATACTCATTTTCTTATCTTGCAAACATAATTTTTTCTCCTTTTCTAGACTTCTCTGTGTGGAGAGCTCACTAAAGCATTAGACCTTTATTAGTTGAGAAAGATCTCTAAGCTCCTACACCGCAATTTGAGCGGAGGATCAATTAAATAAGGGGTTTCGAAAGCTCTATCCATTCCCTTAAGAACACATCCTCAAGTTTTCTATCAATTAGACGAGTGGAGATTTTACTTGTACTAGAGAGGAACTAGCATCACCTTGTAGGATTTCCTCACTAAAGCTCAATTTTTATCTTGTCCAAAACCCGAATTATTGCAATAAAAAAATGCATCACATGTTGGGCTTACCACACATAATTTCTCAGCATAACATGCCAATTTTTCAAAAAATACAAGGTCTTGATGGTTAGATCTTTGCATCCATAGAAGATACAGTTCACCCTATTGAAAAAACTTTTAAAAGGGAAAAATACTATGCATAATCAGAAATCCATGAATAGATCAAACAACATATTATCCAAACATATCAAATGGTCATTTCGTCCCTTTGACTATCACATCCTTCATAGTCACTACACTATCCTTCCTATACCAAGTGATGATCCAAAGTAAGATGAGAAGTGATCATGCTTGTAGGGGATGGTTAAAAGTCATTAGATGGAAAAACATCTTTAGTAATTCCCAAAAATTTAGACAAATACCACAATTATTTAGCATTGGGAAAATTTTCAAATTTGAACGACTAATCAAATAGCAAGTATAAAGCATAACAAGGTAAATCATCTCAACACATTTCCACCCCAAACTTTAAAATGCACATTGTCTTCAATGGAGAAAATAATAGTGAGATATGGGAAGATTTGGAGTGGGTTAGCTTGGTTGTCTTACTTAATTCAAGTTCATAGGAAGTAGCTAGTTTTCCTTGATTGCATACGAAGACTCGAAATGTCAAATAAAATATAGAGAAAAACATATAGCTCAAATAGAGGCATATATATTTGCTACTTCTCCGGGTCCATTGCATGGAAATAGGATTTTGAACTTCCTACCAAACTCCTGCATCCAAAAATGGCCCCATTGTTGCTCTGCCTCTACTCTCTGTCCCCAAGCTTGAGTCTCCTCGTGCTATGTCTATCTCTCCTACTCGAGGGCATCTCAGTGACGCTCTTTCAGGCTATTGTATGCAAGTAAATTCTCCTCCTGTCTCTCCACAACTGCTCTCAAAGATGGTATCTCAGCTACATAGCTCCCATATCGTGGTATGCTGCTACTGGTGGGTGGCCAACTCTATATCCTTGCTGCTCATGACTTCTTTTTAAATGCTCTGCTAGTCTCCATGCCCCCGTCCATGATGAGTAGTAAGGGCAATCATCTCTAGCCAGATCCACTCCAAAAATGAATGCCGACAATATCAGCCCATGTCTCTCTAGAGCGTCACAAAGAGAAAAACCATACTCCTCTCGATGATCTTCGATGTGCTAGACTATAGTAAGAATATAGCCACCATCTGGAAGTCCCCTCGGAGAAGTAACGATGGTAAACCCGAGAAAGTTATCCAATATCAACCATGCTAGATGTAGCCACCAGTTGTGAAGAAGAGCATGATATGGAATCATGTCACAGATGGTCAACTTGCATACATCGCCGCTCTACCTCATGTGAAAACCATTTCATTTGAAGTAGTGCACGAACCTCATAAATGGATGACAGATAGAGGGTGGTATCGAATGTCCCACAAAAAGCTGAGCCCCTTGATTCCTTGTGATGGTCTTCCATAACTCATGGAAGATTTCTGCTTGCTCTGATGGATCTCAGTAATCTACAAGGCTAGCATCATAGAGTGTTCCTCTCATGTGTAGGCAGGAATCCTTAGCTTCCTCACACAACCATAATAACTCTCTATGAAGTGTCTTCCAGCCAATCTATATGAGATGCAAAGCTAGCTCTAGCTACTTGCTGAGGATACTGTCAATGTGGCAAGGAACTCCCTCATGAGCACATCATGCCTCTCTCCTCGAATGTTGAACTATGACAAGTGACCAACATTATCTAGCCTATATCTCATTGTTGCTCCCCATGCTTGGTATTGGCCAAAATCCGACCAATCAAGTTGCTCATGTGGATCCCCAAGTATGTATCTCCACTTCTCTATCTTCTTTGGACTATAACTGTTGAGTGGAAACTGAAGGAAAGGATGCAGGGGTGACTCTGGTGCCTCCTCTTGAATCTTAAGCTAGCTATGAATCTGGAGCACCTCAGTTCCTTGTAGCAATTGTCCACATCTATTCCTTGTGACACACGTCAGCGACACATCAACCACATTTGCCGCGTAGGTGCCATGTCATAATTTAATTTAAAAATAAATAAATAAAGTAATATATTAATTCCTCCTTTCCCCCTCCCACCACTCGTCGTTGCCCATCATCAATTAGAGCAGGCCATCTGCTCGGCCTGAGATATACAGCGTCATTGGCTGGATTTTCGCCAACCCAAACCCCAAATCCTTTTGTCGCAATGTTGCAATCATTTATCCTTCCTTTCCGTGCGCCAAAAAAAATTGAGTGGTCGAGATGCCCCAAATCTTTTTGAGATCCATTCCCTGAACCCCGCTTCAGTACCTCCGGCTCCACCTCCAATTATATACCCTTATTCAACAGATGCAAAGCCTATACATCCACAATTTCGTCCCAACAAACCCAGTTGCGTTACGACTTTGGAAACTCAGAAGACCATATCTTCACAAATCCCTTCTTCAATTTGGGGAAGCGGTCGATGGAAGGTTGCAAAGGAAGGAGGGAGTGACCGTGCAAAGTGATGACGACAACCATCGAACAGTAAGAATGACGATGCTGCTCTCTCCCATCGATTCACCGGAGGAAATAGGAATTTAGCAGCAGCTGCTGCTCTTCCATCAATCGGCCTGCAAAATGAGGGATCCACAAACCACAGCTTCTAAGAAAAAGGGGAATCTGGATCTGTTGCTTCTCTTCATCATCTTTCTGGGTTCGGCGGAGCAAGGAGGGGAGAGTAGCAGAGGAATACGAAGAGAGATGGGAGAGTACCAAAGGAAGAGAGATGGAGAGGAAGACCAATTGTTTTTCTAATATTTTATGTTTTTATATTTTTCTGTTAATCTATGGAAATGGTGGGGACGACATATTGCCAACTCAGCAATTCAATCAGTCCAGTCAGACTGTTACTTGACGCCAGTAGAACATTGGACGGAATTGGACATTTATTATATTTTGATAGATTTTGCTAAGTGTCATAAACGTGATAGTTGTGGCTATGGAAGTGTATTTTGCCAATAAACAAAAGACCTCTAAAAAGACAAGGGACTTTGCAGGACTTTGCACAACTCCGTTTTAATATGGCAGAAGGAATGCATTTCACTTTTAATAAAACTTGTGATTTAGGAATTACAGTATTTTAACTCGATTGGGTATTTTGATCCAAATGTCTTGACATATATGAGTATTGAGTTGGATTCAAATAATCCAAAATAATAATAATTTGTTTAATTTGAGTTGAGTCGAGTCCAACACCCAAATGAGCATTTGAGTATAAAGATTGTACTCAACAAAGACAATGAGCAGTAACGAGTAGAAATTCTGCCATGAGTAATGGTGACATCCTGAAAATCCTTAGTGTGTGTTTGGATAGAAGGATTTGGATTTTCAAATACAAAATAATTTGTTTGGATATTAATTACATATGATATTTGGATTTGTACCACATTCATGGGGTGTTCTCGAAATATATGTATGACATACCGGACCGTTGCTTAGATAGCACGCAATATCGTGTATGTCACGATTGGTGTCGGACGCGGTCACCACTACTCCTTGTAGATGGAGAGAGTATGTCATGTTACTCATCGTAGATGAGGAGGTTATGTTCATGATACGTTGGTGTCGGACGGTTGTGCTAGTTAGGTCGAGGGTGGGATGCCATTTTAATTAGTTATAAAATATTTTTATGATGTATAATAATTATATATTTTTTTTATGTTGGGTTGGGTTTTTACTTAAAAATATTGTCAACCCTACCCAACCCAATTAGAAACAAACCGTAGGGTTTAAATTTTTTTGGATGGGTTTGGGTTTGATAATTCCCAAACCGTAGTGCATGGGTCGGGTGATTAAAATGGTTAAACCCGAACCAACCGACACATGTACACCCCTAAAGAGAGTGAGTGATTCATTCTTGTTCTTGCAGGTTCTTATCTATGCTGGTGGGGACCTATGTTGCCCTGTTGTGTGTTCCTTTGACTTGAGTTCTAAGCATGGTCGGTTGTGATTGATTGGTGGCCCTGTTGAGACTTGCATTGATTGTGGATAGAATGAGAACTTTTTATTTGCCCATTTTTTTATGCAATTGAATGTCATTTGTGGTGGATGTCGGAATTGTTTGAGACGGTTCGAGTGTCGATGCCCAAATAGTCATTTGAGATTCATAGCCTTGTGCCTTTTGCAATGTCCCCTAGCTATTTTGTAGGTTGAAATATTACCTAGGTTGAGAATGGTTTGCTTGGGGACAAGCAAACGTCTAAGTGTGGGGGAGTGATTCGGGCCCAAATGTACACATTTTACCCCTCATTTCTTATTCGTTTAGCTTAATATTTCATCGTTCCTCGACATATTTCACGCTAGGTTGTGCTTGTTTTGATACATTTCAGGTCCTAGCATGTGTGGAAGGGTTGAGGACGAGTTTTGGGATAATTGGAGGCCAAAAAGTACAAAAAACCGAAGAAAAGTCCGAAGTCCGTGACAATTGCCTAATAACAGTGAAGTGAAGGCGTCTAGGAAACAACCGTAGTTCACGATCGGACAAGGCAGTTCACGACGGAGGCCGATGCGATAACCCTTCAGAGGCGGCAGGTGGGCCAATCATCCGCCATCGCCGGTGAGTAGAGGGCGACAATAACCGCGCCCTCAGTGACCAGAAGACAGTGCAAACGTATGTGTTCGTTGGCCAGCCTCGTACCGCGGAAATACAAATCCATCTTGTACCTTGGATACATCGACGGGCCCATGGCGGCGGCGGCAATGGTCTCGATCCGCTTCTTCAGCTTCCCAATCCAATCCATCTCTGTGCAAGTGATGTTGGTAATTAAGGATGAGATGATGTTGGAATCGTCATGAATATTAATACAAACAGCCTTTACAAGGACGGTGATAGTGATCGGGGAGCCGATCATCGGCGGGAACTCCAAGTGGGCTATCGCCGGCACACCGGCCTGGATCTCGTAAAATTTCAGGCTCCGTTGGTTGTCCATCTTCCTTTTCCCGAGCCGTAGCTCTTGCCTTTCGATCCCGATTCCATAGTCAGACCTGATCATCGCCTTCACTTGTTCCACTGTTGTGCCGGCGTGGAGCTTATAGTGCAAAAGCCTCTCCATCATCAGATATCTGGGTTGTTTTAGCCCTACGTACAGCTCTACAACACACGCCTCCTCCTCCTCCATTGTAGAATTTTGTATAGCTAATATATGCACACATGCAAGCTAATTATATAGCAGCACGTACGTACCTCTAAATCTATATATATATTTCTGCCTGAAATCCTTGCTACTTACCCGATCCAATGACCTAAATAATCTCCGCGCTGTTACACGACACGATCGAGGTGGGCAACTAACTTTGACGACGTACAAATTAATATTACAATTTAACAACGTAGTATAGGACCTAGATGATCTCCGCTCTGTTAGGCAACAAACTCTGACCACGTACCAGCCATGCAAATAGGACATTTTACGCGTCAAGAGTATTTATACCACGCACGCACGCTAACTATTCATTAGCTAGCTAGCTAGTAGCATTAATGATGGAGGAGGTGCAGGCTAGTGCAGAGATGGCGGTGGAGTTATACATAGCCACGCGCCATAGATCTGCGGCGCAAAAGATCGTGCACTACGACGACTGCCGGCCCTCTGAAACCGTCGGAGAAGTGAAGGGCAGAATCGAAGCTAAATACGGAATAGCCATCCGGAGACAGGCTCTGTGGTTGGGTCCCAAGTTGATGCGTAACCACAGGACTCTGGCATCCTACAAAATCCATCCCGCAGTACCGGCAATCGCCCACCTCGAGATCGCCAATGACGACGACGGCGGCGAAGAAACGATCATCACTGTCACCCTCCGTTCCCTCTCTTTCCCGACTCAGTCGAGGGTCAAGACCCTCACTTGCAAGGAAACCGATACGGTTGGCGAGCTGAGGAAGCGCATCCTCGCCAGGTTTTCTGGCCACTCCAGGTTCGACATAGAGTTGTTCTTCGATGGCACGATGCTAGGGGAGGTCGACGCACCATTGCTGCATTATTTGGTGTCTCATGGTGCCGTTATTAGTGTGCATTACGAGGCTGGGCCCCGAGTTGATTCCTCCGAGAGAGACGCTACGGAAAACCTTTTGTTATTTTACTCGTTGCAAGCTTCATCATGAATTGACGATTTTTTATTTTTATTTTTATTACTGATTGTAATTAGTTTATGCATGCTGCATGTGTTTTGGTTTGTGGTATTTAGTATTATTTGATTTGTCCGTCAATAAGCCCCCCTTGAAGGATTAATAAACCTCTCTATGAAAATCACATCAAATCTCAATCCTAGTATGAGTATCGAATATCTTTATTAGACCTCTATGATTCAGAAATCCGCAAAAAAAATCATAATTTACTTCCAAATTTATGGATTCGTTAAATTATAGCCAAAATATTTTTCTCCAAACCATCCCTTAGAATGACATCGTTATTCATCATAACTAAGCCTCCTTACAGAAAAGGGTGGTTATGAACAATCAACCTCCGATACACACACAACTTGGATGATACAAACTAAGACTCAAACCACGTCCATTTTTACGGCAGTTCAAATAAATATATTCTTCAAAACCATGTTTTATCGAATCAGAATGATAACACAATGCTACAAAGCATCATTTTCGGGGTTGCGTCTTGTCTAATTGGTTACAATTCTTGTCTTTGATGGAAGAGATCACGGTTCAAATCCTAGCATTGATATCTTTTTATATGAAATAAAAAATTGATTGTGTAGACGAGTATACCCTAAAAAATTGATTGTGTAGACGAGTATACCCTTCCTACTGTCACTCTCGTTGCAGGAAATTTGAAATGGAGCAAATCAACTTCTTTAAAATGTATTATAAGTAGTGTAGATATTTCTAAGAGTCCCTCTCAGAATTCCTTCCACCTCACTCAACAATTAAGCGAAGGTGAAGGTCCCTTCTTGTAACTAGGTTTCCATAAACAGTAGCTAAGAGGGCTACGAGAAGAAAGTTGGTAATGAATTAAACTTTTACTACCAAAGTCTGCATTGGTGTAAATTTTTCCATAAGTTATTAAGCCACTTACTATATTTGTGAACATTTCCTACATTTCAATAATGTTTTCATTTTCACTCATTTTGAATAATTCATATTCTCTTACTAGCATTCTATTCTTGGTGTCTTTAATTTGATACCTACTTTCATATGTAGCCTCCACACTGTCCTAGATCGCTTTTGAGGTTTTGCACATTGTTACTTCGCTGTACTCTTCTCTTCAAATGTCACATTTAAGGATGTGCTTGGCTTTGACGTTGATTTGTAAACTTACCAGATCTTTTTCTGACCAACTTTTGTCATCGTTCTCAACTTGCTCTTGTCTTCTTTTGATATTGATCCGGACCTTCAAGTCATAGGCTTGTAGGAAATCTTCCATGCAACCTTTCCAAAAGGCATAGCTATTGTCGTTGAGTTTTGGTGGTCATGTTGCAAACTATCCTTCAGCATGCGTGATTGGAGGCAAACGACTCATCATTCTGGTTGATGAGCTTGTAGCTTCCATCCTTGGATCTTGTTCCTCATGAGAGACATGCTCTGATACCAATTGTAGGACACGTGTAGAACATAAATTATTTTGTAAATACGAGAAATGAAATCATATTAGTTATGGATCGGTCATCTTGAGTTGTGGGTTGGGCTTGATCCGTTGCTAAAGCCAAGGAGTTTAACGAGATGGGCTTTGGCCATTATTTGATTGTCTTCAACCTTAGACCAACAAGGTTGTGTACCTATTGAGAAGCAAATACAAGATAGAGGAAAGCAAGGAGAGAAACATGTACACTTGTTATTTTGTTGACCGAGTTCAACCTATTAATTATGTCTCGGCTCGAAGGTGGCTCCCCCTTTGAGACCTAGTGTCTAGGTTTTTATCTTATTTGGATCTAGCTCCAAGTTGAGTCCCCTTTGGGTGGAACTCAAACTCTTGACAAGAATAGAGAAATATACCTCATTCTCCTTCCTCACAAGCGCTCTCACTAGCTAAAGATAGGAACTACAAAACCACTCAAGCAATTTTTTTTTTTTTTTTGACAAAAGATATTCATATATAGAATTAAAGAGAGATCATTACATCCTGGAATCTAGCCAGGACCGAAAATCAAAAACACAGCTCATAGCCGGAGACAAAGAAAGGGCTTTTCTAGCCACCCTATGGGCTACCCTATTGTTATTCCGACCTATAAACCGCACAGCTAACCCCGGATTCGAGAGAAAATAATGCAGAACTTCTTCTAGAATAGCTCCCACCCTGTTATCCCCAGCCTGCCGCGCCACAATCTTATCAATAATCACTTTGGCATCTCCTTCAAACCTCACTTGAGCAAACCCCAGCCCTAAGCACCAGCCAATCGCCTCCCGAAGAGTTAGCAATTCAATCACCATAGGATCACTTAGGTCAGGAAATTGAATCCCCCTAGCTAGAATGACCTCCTGGGATGAGGTCATAAGCACCATGCCCCCAGCCGAGGGACCCCCCTGCCTGGTAGCCCCATCCCAACGGCAGATGACCCTGGAATCGCCAGGCGGGTTCGCCAGGATACTAGGTGGGTTACTCAAAGGGGATATCCGCTCCCTGGGCAAGCTCAACCATTCCTCACACTGCTGGTAAAACTGCTGCATTAAAGCTAGGATCCCGAACTGTTTGCCCTCAAAGACAACCCAATTCCGAGACCGCCAAATCCGCCAGAGGATCGCTACCAGCGCCATAAACACCTCTGGCTGATGAATGAGATTCAGCATCCTCTTTAGAAGCAGGGGAAAAGTATGGTAAGGTAATCCTTGACCCAAATATTCCAAACCCGAGAGGTCCCACAAAGCTCGTGCCACCGGGCAAAAGAGAAAAAGATGCTCCAAGGTCTCCTTTTCCGCCCAACAAACCGGGCATCTGGGATGCACTTGGACCTCCCTTTCAATTAGGGCTTCTGTAGTGGGTAGGATTCGATTTACAAGCTGCCAGAGGAATACCTTCAGCTTTGGCGGGATAGGAGCCTCCCAAATACGGATCCAACTAGGCTTATCCATCCAGCTTGCCAACGAGCGCCACCCTCCCTTCTGTTTATCCAGCAGAACTGCAAGGTGATAAGCTGTTTTAACAGAGAATTGACCATCTGCAGTGTCATGCCAGATAAGCCGGTCTAGTACGTGATGCCTAGGTAAAGGGATTGCCTTGATTGCATGACAAGTGGGGGGATCAAACCACTGTTCCAACTTGGAATCACACCACCGTCCCTCACCCGGGCACATTACCTCAGAGACACATAGTTCCCTGTCCTCTGGGAGAATTTGAGGATTATAAACCAGCTCAGAAGGATGTAAGCTAGGGATCCAGTTGGATTGCAGAAGAGAAGCGGTCTGACCATCCCCAATCTGCCAACGGAGACCCTTCTCCAGCAAACTTCTTCCAAACAGGATACTCTGCCAACCCCAGGAAGGACGCGACCGAGCCGTGGCCGAAAGGAACGTACCTTGCGGAAAGTATTTCCCTTTGTAGACTTGCGCCAAAAGGGACTGTGGTTCACTCAGGATACGCCACCCAATCTTAGCCAAGAGAGCCTGATTAGAATGCTCGAACCGACGGAACCCCATACCACCGTCATGCTTACTCCGGCACATATTACGCCACGACATCCAACGAATTTTAGAATGTTCACCTTCAACGCCCCACCAGAACCGAGCAAGATGCTTATCAAGGAGGCGACAGAGGGAGCTTAAAACATGACATGACATGCAGGGGTAAGGCTAAGGCTACCGATTTAATCAAGGTTTCCTTTGCTGCCCAAGAAAGAGACCGTTGTTTCCAACCCTGCAGTCTTGCTAATAATTTCTCCTCCAGGTAGCGGAAGGTCGCCATCTTTGAGCGGGCTATCAGCGTTGGCAGCCCAAGATACTTGTCATGGACGCCCACAGCCCCTACCCCCAGGATCTGGGCCAGGAACTCTTGGTCTGGTATGGCTATATTCTTACTAAAGCACACTGCCGACTTGCCCAGATTAATCCTCTGCCCACTAAGTTCCTCATACTCATTCAACACTTCAATCAGATTTTCACATTCCTGGAGCGAGCCACGCAAGAACAGATATGAGTCATCCGCGAAGAACAGGTGGGAAATTCTCGGAGCACGAGGAGCCACCTTCACACCTTCCAATTTGTGTTCAGCAATAGCCTTTCGCAACAGAGCGGCAAATCCCTCAGTACATAGCACAAATAACAAAGGGGAAAGCGGATCCCCTTGCCTAAGACCCCTAGAGGGAGAGAAATACCCCGTGGGAGTACCATTCATTAAAACCGAAAAAGAGGTAGAAGTGAGGCACTCCCTGATCCAACCCCTCCAGGTAGAATTAAAGCCCATTTTCTCCAGAACCGCAAGAAGAAAGGGCCATTCGACTCTATCATAGGCCTTCTCCATATCAACCTTTAGAGCCATGTACCCTTTCTTACCTTGCTTTTTAGTCTTGAGATAATGCATCAACTCATGCCCAAGGAGGATGTTATCCACTATCTGCCGCTCTTTAATGAAAGCATTTTGTCCTTCCGAAATTATATTCGGTAAGAGACAGGCCAGACGATCTGCCATGATTTTGGTAATAACTTTATAGATGAATTGGCACAGACTGATCGGACGCAGTTGGCGGAGGTTCTCTACCGCTTCCACCTTAGGAATCAACGTCAGCCACGTGTGATTAAAGCTCCTCAGCATCTTACTCGTCGAGAAGAAGGAGCGTACTGCATCGATCACTGAGTCACCCACTACGTCCCAGAATGCTTTAAAGAATTTCCCCGTGAAACCATCCGATCCTGGGGCCTTTTTTGACCCTATAGCAAACACAGTTCGTCGAACATCATTAGGCTGGACCGGAGCCGTGAGCTCAGCATTCATCTCAGTAGAAACACTTCGAGCTATCGGGAGGTTTGCCACCCTGTCAGGCATATTCCCCACCTGATTCACTGAAGTGAATAAATGCTGGTAAAAAGAACTCGCCATATCTGCCTTCCCAGCCTCATCAGTGATCCACTCCCCAGAGTCACTACGAAGGCCAGCAACAAAATTCTTCTTTCTTCTAATCCTAGTGACCGTATGGAAGTAAGAGGTATTCTGGTCTCCTTTTTTCAGCCAATTGACCCGAGATTTTTGTTGCCAGTATATTTCTTCTGCCTCCCATTGCCTAGATAACTCCATCTCCAGGGGCCTGATTGCATCCCAATCAATTGGGTGGATAAGTTTAATCCGGTCAATTTCCGCCTGGAGGGTTCGAATATTCCGCAGGGAATTAGTGGTACCCGCCCTGCTCCAGTCATATAGCAAGTGGCGAAGCTTCTTCAGCCGCTCCCATAGCTGGAACATAGGCGTGCCTTGGACTTCGGGATTATCAGCCCAGCGAGCATCAAATCGAAATAACGGGCGACTATGGTGTCGGTATGGTTGGTCCGAGAGAAGGAGGGCGCGATGGTCCGAACCCTGGTCAGTGAAGTGTTTTACCATTGTTTCCGGAAACTGAGTAATCCATGACTGGGAGCAAAGGGCTCGATCCAATCGTTCACGAATACAGGCAACTCCCATGCGCCTATTAGTCCAAGTAAATTGGTCTCCCTGGAAACCAGGATCAAGTAAGCCAAGTTCAAGGATAAAATTGCGCAGACTAAGGTCCTGAGCAGCGTTCCAAGCATTCCCACCATCTTTCTCACTCTCATGGAGAGTAGCGTTAAAATCACCAATCACAACATAGGGGAGCCGGATACTATTACAGATTACTTGTAATTGGGTCAATTGCGCATTCCGAGTGACAACATCACAGCTAATGTAAACAGAGACCACAACATAAGAACGATCACTTTCATTAATCTTCGTGCAAATACAAAAATTTGAATAAAAGAACACTGAGGCATCAACCCCAGGGGCCCAAGCAACTACCAACCCACCAGATGCATCAACAGCATCAACAAAGAAACAATGAGACTGAAGGAAACCTAATCCCCGCAAGCGCCGGGTAACTACACGCCGGCTCGATCGTGTTTCCGAGAAGAACACGAGATCCGGTTTATTAGAATGCACTAACCCTACAGCAGTTTGGAATGTGAGGGATGGCCCAATTCCTCTCACATTCCAGGCCAGAAGCCTCATTTATTTGGTTGGGGCCATTCGAGGCTGGCTTCCTCCACCTTTTCCTTTCCATCCTTATTCTCATCATTTTCTTCAACAAACTGCTTTTTGGGAGTCGGAAATTCCGTCATTTCCCCATCGATCTCGTCAAAATGACGTTTCTTCACACCAGCCCCTATCTCCGAAAAATTACTGCCATATTCATCCAGGGGGTTACTAGCAGCTAAGTCAACATCTGTGACCAGCAAGTCACTACGAGCCTGAGCTTGGGAGTGACCCGTACTGCCCTTATCATCATTCTCCTTCATTTCCAGCCCCCGTTCAAAAGCTCTCACCACTTGACTAACCCGGGACGTCTTAATCAGCCGTTTCAGCACCCCTGACGCCGAAGGAACTCGGCGTCGAAGCTCATAGATTTTGGCTTCGTCCTCCGAAAGAGTGTCATCCGATTCCACGGACCCCTCCTTGTGTATGGTCGAGGAAGGAGAGGTTTTGGGCGACGGTGGCAGTTCCATTTCGGCTACATATGCCTGCCCCGCTTCACGAACCCGTACATGCTCTTTCGGCTCCACCATGGCCATTTTCTTGGGCTTACTGGATCAGGCCAGCCCACCATTCGATTTCCCCATTCTGCCTTTGGCCTTTGGGTCCAACTGACAAATTGGGGACAGCTGCATCAATTGGGCCGGCCCATTCGTTCTGTTGGGGCCCGGCCGAATATGTTCGCCCTTCTTCTTGTCTTTCAGTTTGGCTGTTGGAACAGCCTGGAATCGGGGAAGTTGTGGCGTCGGCAGCACACACGGGGCTGATTGCCGAAGCGGTGGCCGATCATCCTTCTGCCTGTTAACCGGGACATGTTGGACCACGAACTCCTCCTCGGACTCGTCTTCTAGAATGAGACGGTGGCGACGGGAAGCCTCATCTGTTTCCTCCAGAGATGGTACATCAGAGGATGGCTGAAGCGTGCGCCGGGTCGCACTCTTCCCTTTGTGTTCCAAAGCAGCAGCGGGGGTCGTCCCCTGGTCAATTTTTTTCGCCCGACCACTCCTTCCCCGTCGGCGCGGCAGCGGGATCGGGTCTCGACATTTATCTATCTCCATCGGGCTGCCACCTCTTTCCTCCTTCCCTTTACCACGGCGGATCTGCCTTCCCAGGGGGAATTTGGGGGCCGCCTTTGGAATTGGGAATTTGAGGGGGCTTCTCCCCAGTTTGGCCTGGCGCTCGGCCTGTTTAGTGGTGGTGAACGGAGCATCGGACGATCCCATCCACAGTGGCTTGTCATCCACCGCGCGATGGTTATTAGGAATCGGCTCTTGCCTCGGCATGGTACCCGAGCGCCTTATCCCTCGATCTTCCTGGCCAGTTTTTTGCTGGACATTTGAATTGATCCAGACTGATTTGGGATGTCCAGAGAACCGCTGTACATGGTCCTCTTCCTCGAAGATTTTTCTTCCCATTTTTTTGGTCGTCATGTGAGGACCAAACCGCTCCTTACGTGCTGGCGGATCAAACATACAATTTTGACGAAAGTGTCCCACACGCCCGCAGTTATAGCAAAAACTGGGTAAGTGCTCATACTTAAACCGAATCCAAAAAGATCCCGTTTCTTCATTGGTTGCCCAAATCTGGAATCTTAATGGTTTGGAAAAATCGATGAGGGTCTTGACTTTGATGAAAGTATTGGCAGTATCCGTGCAGGAGAAAATGCCCGCTTCAAGAACCCGGCCAAGAGTGGAGCTCGCCACCTTTCGTCCAAATTGTTGAGTGCAGCATTCTTCTCTCACGTCCCACATTTGGACTCTGAATGGCGCTACTGCCAACTCATCAAAAGTTCGAGCAGTGATGCTAGGCGTCCAGGTCCGCAGGTGAAGGATTTTGTCATTGATCACCCATGGCGTGCGCTGGAGCACCCAATTTTTCGCCGTTTCAGTTGGGAGGACGAACTCGTACAATCCCTGTGCCGCCTCCCTCACTTTGATTCGTCCCTGGCCTTGCCATGGGTTATTGATGGCTTCACGTAGCTCAATTGTAGTAAGCCGATCCTCAGTGAAGAGGCGGCCAAGCAGCATCCTTGATCGGCGAACCCTGTCGGATTGAATCTCTGTTAGCGAAAATTCCACGACCTGGTCACTGGCAATGCGAGCCATGGTAGCCGACTGCAACAGAGAAACCAGTTTCAGCTCACAGGAAGTAATAATGGCCGAAGCCTCGCTAGTTGGCACCCAAGGGTAGCTCGAGAGATTGAAAGAAAACGTTCTGGTAGGAATATCCACTACCCATAAACATAGAAAGAGTTCCGAATTAGAGAGCTCCCACTTACCAGAGTATGTCTCTTGCTTAATATGGTATCCGCAGCTCCTAGGCACCCAACCCTCCTCTCTGTCTTTTTGGTGGAGAGAAATAAGGTTGGACGGCTGTGTTATATAAGCAGGGTACGTACGAGACTTCTCCTGGTGTGAGAGTTCAAATTGGAAAAGGGAACTTTGATAAACCAATTTAGATAACCGCTTAGTTGGGTTTTCAAATCCCGTATAGATACGGCGGAGCAGAAAATCCCCCTGGCCGTTAAACAGTCCCGGGATTAGCGCGATTCCGCTACTCCTACGCGAGCCAGCCACCTTTCCTAGTCGCGCACATTTCGGGGAGAAAACCGGCCGGAGGAAGGGTGAAGAGCACAGCTCCGGCGACGGTCTACGGCGGATATTTATAATCAACGCCTTAGTATTAACTTGAATCGAACTCGCCCCATTGCGGGATCTGAATTCGGAGCTCGCCCCATTTCGGGATCTAAGCTCACAGGTGGGTGTCTCAGACTTTGAAACCAGTGCTTCTGTCGGAGCTATCCGCCCCTGCAGGAAGTTCATCTGGCTCTGCTCCTCCTGTGTGTCCGTATCGGCTTCCTCCGGCGACGGTAAATAGAACCGCCACATCACTCGTCTTGATTGACGCCGTCGTTTAGGTTGAAGGAGATCTTGGATGTGATTACGTGCTTGGGTATGGCTTCTTTTCCGCTTCCCAGGCTCAACTCTGGCAGTTTCCTTCCGCGAGGAAGGTTGGTTGGACTTTTCTTCCGACCTTCTTCTGTCCAGGACCGCCACCGCGATCTCTTTTCGCGTCCTCTCCGAAGAGTTGTGTACCCAAACCCCCCATCGTCCCTGCTTCTCCTGGTTGGCAAGGGAAGAAGTGAAAATCCCCACACAGTAGCAGAGAATGGTGTCGCCGGCAGCTCTACTGAGCTGGAGAAGATAGTTCGTCCATACGGCGAGGAGAGAGGCGAGAGTAGTTGCCATCAGAGGTCAATGTTGGTCTAGGTATGACACCATTTTTTGATTCATCATCCTGCCCGGTTCTGAAAACAGGGCAAAAGATCAAACCACTCAAGCAATATAAACAGTGAACACCTATCAATTATTGCACCTATTGTAAATCACAGAGTGTTTGATCTTGTTTTGTGTATGAATGCTCTGTCACATTCTGTGAGGCTTTTCTGGTTGCTTCCTTCTATTTATACTTCGTTTTGAGGTAGCTGTCTTCTGTTGATCTTTCTTTAACTTTAGAAATTCTTTACTGTAATCAAATATTCAAAAAAAATATGACAAGTAATAATTTATGTTGTTGTACCTTTGCAGAAAGGGAAAATTTTTTCTCAACAATCTCCCCCTACTTTTCTTTTATTCAATACCATGTTTTTCATATAATGGCACGTGTATTCAATAGCGATGGAAGCATCAATGCTCCCCCTTAACCTATTATCTCCCTTAGATTGAATATTTTCGATTGTCAAGCTATTCACGCACCAGGGTGATCAGACTAAAGCAAATAATTAGAGCGAAGAAATAAATATACAAATGCTAAACTAGTTCTAAATGTTTAAATCAGTAGTTCTAAAGAGGAAAACAAGCATATAGTTGTAAAAGTTTGATCCCAATAGTTCTGAATAAGAATCTCATTAAGTTTCACAAACCAAGAAAAAGTTGCTCTCATCACTCAACCATTAGACCATCATCAGTTGTTGAGGTTTGTGCCATCAGAATGATTCTCATAGTCATACGGTGCATACTGCGGTGAGTTTGGGTCGCTTGTGTTCGTAGAAGAGGCCAACTTACTAAATTGTGGTCAGTCTGGATCACTTATGTCTGGTAAAGAGGCTGGCTCACTAAACTCTGGTGAATGATCTAGATCGTTCATATCGGCCACGGAGAGACTGTCCTCTAACTCACTATTAATTGATGTTTAGCCAGACTACTTCAGAATCATCTTCTTCAGAAGGGCCATTCTCCCCCTCAATCGCAAGCTCCAAATCTTGAAGGACATCGTTCGCGGTGGGAAACAGAATTGGAGCGATGGTTCGAAAGGTTGAGAGATTGATTCCAATGTTAATGGGGTATGAGTTATCAGGAGTCCAAAGGGTAGTGAGGCACGATAGTTGAAGTCTCCAAAGGGTATCAGAGTTCCAAAGAAAAAATGAGTAAAATCAAAAGAATGGAGACTACAACATGAGAGATAATCTAGAGATCTAAAGGTAGAATGATATCTTAGAAGGGCGCTCTAGGAAAGAAGGTGTGAGTGATGAGGAATTAATCGATGGAATATTATTAGATTTGGTGAAAGAGCGGCAACTGGAATCATGAGAAGCTCGCCAGAAGGATGACCGGTAAAGTGCTCAAATTTCTGCAATCTGGTGTTTTTTAGTTCTTTTTTCTTTATTCTCACATGTATATCGAGTGATTCATGAGACCAACCAATTTTGAGGAGGTGAAATTTAATCAAAGGTTGTTCCACCGACCAGACATATGTTTCATATCTGCACAGACTTGGAAGCCCCGTTTTAGAGAGAACGCTTCCACATAAATAACCCCCTCAATTTGGTAAGCATCTACGGCTAAGCAGACGACATTCACTCAAATTCGTCTTACCCAAACCCAACCTCCTATTGAAACCACAACCAAATCGTCATCATCAGATTAAATCCACTCACAATCTTCTTCACCCATTCTCACCAATTACAAGTAATATATAGGCTTTCATCTTTCCCCTTTTTAAAGAGATTTTTGGATAAAGCAGCAGAAAAAATCCACATGAAAAAATCTTGCCAACTTCAAACAACCATCATCTTTCTCTTTAATTTCCACATGGGTTTCTTCTACTTAACCGACCAAGGCAAGAAAAATAATAGGAAATGCAGAAAAATTCCCACATGAAATTTGACTTTGGGACAAAGGATGTTTCAGAAAGCTAGGTTTGCAACTCCTTAATGAGAAACCGAAAATAAAGGGTTATTGATCTGGCCGAGTCGTGGATTAGGTCGCTTTCTTTTAAATTTTTGTGACACTAGTACTATCTCGTATTACACACAACAGATTATCAGTAGTTAGCCTCCAAGATGAAATAACCTCTCTCTCTATCTCTTTATTTATGTAAAACCTAGAGCTCTCTGAAGAACACTCTCTTGTGTTAATACTCTCTGAATTGTGTATCTAGAGGGGATGACAGGTCTATATATTATAGGAGCAGAAACCATGTATTGCCTTCTTGCATGAGGAGTAAGTTACGCGTTTTTAGAAAATGTAATTTGTAAAATAAAATAAAAATATTTCAAACCAGGGAAGAAGGAGGTGTAGCAGGGTGGTCATTAGGAGAAAAATGCGTAAATTACGTATAATAGCTAGTTGAGTATGAAAATTAAAGCTCTTCTAATTGAGAATGATTGATTAGAAAAGTTAACAAAAAATACTTTATCATTTGTATTTTTTCTAAATATACTCACTTTAGACGAAATCATAGCTATGCATCTTCTTCATCTATGATCAAGAACTTTGATAAGATGTGCTATTCTGGTGTTATAATATTTGGATGAATAGTTGTTTTCAACCCTGTAAAAGAAAGATCAACATTCTACAACCAAACAAAAGAGCAAAAACCCACAGTCACCTCTAAACCTGATCAAGGCCTACAGCTCTCAAACCCTCCTCTAGACACTCATTGTTCCTACTCACAGAATTCAAATCAAGAATAGTTTCCCTAACAAGTTCCTCCGCAGTCCAGACTGATGTACCATGACTGCGACGACAACGTTCCTTCCATAACCCTGCACAACAAATGCATCAAATAAGACCAGCAACCCTGTGTGCTATCGGCCACCCGCAACTGTCAATACCCGCTGCAGCTGTGACTACCCAAGAGTCTCGACAAAGAGAACCAAAATGCAAATTTGCTAACATTCGACAGGCATAGGCACATTGAAAGAACAGATGATCACGAGAATCCATTTCTGCATTACAGAGCACACACAAACCATTGACCACTTTCCCCATTTCAACAGCTTATCCTTGGTCACAATACCATCCACCATAGTCATCAAAGCCAAAAAAAAAAACTATTCCGGAGAATCTTATACTTACTCCAAATGAGACTCTCCCATTCCACCACAACATACTTTATACACAAGGTCTCCCATACATCAAAAATCTTAAAAAACTGGCATACAACAGTTAGCCCAGAAAACCTGACCATTTCATACCTGCATATGAGGCTGAATCTCCGAACGTAGCTTAAGTATACATTGCCATACCTAGGAACTGCTTGGACTAACCTTGACAGTCCAAATGCTACTTGTTTTCACCTTATATTGCTGAAACGAAGCAACCTAGATAGCCCCACTCTTCATTAGAAACAACCATACTAGTCAGATTGTGCAAGCTTTATTCCAGGCAGCAAGCTCTCGCAATCCCATGCCTCCCTCTTTTCGTGGTCTAGCTATACGATCCCAACTAACTTTTGCTCGTCCTTCTTCGCCACCATGCTAGAGAAATTGAGAGCAGACCAGCTGAACCTGCTTGAGAACCCGTTTAGGCATAACAAATTTGCATCCAATACTGAAGGATCCCTATCAATACAGAAGACAATAGCTGCACATTTTATTACTTATGCTATGTATATGAGTTTTCACATGTCCAATGTATTATTTTTAAATTTTTTTTGGATGACCTAGTGGTAATACCACTAGCATAGAACCGGGAGGTCTCAGGTTCGAACCTGCTTGAGTATCTTAATGACAACAAAATGAAACCTATATCACCCTTATAAAAAAAAAGACAAAATGCTTTGATTATTCTTCTAAATAATATTTCATACACCCAATTATTACAGGTATAGACTTAAGATTTAATATTCGTGTATATGAGTTTGTTATTGTTCTTTTTTTATACTGTATTTTTTGTTGTCCTTCGGTGAGAATGCTCCAATATTTTTTAAGTTTGTTTATCATGAGATGAAGTATACAGTGAAATAGAATTGTGTATGAAATATTTAGGCTTAATACACTTTCATAGCCATAACTATTCGCGTTGTGACAATTATAGCAACTTTTTGAAAAATGCACTCATATAGCCATTCCGTCACAAACTTTAATGACATCACTGTAAATGCTCAGTAGACAAACATTTTTTACTGACGTGGCGACTTTTCGTCAAATTTTTTTTATTTAATTGCAATTACATGAAAAAAATGAAAAATCATCTTCCTCCAGACCATCTGCTATTGCGATATCTTCCCTAATTGAAACCCCATATCCATTCCCTCGTCGAACCCAAATTGAGTTTCAAGAAAACCCAATCAACTTCCAACGTCGAACCCAAATTCATATTCAAGAAAACTTAATACGACGAAGGCGTGGAAGGGAGGGCGGTCGCAGCGGTGGCGGAAAACGGGAGAACGAAAGGGGGATTTGGTGTAGAGGAGATAGAGCTTGGAGATGGATCCTAAAGCTACACCGCCGACTGGATGGGCATGTGATTTGATCTATAATCTGACCCAAAGAAGATGGTGAGGATGAGGAGAGGAGCGCGGAGAGGGCGGAATCGGGCCGTCAAGGCCGAGCCCAGATCTGGCGATGGTGGATTTTGAGAGATTGATTCCAATGTTAATGGGGTATGAGTTATCAGGAGTCCAAAGGGAAGTTAGGCACAAAGGATAGTGAGGCACGATAGTTGAAGTCTCCAAAGGGTATCAGAGTTCCAAAGAAAAAATGAGTAAAATCAAAAGAATGGAGACTACAACATGAGAGATAATCTAGAGATCTAAAGGTAGAATGATATCTTAGAAGGGCGCTCTAGGAAAGAAGGTGTGAGTGATGAGGAATTAATCGATGGAATATTATTAGATTTGGTGAAAGAGCGGCAACTGGAATCATGAGAAGCTCACCAGAAGGATGACCGGTAAAGTGCTCAAATTTATGCAATCTGGTGTTTTTTAGTTCTTTTTTCTTTATTCTCACATGTATATCGAGTGATTCATGAGACCAACCAATTTTGAGGAGGTGAAATTTAATCAAAGGTTGTTCCGCCGACCAGACATATGTTTCATATATGCACAGACTTGGAAGCCCCGTTTTAGAGAGAATGCTTCCACATAAATAACCCCCTCAATTTGGTAAGCATCTACGGCTAAGCAGACGACATTCACTCAAATTCGTCTTACCCAAACCCAACCTCCTATTGAAACCACAACCAAATCGTCATCATCAGATTAAATCCACTCACAATCTTCTTCACCCATTCTCATCAATTACAAGTAATATATAGCCTTTCATCTTCCCCTTTAAAGAGAATTTTGGATAAAGCAGCAGAAAAAAAAATCTACATGAAAAATTCTTGCCAACTTCAAACAACCATCATCTTTCTCTTTAATTTCCACATGGGTTTCTCCTGCTTAACAGACCAAGGCAAGAAAAAGAATAGGCAATGCAGAAAAATTCCCACATGAAATTTGACTTTGGGACAGCGGATGGTTCAGAAAGCTAGGTTTGCAACCCCTTCATGAGAAACCGGGAAAAGAAAAAAGGATTATTGATCTGGCCGAATCGTCGATTAGGTCGATTTTTTTTTTAAAATTTTTTGTGACACTAGTACTATCTCGTATTACACACAACAGATTGTCATCCTAAAATCTCATGGTAAAATAAGATTTGCATCAATCATTTTTTTTTTCTTTCTAATATGTGTAAAAAATAAATCCAGTATCAATTATTAAGAAGAAGAATTTATTGCTTGCTGTGCCGCACGGTTGGCCCAACCCCAACTACTTTCATTCCTCTCTTCACTCTTCCTCTTCTTCTTCTTTCTTCCCCCTTTTAGGAGCAGATAGTAGGAATTTAACACCAAAAATCTCAGACCAAACAGATCGACCAATTCGGCACAGAAGTTCTAAGCCTGGAGGAGAAACAACAAGAAGTATTGTTCTTAGTGGGCTGAGAAACAGCTTGCGAATCTAGCTAGGATGGCGATGGAGTACTTGGTGAAGGTTGGAGAAGCAGAGAGCAGCAGCAGCAGGGGAGAAGGAAAGCCAAGTGCAGGGCCTGTTTACAGAAGCATTTACGCCAAAGATGGGCTCTTGGAAGTTCCTCCTCACCTCCATTCCCCTTGGCAATTCTTCAGGTAAACACAACACAACACAACATTATTTGAGCTTCAGGCTGGCAATGGCTGCTTTAAAACACAATTGTAAGAAGAAGAAGAAGAAGAAGAAGAAGAAGAAGAAGAAAAAAACAGAGATTGTAAAAAATTGGCCCATGCAGGTCTCGAACCTGCGACCTTGGCGTTATTAGCACCACGCTCTAACCAACTGAGCTAATGGGCCTTTGTTGAGTTATTTTCAATAAGAACGTAATTTTATCACTTTTTTTAAAAGCCATAGTTTGTTTGATTCACAGTGATTCAGTGGCTAAGTACCCGGACAATCACATGCTGGGAAGCCGCCATGTCATTGATTCCAAGGTATCCTTTTCTTGACATGTCACACTACTAATCATGTTCTGCAATCTGCAACAAGGTCCTTAAAAAACAACCAGAATTGACTGGATTACAATGAATTACTGCTCATCATAAATCCATGGTGTGAATTTTGACTGGCTAGCAGCAGGCAGGATCATATGCATGGCTCACTTACAAGCAAGTTTATGATTCTGCTCTGAGAATTGGTTCTGCAATGAGGAGGAGCCTTGGTGTTAACCCTGTAAGCAAACAGAAAACTCTCCATGAACTCATCCCATTTTACTTTGACACTTCATCAACCGTTTTAGATTTGAATTCATACTGTAAAAAACTTAAAATGGTAATCAACTTTGGTAAAATAAATTTGTGTTTCCAGGGTGATCGGTGCGGTATCTATGGTTCCAACTCTCATCAATGGATAACTGCAATGGAGGTTTGATTCTAAAGCTTTTTTTCCAGATTGACATTCGTTACAATCATCGCGCAGTTTCTCACCACAGATTGTTACTTCTCTTCCAGGCTTGTAACAGCCAGGCTGTGACTTATGTCCCTCTCTATGACACCCTTGGTAAACTTTGATGTCCTTCAATAGATTCAGGTATAAAAATGAAGCTCCTTTGGTAATGGAATTTGTGATGCTGGCCCGAAAAACTTGCAGGTGCCAATGCTGTGGAGTTCATCATCAACCATGCTGAAGTGTCCATGGCCTTTGTTCAAGAGAACAAACTCCCTGCTGTAAATCTCTTCCTGCTGTTGTTTGCCCTGTTCATATTTGCTTGAGACCTTACTAAAGCCACCTGCACTTGTTTCCAGGTTTTGTCCTGCCTCTCGAACTGCTGTTCGAACCTGAAAAGTATGCCAAAAACTCTCACCAAACCCCATTTTACCCATCTGAAACTTGGGGGGTGATCTTTCAAGATCAATGATCAACCCTACTAATTCCATCTGTTTTGTATAGCCATCATCAGCTTTGGAGACATCTCTGCCGTGCAGAAGAAGGAAGCCGAGGAGCTAGGAGTGTCGTGTTACTCGTGGGAAGAATTTTCCCAGCTGGTGAGTAAAGAAGAAACAAGAGCTATCTTCATCATTTGTTTTGAATCAAGATGACAGTAGCTTTCTAACACAAGTAAGTGATGGTCAGGGGAGTTTGGATTCCGAGCTACCTCCGAAACAGAAGACCGACATCTGCACCATAATGTACACAAGTGGGACTACTGGAGAGCCTAAAGGAGTTATCATCACAAATGGTGCTCTCATGGCTGAAGTTCTTTCTGTTGATCATTTGCTCTCCCAGACTGACAGAGTGGTAAGAGAATGATCAGTTACTTGCACTTAAAGCAACCTTTTTAATCATCTGGGAAATGAAGAGAAACCTTTTTTTATTATTATTATTATTTCAGCTTGATGAGGAAGATTCATACTTCTCTTTCTTACCTTTGGCTCACATCTATGACCAAGTGATGGCGAACTACTGCATTCACAAAGGTGCATCCATAGGATTCTGGCAAGGGGTAATGAAAAGACTGCAGATTCAATTCGATTCATCTTCTCTCTATGAATTCTTTTGCATTTCTGTTGATTCAATCGGATTTTCGGTTTTTTGCTTCCTAGGATGTAAGATTCTTGATGGAGGATCTTCAGGAGTTGAAGCCAACCATGCTTTGTGGGGTTCCTAGAGTTTACGAGCGCATTTACAGCGGTAAGTTGTAACTCTTTGATTGTTTCTAACTCCATTCTTGTTCTTTCTGGTCCTGAACATTCGATGTGGAAAATCCGTCTCTTGTAGGTACAATGAGCAAGGTCTCATCATCAGGAGCAATAAGGAAAAAGCTCTTTGATTTCGCGTATTCTTAGTAAGTTAACTACCAACTCACTCTACTCCAATCCATATGGCTACCTTCCTTGTACCACAAGTAACAATGTGGATGACCCATCTCACAGCAAGCTTGGAAATCTTGAGAAGGGGTTTGCACAAGCCAAAGCTGCGCCATTCTTCGACAAGCTCATCTTCGAAAAGGTTTGTTCTTTGATTCGAACCCTGCAATTACTGCACTTTCCCATCTCCATTTGTGCCATTCAATCTAAGGTGTTCGGAAATCGTAAACAGACCAAGCAAGCATTGGGAGGCCGAGTTAGAATTCTGTTATCTGGAGCTGCACCTTTGCCTCGCCATGTCGAGGACTTCCTAAGAGTCATATCCTGCTCCACATTATCACAAGGCTACGGTATATGAACCATGAACCAATCATGAATTTCCCATTTCTTTCACCATACTCCACTTTTTGCTTCTTCGCTAAGCTAAACCCATGTTGTTGACAGGGCTCACCGAAAGCTGTGGTGGAAGCTTCACCTCGATCGGCGACATATACCCAATGGTGGGCACCGTCGGCGTCCCCATGACCACCATCGAAGCCCGGCTAGAATCGGTCCCCGAAATGGGCTACGATGCACTGGCCAGCGTGCCACGTGGCGAGATTTGCCTCCGAGGGAACACATTGTTCTCTGGCTATCACAAGCGTGAAGATCTCACGAGAGAGGTCCTCGTCGACGGCTGGTTCCACACTGGCGACATTGGAGAGTTGCAGCCCAATGGAGCCATGAAGATCATTGACAGGAAGAAGAACATCTTCAAGCTGTCTCAGGGCGAGTATGTCGCCGTGGAGAATCTAGAGAACACTTACTCCCGATGCCCTCTTGTCGCTTCGATTTGGGTGTACGGCAATAGTTTCGAGTCGTTTCTTGTGGCTGTTGTCGTGCCAGACAAGCAAGCGATCGAGGAGTGGGCTAAGCAGCATAATGTGGCGGGGGATTATACGGCCTTGTGCGAGAATAAGACTGCCAGGAAATATGTTCTGGATGAGCTGAACAGCACTGGAAAGAAACATCAAGTATGTCACTCTCTCTCTCTGTTCTTTCTTCCTGATCTAGATTCTCTCTGTTTTTTCTTTGTTTCGTCGACTAACAAAGGAAATGACCTTTGACAGCTGAAAGGGTTTGAGATGCTGAAAGGAGTTCACCTGGAGCCAGTTCCATTTGGGATGGAGAGGGATCTTGTGACTCCAACGTTTAAGCTCAAGAGGCCTCAGCTGCTGAAATACTACAAGGAACGCATTGATCAACTCTATAGTGAAGCAAAAGAGTCCAAGGCTTGAGTTGGGACTGAAAGTTGCCTGATTGAACTTATAATATTATGTCAAGGCTCCTAGACATTCGTTGTCGCGAGAGCTATATCGTTGTTCAGTGTTCATACACAGATAAAGATTGACTGCAAAATCATGAACAGATTCAATTGACATTCTGATCTTCCTACACTCAATTGAATACATATGGAACAATATCACAGCACATTGCTTGACCATTTCTAATTAGTGCTTGCATGATTGCATCTCAAACGATGACTTTGCGAAACACATAGCATATGAGATTAACAGAATAGAATTGCTTGCTTCTTGTTTACAGCCACAGATGAATCTGCAGCACTCTGATGGGCTAGACTTACAAGCAAAGTAGAAACCCATGTGTGGTCATTAAAATACAGAGCCTTTTTAGTTTATTACAGTAAGTACAGTAACAAACAAGGAGAAACAACAATACAAACAATGCAAGCATTTCGATCTCGAATCAATGGAGGATCTAACATAATAAGCAGAAATTGAACCGTGGATTCATCATCATCATCATCATCATCGAATCAGACGACACCAACAATCAAAGCCCAGGCTGGATAAACGAAGAGGAGGATTATCCCGACGGTGTTGGAGACACCATGGGCTTTGGTGAATGAGTTCCTGAACCCACCAGATGCTCTAATGTGTTCTTGCAGCAAGTAGCAAGCAATGAGCAGGCATATGGCCACTCCAATCCAGTTGCCCCTCAGTGTTGAAGCGAAGAAACTAGGAGCCACCACTATTAGCAGAACTAAAGAACCCGGCATCTCAAGCCAATCTGCCCAAAAAAGTTCAGTCACAAAGAATTCAACTTTTAAGTTCAAATTAGCCACAAATGTGACTTCTGATTCCTAAAACAGCAGCAGCCATCCATACCTGGGAAACGACTGGGGAAGAAAAGGCGGAGTACAACTGCAATGATTGCAACCCACTTCCCAAACTCCCCTCTGCATAAATTTGTGGAATCAAACAGAATCAAAACACTGGTCAACATGACAGAAATCAAGAACAGAGAAGGAGAGTGATTTGAACTGTTACCGTAGGAAGCTGAAGAGGAAAGAAGGCAGGGTGAAGAAGATGTAAGGAATGAGCAACCCAGTGAGAATGTTCGTCTTCCAATTCGTTCGATCCAACACCAGTAGATAACTGCATCAAAATCAAAATTCTTCATCAGATTTCAAACGATACACGGAACAAGGGGGAAAAACCGGAAGAGAAGGGGGGAAATTGGGTTCGTGGCGTTTACATAGCGGCAATAGCAGCGAGCCACTCGAAGAAAGAGGTTCCGAAACCGGCGACAATCCCGACATGGATGGCCAGCTTCTTCGCCGCCGCCGTCAGCTCCTTGAAATCGGAGGCGATTAAGTCGCTGCCGAAGCTGCTGCTTCCTCCGTCGATCTTCATCGCTAAGTAGCTCTTCTTCCCCATAGCTCAACCTTCTTCTTCTCCTTCTTGTTCTTCTTACCCAGAGAGCGCCGGTGGAATTGGGAGGAGGATTCGAGAAATTGGTAGGCAGACGGACAGAGAGATGCTAATCTTTGACTTGACTGACCCCTCGTGTTCTTTGGATGGATTAGTACGTGCTTATTGCTTTGTTTAGCAGGGTTAATTACTTTGATTAATCACTTGTTAATTACTACAGCTGGATCGAGGACTGATATATTCTACTTATCAGTGAACGACACGTGGGAATTTATTGGCGCCATCTTCAGAGCCTTGTTTGTAAATGGCATAGTTGTCACGCCGGCCGGCGTGCCACTGGTAGAACCTGGTTCAACCTGTACTTGTCACAAAACCGGCATGACTCTATCGGTATGACCGGCATGACTCTATCGGTATGACCGGCATGATCGATATACGAATCTCCAAGTAAATTGATCTTATCTTAGTGAATTTAATTGATAAAAAGTAATTTATTATTTATTTTATGTGTTAAAAAGTTAAATGTTAATGTTATTTGTTGGATTCAAGTACAAATATTTAGGTACTGACGTTAAATGTCGTATTTAAATATGAGTATTTTTAAATTATTTGTAATATTAACCGACATGAACCGGCACAAACCTGTATGTACCACCGATCGAACCATTCCACTTGCTAAATCGGCACACTGGCACAAACCAGTTTGACAACCTAAATACTCACCATGTGTGTGGCAAATGGCAATTAACTCTTCTTCTTCTCTCGCTTGTTCGTTTCGTTTACGTTTTCTCCGTTTTGGGCCGTTTTGGTTTAATTTCTTTTGAACAGTCTTAATCTTTTGGCTGCTTGCGAAATGTTTAGGTAACATAGCCAATGAGCTGGCGGTTTAGCCGACATTAATTATTTCTTAATCCTATCCACTGACAAAATTTGTGGGCCCATTAATGAGCTGGTGGCACGTATGGGCTCGTGGGCTTCAGTAATATGGAGGTTTACGTGAAGGAGGACAACACCTATAGCAATAAATGACGGTTTCCTTATAAATCTTAATTTGTTTGGTAGCATGCAAATGAAGTGAATCAGAAGCATGGAGATGCTCACAGTTATAAGGGGGGGAAATTCAAAAAGTTTAGGGTTAACAAAAAAAAAAATCTCACAATAGAGTTTGGAGTATTTTGTTTTGGTGTCAAGCGAATCAATGCCTGTTTTGCTTGACACTAAAGTGATCTACTTCAAATCGCTCGGATTGCAATCGAATCAGCGAATCATATTGTAAATAATTTGGATCACGGGCGAACGCAACAAACCAAGCAAACCACCTTCAAAACAATATGGATCACGGAGGACACCAACGAACGAACCTGGAAAATATACAGAAAAAAATGGCAATGATTGGATAAGCAAAGTTAAAAGTTATGATGGTTTGAAGTTTGAAGAAATAGGAAAATGGTATGTTCAGCAAACGACGTTTTTTATGAGAACCTGAGAGGGAAGGGTTTTACGGCTCCTTAAGTGTTGGGATATGGATTAATATGCCTACACGACTATAAACGGGTCCAAGCCCACTGCAAGGCGTCCTAGGCCCAAGACCACTCAAGGAAGCCCAAACCTTATATAAGGAGGCCTAACCCTCCAAACTAAGGATCCTCTCTTTCTCTTCCTCACTTTCCCCTAAGGTCTCTCTCTGTACTTTATCTCTCTACATACCATACATTCTCTTATATCGTACTAACTTAGGGATGGCAAAAATATTCGTAACCGTGGATATCCGTCCGAATCCGACCTAATCGGGTTGGGTAGAACCCGAACCCGAATGACATTTAGTGGGTATGGGTAGAATCCGAACCCGAATATTGCAGGTGATGGGTGGGCATGGGTTTCTCACTATCCAACCCGAACCCGCCTGATTATACACATGCATATGTATTCTTTCTAGAAATAATCATTTTTTTCTCTAACATATTTTATATTTAGCATATAAATACAACATTTTCATGAAATTGTGTTGTTTTAATTAATTTTCTTCATTCTAGTGAATTATTGCCGTACTTGTTTTCTTACGTAATGTGAGAATACGTGTGAATGTTAACATATTGGTTATAGTTATGAAGAAAAATCATTACCCATGGATAACCGTGGATACCCGAAACCCGAACGGGTATGGGCATGATTTTAATTTTCTACTCGTTTCACATGTGGGTATGGGTATGGGTAAAACCCGAACTACTTTGGGTACAATAACGGATATGCACTATCCGTCCCCGACCCGATCCATTGCCATCCCTATACTAACTTGGGCGTCGGAGCGTAGATCCCGGGGGCCGCCCCTCGCCTCACAGGTTCTTCCACTCCCGTGGAGATCGGACGAGGGAGTCCAGATCGGGGCCCCATAACCGTGTAGTACATTTTAGGCACAAATAATTCATACTAGCATACCAAATTTATCATCCCATACCATTAGCATTTTTTATATAGGTGACTACTTCTAATGATTGTAAGTTAATTATATTAGTTGCATAATGATTAATTATGAGTTAATTTTTATGTTTTATTCATCATTTATTATGAATTGATGCATTTATGGGAGATTTTTTCTCATGTAATGAAAATTGGTATGCTATAATGGTTAACATGAATAACTAATTAATCAAATTGATTAACTTGGTTTGGTAATTTGGTTGTTGTATTCGTTTGACCGGTTTGGTTAAGATATTGTAGTATATAGTTAATAGAATTTAGCTCTTATTCAATTTGTAATTGTCATGGTAACCACTGAACACTCCTGAATTTAGAAAGATGATTTTTAAAGAGAAACTCAAAAGTAAATTCTTACAAGTTTGGCCCGAAATTGACAATATTATATTAATGAATCATCTGGTCTCAACTAGTAGTACCAAAACCTAGTTTCAAAGTTTGGATTCGGGGCAGTAGACTTTAGTTTGCTGGACCCTCATTATGTGACCTCAGCATTTGAGATTAGCATATGGTAGATCAAAGGAGATCTTCATCTGCTAGCGGATCAAGTGAAGATCTGCATTTGGTAAATCATTGTGTCCAAGAGCCTGTCAGTACAACGTGTATGTGATATCAAGATAATTGTTGAAGGGAGGCCACAAAGTCTGTGGTTCTTATCTTTATGAGAGAATTGTTATGGTGGAATCCAAGTTCCACCTCGGATATATGAGGGATATAGTGTCCACCAAAATTCATTAGTATCAGGCTTTTGAGGAGCAACCCAAAAGCAAATAAGTGCAAACTTGATCCGAAACAGACAATATCATATTAATCAACTTTTCGAACTCGACAATGGGAATGTGTATGATATAAGTGCGGGATTAAGGCATGAGAAAGGGAAAGATTAAGCATCGACTGTTTGATTTGATGTTGGGACGCCCTTTTTTTGAATCTGTGGATACTGACTCGTCACATCAATTTTTTTTTAATGGAGGATGTTGGAGTAGTTTGGCCTTATCTCATAGAAGTTCCTAACAATTGTGGGACACTCTTTCACTTAATATAGATCCATAAGGGTGTATGCAAGAGCGACTCTCGCTTCACTAATTCGAATAAGGATTCTTTTAGATGCACTAGACGAGAAGAAAAATGTGTCATTATCTCTCAATCGTTAGCACCCTTATTAGTCGCTAAGCTATAAATATATTATTTTTATGTTCTGTCGCATTTTTCGCTCTCGCTTTTTATAACTTCGAGCGGATAGCTCAATATCCATGTGTGTGTGAAGAAAATGAACAACCTTTTTTATTACGCTTTACGCATCAAGCATTACAGTAGAAAAAAAGGAGAATCAATTCCTGCCGAGTTTTCACTTTTGACGGAATCAGAGGATATTAGTAATCAAAGCCCAGGCAGGATAAACGAAGAGCAGCACTATCCCAACAGAGTTCGAAATCCCATTGGCTTTGGTGAACGAATTCCTGAACCCACCAGATGCCCTAATGTGTTCTTGCAGCAAGTACCCAGCAATCACGAGGCAGATCGCCACACCAACGAAATTGTTCCTCAACGTGGAAGCGATCAGATTGGGAGCCACCACTATGAGCAGAATCGACGCCGCCGGCATCTCCAGCCATTCTGCCCAAAAAAAACCAGAGTTGAAAATCCTCAGTTTCTAAAGTCGGATTCTAAATTTTTCACTGAAAACAGAGCATTACCCTGGAAGCGGTCGGGGAAGAAGAGGCGCAGTACGACCGCAACGAGTGCAGCCCATTTCCCAACCTCGCCTCTGCATAAAAAAGTGGTTAAGTATCATACACGCGCGACCTCGAGCTAAACCCGCATTTCGAATTGGGGGAATCTAACCGATTCGATTTACCGGAGGAAGCTGAAGAGGAATGAAGGGAGGGTGAAGAAGATGTAGGGGATGAGCAATCCGGTCAGAATGTTGGTCTTCCAGTTCGTTCGATCCAATACCAGTAGATAGCTGCACCAATCAATCGAATCGAATCAGAGAAAGAAAGAAATTTTTTTTTTGAAAAAAGCAGGGAGAAAGAAAAACAGGGGAGAGAGCGTACTTACATGGCGGAAATAGCAGCGAGCCACTGGAGAAAATTGGTTGCGAAACCACCGACCATGCCGACGTGGATGGCTAGCTTCTTGGCAGCGGCCGTCAGCTCGTTGAAATCGGAAGCGAGCAAGTCGCTGCCGTAGCTGCTGGCGGTGTCGATCTTCATCTCAAAGAAGCTCTTCTTCGCCATGGCTTTGGAAGTCGTAAGAAAGGAAGAGAGAGAGAGAGGGGAGTAATGTGGCGAAAGGGGCGATTCGGGGAGACTAATATAACGGGAGACAGCAGAGCTCCGATCATTTCGTCATTTGGATTTTAGTAGAATTAATTAAGTGATTAGGTGTTTGTTTAATTTGGTACGGTTGGATCGGAGGCTGACACGTGGGAGATGACTGGCTACGTCGATAGTCTCCGGCGACTTGTAATTGCTCGCCACGTGGCAATCACGAATTCCGCGACTCTACAGCTCTACTCGCTGTGCTTGTCGTTTTACGGGCTTTCTTCCTCCGTTTAACGCCTCTCCATTTTTTGGTTTTAAAAAAATTGAAGTATATTCTTTCTGGGAATAGTCTACTTTTAGATATTTTTTCGTGGTACTGGCGGATTTGAAATATTTATTATGTCCAATGAGCTGGCAATTAGTGATCTGAGCTGCTGTGCCGACATCAAAATGCTGATTATTTCCCCGATCTTAGCCACTCAAATTTCGTGGGTCCTTTAAGAAATTCAAATGAATAAAGTAAAAAGAACATAGGAACATATTTGTTTTTGCAGTTATGAACTTCAGTACACGGAGGCCCACACCGAAATAAGTGGGTAGGATTAGGGGTGGAAATTTGAGTGGGTTTGGTTATCCGCCCCACATTTTGCGGGTAACTACATTCATAAATATAGAATTAATAATGAATTATACTACCCACAACCCGTCTCACAGTGGGTAGTGGTTAACCGTTGTCCACTGCGGGTTAGTGCGGGTTGGATGTGGATACCCACAAAAAATTTCCTTCCTTCACCCTTTAGACTCGTATATGATAAACCTATCGGTCGAGTGACGGCAAAAAAAAAAAAACACATTGAGTTAAAACTAAGTAAAGAAGCCCAAGACATGGAACGAGCGAAGATCCCATATTCGGAACCTCCTAAGTAGTCAACCTCCCTCTCCTCGGTTCACTTCACTCGCTTACATGTCACTTCACTTTATTTAGGAAATGCATATTGATAACGAGTATGGATTGGAGGGGATCTAATCTTAATATACATAGCATCTTTATCAGCGACATGACTCCTTGCATTTTTAATTCGATTTTTTTTTGTGTGGATAAATGGAACTCTCTCCCGAGTTGCGGAATTAGCGTATTCTTACACAAAAACAAAAACCTACATAAAAGAAAGTAAATCAATAAAGTGTTAAATAAACTATAAACCACATTTATCGTCTTTGTTTTGTTATAAAATAAACATATACCACACGGACAATACTTATTTAATAAAAGTATCACATACAAACACAGTGTATTGACTTAGTTTTATTTTATAAAATAAGTATATATTTGATTTTGGAGCCTACTTTAATTTGTAGCATTCTACTTTTCACATACTTTAATATTACAAAGTATTATTAATAAATAAATATACTTAGTGTGATTATTGTGGGTTTTGTGGGTTAACCGTTGTGGATAGTGATTAACCACTAACCACAAAAAATCAATATTTTGCTACCCACGCCCAACCCACTATCCACAAATTATGGGTATGGTTACCCACAATGTATGCGGTTTGGTGCGGTTTGTGGATTACCCGCAAACCAAACTTCCACCCCTACGTAGGATGGGGAAAGTTAATCTGCTAACTTAAAGATTCGCTAGTATATACTAATTGATATCCAAAATACATGAACTAATATAAAAGTACTAAAATATCTAGAGAACACAGACTAGTATTCAAAGTTTGCTAACTAATATCCACCATGAATCAACTATTATCCCAAATTCACAAACTAATATATAGACAACACAGAATAGTATCCAAACATGACATAATTAGTATCCAGATAACACATAAGAGTATTCAGATAACCCATAAAAATATCCATATTGAATACTAGTTGGTTGATTGTGGATATTAATTGGTATTTGTTATCTGGATACTAGTTTGTGATGTTTTGAATACTAGTCTGTGTTATCTAGATACTTAGCAAACTTGAATATTAGTTCATACATTTTGGATATTAATTAGTATATACTAATGAATCTTCAAGTTAGCAGAATAACTAGGCTGGGGTAGGATGGCCATTAATCCACTATCGTGGTAAGTGGGTGATATTCGTGAGTTAGCGGTTATACTGATAAATTAGCTCATAATTGATGATAAATTGTTACGCCGTCAATCGATTATAAATTAATGGTGTGGTTATTGGTAGGTTAAAATGACTTTCAGCATAATCGATAACTGAAAAAGTCTGTTAAATGTGAATTGAATATAAATGTTGATGTTTTCTTTCCTCAGAAAAAGGGTCATGTTCCTTCCAAGAAATTCTCGGACCTAGAGCAAACAATATCGTTGTCGCCCCGCCCCGACCCTTTCTTCTATTCACTTTCCTCCCACTGTGAACCCTAAAATTGAAAGAGGTAAAGAGTACAAGCCGAATTTTGCAATTGACATGTAGGCATCAAGATTGGATTTGGGGAGATCTTATGACTTAACCTGGTGGAAAGATAGCAAAGACCGCCTCCCAATTTCTTTCGTCAATGGTTTCTCTCACCCGTTCGCACTCATCACTTTTCTCCTTCCTCTTTTCCTTTTATTCTCGCTGCCCCAATAAGAACAACAAGCCAAATCCAAATTGTTTATGAAAATATTCAAAAATAAGAACGCATACATATGTAGGGGGGAAATGCACAATTGAAAATAAGGGAGACATTATGTTGGTTCGGCTACCGATTGATTATTTTAGTTTAACATTGTCGAATCACTTGCTAAATGGTTAGTCGGTTAACCGACTAATATACATGATGCGGTCAACTGTAAGCAAAGTTTACTTAACGGTTAATCGATAACCAAATAAATGGTTAATGGTTAATGATTATAACTGAATCGAACTGAATAACAATCATAATCGTGGGTACCCAAACAATGCATGGAATTTTTGCATTGACTATGTATGGCACGGGGTATCAGTAAAACCCATAAAAAAATGATGGTGATGGGGTTGATATGGTTTGATCCTCTCCTGCCCCATACTCACACCAACACTCGTCGTCCTACAAATAATATATGTTCAAAATATTTAATGATTAGATGTTAAAATAGTGATCGTCTTACGGTCTAATAGATGTTGCAGGATTGGCTGTTTTGAACTAACAACGCTTATATCTTTGTTTATTTTATGGTTTATTATGTCTATTTGATGTTATAGTTAAAAAAGCACATGTTTAGTAAGTTATATTGCATTTATTCTATGTATAATAATATTATATGTGTACAAACATGTATTATCCACAGATACCCGAAAACATACTGACATTCTACCTAACATTTATTTTTAATTTAGCAATATCTCCTAAAATCTTCCCATAATCCCAAATATCCCCAAATCCCAAACAATTGTATCAAATATCATACTTGAATGAGAAAGGATAATAAATAATAAAATAAGAGTGAAGTTCAAAGTGTAAGGGTGAAGTTCAAAGTTTAGGAACTAGAATATGTTGATCAAAATTTCACTCGCGGCCAAAGATGAAATTTGGTCCTTGATCTTTTGCCTTCGTTCTGTTTCCGACATGAAGAACTATGAACCATTGACAAGAGTCAAGAAGTCATTTGCGTAATTGCGTGAAAAGGTACATTACGATTCCACAGCAGTACAATAACAGAGATCTACTAACGCTCAACACGACTAAAACATTGACAAATCTGGAGGTGGTCCGTACACAGTCTTCCACGAAAACGGGATGCACCACTTGCCATCATCACCCCCTGAAAGACAGACAATGCAAAACAGACAGCCAGTTAACAGCAGAGTTCATGCCATGATTGTAGTCATGGTGACAGTCATTGTTCACTTGGCATGTGAAAGTAAGAGTTGAGTTGAACTTGAAAGAACTCACCGATGAAATTATCAGGTTTTAGTTGCAGGAGCTTGGATGCTGCCTCAGCTAACTCGAAAGAATCGGCCATGTTGTCTCCCTCAGAACAGTAACACAATATGCATGTGACTTTCAAACCTTTCGCCTGATAGAAAAAAAAAGCAGAAAATTGGTCATTTAGATGAATCCATTTTTCACCAGTACTATAAAACAAGTTAAAATCCTACATGACCCTCAATACTCAATAGGCGGCCATTTGTCTGAAGCATGTGATCCCGTGTAAATACCTTCAAACAGGAAAAAAGAGCCGCAAAAGGTAGACTCGCGCAATAATCTTCTTCTTCTGGTTCATCTTCAAAAGGCAAGGTGCTTTCATGCATGGTGCTGCCTTGAGCTAAGCTGCTGAGGTAATTCCAAGTTCTCTGTGTAGGATCATAATCCTGCAGCCTTCGCCACCCAAGTTTTGCACAGAAATCATCTGTTCCATCTGTATTTGAGCTAGAGAGGTAGTATATCTGCAAACCACTGATAAATAACAAACTTCAGAAAAGAAAACAAAAAAGCAGATTTCTTTTAAGCTTAACATGTGCAGGGATGGCAATATCACCAGCTCCCATGCTCAGCAATCTACCTTCTACTAAGTTGGGTTGGAGAGATTCCACATTTTACTTTGTTTTACCAAGAGAGAGCTTAATCTTTAGAAAGAATATTAATTTTCAAGTTTGAACCAAAAGATAACAACTTAAAGGACATCACACAGACAGACACCCTCTCTACTGTTCAGTTTTACTTGATACAAGAGTAGGCCGAAGAACATACCTTGACATATCGATCTTTTGCCATCTTGAAAACTCTAAGCTAGAAAGAATAACCACATGCTTCTTCCCACTAGCAGCAGCAAACTCAGCCAAGTTCTTGGCATATTCAACCATCATTCCCTGTTAGCACTCAAACAGTCATGACACAACAATACACCATCGGGATCTCATAGAGAGACTCCAACTAGTTTAACAGAGAACATTCTAATCCAACAACTGCACCTTAACAACCGGGGATCGCTGCTGCACTAGAGTCATCGCATTGGCAGGTGATTGATAAGCTGCAGAAATAATTGGAAAACAAAGGCTCTCTCATTCACTGCTTCGATCAATTAACATAACCGGCCACCAGAAGGAAACGCAGGAATGAAATGCAGCACGACGATCAATCACCTTCGAGAGGGAGGGCAAGGTCCCCGGAAGGAATGGGGCCATAAGCATCATTACCCACACAAGGAAGGGTGTAGGGATCATCCAAATACCCAATTCTCTCAGCTCCGGTGGACGACACCAGGAGATCCACCGCTAACTGTCCGACGTTCCCAATTGACAATGCCGGCTATCAACCCAAAACCACAAAAGCAAGTAAGCTAATCAGCGGATACCTAGACTGGCAGTTCTTCGTTCCTAAGCACGGTTCACGGTCAGAAAAACCCCTAACTTCTAAAAACAGAAATTCTTAAGTGCGTGTAAAATCAGAACAAATTACAATCTGCGAGAGGGAAGGTCAGCTAGTCGTTCGATATTCTCGGCATCCAAACAGTGAGTCCAGTGAGAAGCGAAGGTAAAGTGGTAGGCATTTCGAACTGATTTAACACAAGAAAAGAAATGGAGAAATGGAGCGAGAGTTACCACTTACCAGAATGAGGGTGGAGCAGTCTGGGTGATGCTGTTTGCCTGGTTCGGTTATGAATTCCATGGTTCTTCTTTCCGGTAAGTTGGTGAACGGAGATGGAATTTTGTCGATGGGTCTCCGGGTTTTAAGCGCTTCCGGTGCTCGGCGGCGACGGGACGACTTCCTGAACAAGAAAGACGAATTTGGGTTTGAGCTTTCAAGTTTGGGTAATGGGCCTTTTTACTTTGGTGGGCTGGTCGGGGCAAAATGAAACTGGGCCGAACTTGATATAACCTTCCTGGACAAAGGGCTCATTATGAAAAGCTCTTTTTATTTTTATGGATAGCCCAAACGTACTTGGTTTTTTTTTTCTTCTTCTTCTGAAAATTGGAAATGTTTTGCAAATTCCAGTGCTGTCAAAGCCGAACCGAGCCGGCCGGCCGGACCGCCAAAGTCGCCACTCGGCCGTAAAACCGGCTCGGATCAGCTATTTAACCGCCACGGTTTTATACAACGGCCGGCGAGCGACCGAAGCGGTTAACCACTCGAGCCGGTCGCGCGGTTCGGCCGTTTGATTTACCCTAAAAAAAATAGAAAAGGCCAATCGTGGAATCGGCCGTCAACACCTCTTGTCCCGGCATCGGTGCTTCCCGACGGCATCGCCATCCCCAGTCGCCATCGCCAGTCCTTGTTGTAGCAAGCAGCTCCCCGCTCCCGGCGCTTCCATCCCGTCGCCACCGTCGCAAGCAGCTCCCCGCTAAGCTGCCCTGTCTCACCAGAGGCTTGGATTGAATCCGAGCCATTTCGCGGATTGGGACGAGGAAGAGCATTTACGGGTTAAGAAAGGATGAGGTGATGGATTTTTGAGGAATTGCAGAAGGCTATAGTGACTGAAAAATGAAAATAGGTGCGGCGGTGGGAGAGGAGGAAGGAGAGAGGGAGGGGGGATGGGGAAGCGGAAGGAATGAGAGTGATGGGTGGGGAAGCGGCGTTGTCGCTTAGGATTAGGTTAGGTTTTTTTTTTAGTTGTTGTATATATATGTTGTGTAGAATTATTAAATGGTACCTGTAATTATCATTTTTACTCATTAAATCATTGAATTATTACTTTATGTGTGTTCTACTATGATATTATATTGTTTATAATGTACCGGTTCTCAAACGGTTTTTAAACGATCTAATGCCGGCTGGACCACTAATGACCGAGCCGTTTACGTTACCGGGTCATATTCCGGCTCGGCTTTGACAGCATTGGCAAATTCACTTGCCAGTCATTTGGAGGACGTTTCACGTTTAGAACTATATTCTGCCCTAAATTTCCACAATTCATGATTTCTCATAACCTTTTATCTGTAATTATGGTCTTAAATTAGTTTGGAAATTGATGGCCCGTGAGTGATTATAGAAATGTTATTTTTATAATTGTGCCCATTTATATTAATAATCTTTATTACGGTTAGAATATGATTTGAATTTGATTTGGGTTTGTTTTGTGTTTTGGACCTATTTTGTTTGAGTTTGTGTTTGGGGTTTTGTTTGACCTTTTTCTTGTATGTTTGGGAAAATGTATTTGGTTTTCTGTTTGGGATTAGGAGAAGAGTTCTATAAATACTCTTCATCACCCTAGTATGTAAAAAGGTCAGTCAGGTTAGTTTGTTTGGTTTGTCCATCTGAAATTTGGTTTGTAACCTGTACTCTCCTCAAATCAGTGAAATTTGTTATCCCCTGCCCGTGGATTAGCTAGCACACATTGTGTTAGTGAACCACGATAAATTTGTGTTCGTTTGTGTTGCTTTGGAATATTGATTGTCACGCTTCTGTTCTGACAATTACAATTTCTTTATAAACATATTTGGTATTGATGCTTTCATATTTATATTTTACTTGAAGCTATCTATTAGTGTAGAAAAAGATTAATTATGAAATCAGAACTCAAGTAACAATAATCGGAACATTAAATATTAAATTGGATGTGTGATTTAGTTTAGACAAAATACAGATGTATAACCAAAACATGGACCTTCGTGACAAATATAGTCATTTTATATGAAAAATATAATAAAATACACTAATGTGACATTTTTTTGTTCACTTGCCAACATGCGATTTTCAACATTTTTATTCTAATTAACTTAAATAAAAAAACAAAAACAAAAGTATATTTCATTAGAAAGAAATTAAACTTAGACAGAGTAAATGAATAGTCATATGACCTCTCCTTCTAACCCATTTTTACCTATGCTTTTCACTTCTTTTCCATCTCTCATCGTCGAACAAACTTCAAATCTATGTTGGCTCTCATCTAGCAACACTTCAACAAAACATTTGAAAATGCTATGTCGGTCGGGTAATGACAAAAACATAATAGCTGCTCCAAACAAGACTGAATCAACGCTGACAAAATCCAAAACATGAAGCAAGTTGCACGAGCACCCTTCATTTGATCATTTCATATTAACATCTCACTAAACGAATCAATGAACACCCTTCAACCCTAATATCACGAAATTATCTTATCCTTTCACCGTGATTTCATTTCTTTTGATATTACAAGACTTGGATAGACCAAAGACGTATGCTTTTAGAGGTTGAGATTTTCCTCTCCCCCTCCCGCCCCGGTTATATTTTATGTTTTTTACGAGATTATATAAGAGAATCTCAACATAGCTTCAAGTTAATTGAAGGAAGGGAGAAAGAGATAGACAAGGGCGGTAACGAGGAAGTAGCAGTGAACCGAGCCTATCTAAATCTCAACTACTATATAGGGTTCGAAATCTCCAAAGACATGGTCAATTCAGGGGACAAAAGAAAACTTCGATGTCAGTTTGATTGGGTGAATTTCTAGTGGTTTTATAAGAAAAACTCCAACAATTGCTTGATTGGTTGGAACAAATGGGGGAAGAACGTGTCGATTGGAAGGGCACAAAATTGTTGAGTTTGTTGTGAGATAGTCTCGATGCAGTTTTCGAAAGCCAATCAACATTTACACCTTTCTCGTAAAGTAAAACGGTAGGATCTAAGGGTACAAATTGGTGTAGTAAAATGTAAAAATTCCAAGAGCCAAATGGAGAGAGAGAGGAAGGTAGTGAGTAAGGGTGTACATGGGTCGAGTTGTCCGGATTTAGCCATTTAATCACCGACTTATGTACTACGATTTTATAAATAAATCTACCCCAACCCAACACAAAAATAATTATTCTACACCATAAAATATTATATAACTAATTAAATTTAAAACGAATAAACAAAGGTGAAAAGTATCAAAATGCATAAATGTTGATTGAATTTTAATAAAATGCAATTTGTTTCAACATATGTCTAGTTTTTTTTTTTCACAAGCATTTTTTCGAAATATACTAAAGGTTATGAACTAACACATCCATAATATGTTATTCTCTTAAAAGTTAAAATTGTACATAAGAAAAACAATTACACGAATCACAGCGTATATTAAATCTACGCCTAAATGTTGAGTCAAAGAATGCATTAGGTTGGGGACTAGGTAGACGAGAGAAAAATTTGGCAAAGTATCTTAATTTTCTGAAAAAATATTTTTTGGATACAAACAATCACACCAATAGTTGGAACACGGGCTGAATCAGATTCTATGGATTGTGTTACCCAAAAGAGGGCGTGTGTCACAAAAGAAAATACTCATCCAATCATTAAACTTTAATTTTACCAATAAATACGGATGAATTGGTTCAGATTGGACGAATGCATCGGTTTGTCGCGGGTCTTTTTGTTTAATACTGAGAAAGCAAGGAAGAAAGAAAACTAGAAAAGAAAGCAGCAGCAGCCAGCAGTGGAAGGAGGCGCCAAAGCCCAAAAAGAAGAGAAGCCCCATCACCGGCAACACAGGGCGCGAAACCTACGGCCCCTCGTCGGTATTATGGTCGCCGTTGCGTTCCAACTTCCGAGCAGGTTACCTTCAACGCGTTGACGTAGAAAAAAAAAACACCCCATGGAGCAGAGAAGAAATCAAATGGGGAAGTCGTTTTTCAATAAAGGAACAAACTGTAAATTAACAAGGGGAAGAAGAAAAAAAACCCTCTAGGCCATGTCGTCCTCCGCCTGCAGGCCATTTCTCCTCTCAAGTCTCTTTCTCTCCCGCGTTTACCAGAAAGTGCTAAGACGGCTCGATATGCTCACAGTCTGATTCTGGCCTTCCGCCTTTTCTGCGCTCCAAAGCATTTCAACTGTGAGTTGTCGAAGCCTTTCTTATCGCAGCCTCTTCTCTATTGACTTTCGTCCTCCTGATCAGGGCTTTCATTTTCGCTAGCTACGCTCCAGCATTTTGCAGCTTGACTTGTTAGGTGGGGGGATCATTGCTTTCTTGCCCTTCTTGCCAAGTTCCTTAATTGATTTGACTTTGGTCCAAGTTTGATCCTCTTTGCTTAATGCTTACTGGGTTGGTAGGATTAGCCGTCTTTGCTATCTGGGTTTCCAGCGGACTTGTGAATTAGTGGTTCATCTTCTGCAAATTGCGTTTCTGGAGCTTCACCATTGTTAGTGAGGTTGTTGAAGTTCATGGGGAATATCTCAAGTTCAGTGTTTTGTTTCTTTGTGGTAAACGCGAGGAAGTAGTAGAATTGTTCTTTGTCCTTTCTAGTAACTACCTATCTTTCGAATGGTGCCTGGGATTTTGAGGAAGGTTCGGCCTGTTGCAACAACAATTCCTAAACCTAATGATGATGAAGAGTATGCCAATAAGGTTGAATACTCTTTTGCTGTTGAGTACTCTGGCCCTCCTCTTCCATACAACATCCCTCGAGTTGTGCCAGTTGACGTCGATGAAATCCCACTGGCGTCAACACTTGCTTCAGCATCTCGATTAGGTGCCGTGCCCATCATCCAGCCTATTGTCAAGTCCACTCTCCCTAGCAAGAAGCTCTCCAAGGAGCTTCAAGAAGGAGTATCTGCTGGCAAGCCTCAACTATTCAGTACAGCAGATGATTCCAACAATCATCCTGAATCTTCAGTATTAGCTGGGAGCTCAGAGATTGTCGAAACACCAGACGACGAGGACAAGGATGAACCAGCTGGAGAGTTGCAAGATTGTGAAAGCCCTGGAGACGGGGAGTCAACAAAATCTCACTCGTTTTCATGTTCAGTTTCATCCGAAATCTTTTCGGGCAATGAGGACGAGTGTGCTGATGAAGAAGCTATTCCTCGCCACGTGAGGAGGCCATCGGCTGTAACATTCCGTGATCTTGACTCGAACGATGTCGTGGAAGACGAAGATTTCGATGATGCATCTAATGCTGAAAGCAGCATCCCGGGGAGGCCAACTCCTGCTGTAAGGCCTGGGAAGAAAGGAACTTGTTATCGTTGCATGAAAGGGAATAGGTTCAACGAGAAGGAGGTTTGCATTGTCTGTGGTGCAAAGTTCTGTTCTGGTTGTGTGCTGAGAGCAATGGGGTCAATGCCAGAAGGTAGGAAATGTGTGACTTGCATCGGTCAAAGGATCGACGAGGCTAGAAGAAAGAATCTGGGGAAGAGTTCTAGAATGCTGAGACAGCTATTGCCTAAGATGGAAATCAAGAATATAATGACTTCTGAAAAATGTTGTCATGTGAATCAATTGCCGCCAGAGCTTGTGTATATTAATGATCAGTATCTTTCTGAGGAGGAGCTGGTGTTGTTGCAAACCAGTGCTCACCCGCCGAGGAAGCTGAAACCCGGGTACTATTGGTATGATAAAGTGTCTGGTTTCTGGGGGAAGGAAGGAGAGAAGCCTTGCCAGATAATCAGTGACCAGTTGAACATTGGTGGTCACATGAGGCGGGATGCTAGCAAGGGAGACACCGGCATACTCATAAACAATCGTGAAATTACGAAACCGGAGCTACTGATGCTGCAGGTTTATGCTCAATACGATCTTGTCTAATCTGTGTATTGTCGATTCTTTCTAAGCATGTAATTTCAATCAATGTCTTTTTTTCTGTTGAATGTGTGCAGTTGTTGGGTGTGAAATGTGATGGAACAAATAGCTTTTGGGTAAGTGCAGATGGTTCATATCAGGAAGAGGGCATGAAAAATGTGAAAGGAAAAATATGGGACAAGGTTTGTTGCCTATTGTTCTTTTTCTGTTTAAAGTTTTCACCTTTATTCTCAAAACTTATATTTGATCAGGGAAACATTGTTCTTTACAGCCTGGGGCAAAGGTAATCTGTACTCTCTTGTCGTTGCCAACGCCTCTTGATTCCAATGGCTGTGTGAGTAAAGAGCGAAATGGTGCTACCATTCTCCCTAAGGGCCTTGAGCAGTTGTCACAGAAGCTGCTTCTAGTCGGCAACAGAAAGTCTGGAACGAGCACCATTTTCAAACAGGTACAAAGAGATGCATGGAAAAACTGTCTCGTGATTGATTCCTAAAACAAATAACTGTCTCACGATTAATCTGCTATATACTTCATTGTTGAATGGTGTGGTTCTGTGTTTCAGGCGAAAATAATCTACAGTGTTCCTTTCTCTGAAGATGAGAGGGAAAGTATCAAGTCTATAATCCAAAGTAATTTGTATGGATATATCGGTATACTTCTCGAGGGACGTGAACGTTTTGAAGAAGAATGTTTGGCCCAAACGAGGGAACACCCCATTGGCGAAAGCAGTTCTTCAGGTAGAGTGAACCCTCTCTCTCCCCTGAAAGTTTCGTTCTCTTTTCGGGATTAAGATGAATTAGTATCTCACATAGATTCTAAAGCAAGAATGTATACATTGTGGTGATACTGCAGGTCAGACAGATACTAAAACCATTTACTCAATTGGTCCGAGGCTGAAATCGTTCTCAGATTGGCTTCTCAAAGTAATTATTACTGGAAACTTGGAAACCATATTCCCAGCTTCCACTCGTGAATACGGACCTTATGTTGAGGAACTGTGGAAAGATGCTGCCATTCAAGCCACATACAATAGAAGGGATGAACTTCCATCTCTTCCAAGAAATGCAACTTACTTCCTAGAACGAGTAAGAACAAGCTAGAAATTTTTGTTCCTGCAATTCTACAATTACATCAATAGCATGTGGCAGAAAAAAGTACTTTAATTCTTTTTTCTAAAGAATTGGACTGGCATGTTGGTATTGATCAGGCTGCCGATATTGCAATGGTGGATTATGAGCCATCTGACATGGACATATTGTATGCCGAGGGGATAACTTCATCAAGAGGGCTATCGTCCATGGAGTTTACATTCCCCAAGTCACCTCGAGATCTCTGTGACCACATTGGTTATCAGCATGATCCATCACAGAGGTTAGCCTCTTTTATTCATCTTGTTCACCAGCAGCTGATATAAAGTAGAGCTAGCTAAACCCTGTCCACCCACCTGACCCAACTAAAACTCATTTGAAATTCCTGTAACCCATGTATATTTACCATTTCAGGTACCAGCTCATCAGAGCTCATCCAAGAACCCTGGGAGGAAACTGCAAATGGCTGCAAATGTTCGAAGATGTTGATATGGTTCTATTCTGTGTTTCCATGACCGATTATGATAAGTTCACTGAAGACAGCGATGGAGTCCTCACCAACAACATGATGGCAACAAAGCATCTATTTGAAACCATGGTAACTCATCCAAAATTCGAAGACAAGAAGTTCCTTCTCATGTTGAACAAGTTCGACCTGCTCGAGGAAAAAATCGAGCATGTCCCACTCACTCGATGTGAATGGTTCAAAGACTGGGACCCGGTGATTGGACATGATCCAGCTAACAGCAGAAGCAGAATTACTAACCCTTCCTTGGCTCACCGTGCTTTCCAGTACATTGCAATGGAGTTCAAGAGATTCTACGCTTCCCTCACTGATCAGAAGCTTTATGTCTCGCTGATTACTGGGTTGGAAGCCGATAATGTGGATGAAGCTTTTCGTTACGCTAGGGAGATTATGAAGTGGGAGGAAGAAACTTTTGACTTGAACAATAATAACGAGACATCTTCTACAAGCATGGAAGCAAGCTCATCTGCATGATAGAGGTAGAGATCGATCTCAAGAACAGAAGGGCCTCAAGAGAGAGCTTTAGTTTCAAAGAGTTCATCTGTGCTGTGAATATTATACCCTGTGATTACCTCACTCTTATTTGTATAGTCGAGGAGTCTGAGGTTGTTAAGTGATTATAGAGAGAGAAGTGAAACATTGTAACGAAATGTTGTAATCCATACAGAAATATGAGTTCTGGCATTATGATCAAGTATATAAAGTTTCTTCTCTAACTGCAGGTTTCTTCCAAATTCAGAGTTTTTTTTTAACTAAAAGCTTGCATCTTGTTTGAGTTATAGGTAAAGTTTGAAACTTTATCCGATCTTGGCATTTCCAGAGGCTTTCCCTGGCTGCCCAGTTCAAGATATTTCTTCTGCAAGCAGTTTCTGGAACATTTGACTTGAATAGAACAGGGGGTAATTGTCAACATCACTCTGTTTCTATTACCTACAAACTTTTCCTAGTGATGTAGCTCCTTTTTCCCTATAAACATTACACAGCTCTCATCTACTGTCAATTCCCAGTTCCATTCAGTAAAACTTTCTTAGAAAAGCCAAGGAAGAGACAGCATTTCCAATTCACAGAATACACTAAAACCTTATGATATATATACATTACCAAAGAACTAATGCTATACAATCTTTATACATCTGGTATAGCTAGTCTGCACCAAATATAACAAAGGAAACAGAAGCAACAACATTGAAGTAAAAACTTGCGGAGAGAATGGAAAAAGGTCCGAACGCCATGGTCACCAGGGCACAAAGCGGTCCATGATCAAGCGAACAGTATCCTCAGACATCGTACTGCATATGTCCGACTCAGAACGATGAACCATCACCACGTTCGAGCCTTTGCTGCTTTCTTTAGCAGCTTTCATCACTTGCTTCTCTGTTCCTTCTTCTACTACTGCATCATCCTGTGGCTTCTTGAGGCGAACCACTTTTGCTTTGAGCTTGGCTAGCTCGTTCACCCATGTCTCCACTACTGTTGCTGCCATTTTACCCCCTCTTCTCTTCCTTTCTGTGTGTCGATTTTGGAGGGGAATGAATATAGTATGAAGAAGAGGAATGGAAGAGAAGGAAAAGCAAAGGGAAAGGGTTTATGTAGGAGGAAAACCAAGAGGGAAACGAGTGGGGGGAAAGGTCGCAATCTGGAATGTGGACCATAGATTGGATGGACACTGTTACCAGACGAATGTGGAATGGTATTATTGGCTAGGTGGAGAAGAAAAGGGATATTCCAATACGGCACCACTACTCAGTTACTCCTGGAATATCTTTGGCCACGTCTGCTGCTGGGAATTACTACCACCAGGTAAGAGAGGGAAGGGTGATTACTGATTCGGATCCTTTGGGAAGAGAGGTATCTTTGTGAATGAATATACTCTTTAGTCTTTTCATTGTTTTCAACGACGAAAGTTAGAGGAACGGGAAGAAGGTTGCGCATCACGTTTTGGTGGCCCTGTGGCCGGCCAAATTTCTCGAGCTGTCCAGCACTTGAAAAGTGCTCGTCGGCTCAAACTCTATCAGTAGAATGTCGGCCAATCACTTGACATCTAAGACAGTTTGGCCGAGTGGTCTAAGGCGCCAGATTTAGGCTCTGGTCCGAAAGGGCGTGGGTTCAAATCCCACAGCTGTCAATTTTTTTTTCACCTTAGATTTCTGTGAACTGAAATCCGTCAAGAGTTGGTCTTCAGATACTGCCTGCGAGTTACATTTCTCGTCATGTCAGTGTATTTCCTTTGCCGCATCAAATTGCTCCATCCTTTTCGTCTCCCAAGTATTGTCCGAGTTAAATTGCCGAGAACCAAAATCCATCTAATTGAGTTCCAACTACGTTTTCGAGTTGTAATAGAGTTATCATACACGCGCTCGACTGTAATTCAGTATAGTTGGAAATGCTGTATAGTTGTGAAGTCGTAATTGAGATTGGATTTTTAACTGTTTTACGTGTACTTTCAACTAGAAATCCCATAGAATTGTCTCACAAAAGTAAACAACTTTTTATTTATCACGGAGACGAGGGAAAGCCATAATTTACACAGGGGCTTTTCCTCTTCTTCAAAACAAGAAACCATCACATTAAGCAAGACGAAGAAGGTAAAAATGAAAAAAAGCCAACAATGACTTCTTAATCCAGAATAACCAAAGTGTTCTAAGCGCTCAAGTTGTCGAGAAGCATCGACAAGGAAGCTTCGGAGCACTGGAAAGCAGGAGGAAGCTTCACTCCGGCACTCAACCTCTGGACAAAACCTGTAACACCAGCAGTAGTCGTCGCCCACTTGCCACCTTCCTCCGTCTTCCTGGATTCATCCACATTTTCAGCAGCACTCGGAGGGTAGCGACCTGACCAAATGGACTGGCCATTCTCTTTCAGCCTGGCTACTTCGCTGGTCCACATATCGATGATCCCAGACATGACCACGACCTTTCGCGTAGAAAGCAAAAAAAAATATCCCTTGCTCCTCAAACCTTATACTGAATCACAGCCACAGAACACAAACCAGAAAGTGTGAGAAATATCTCCAAACTGTGTGAAGAAAGATATTTGTGAGAAGAGTGTTGCTGATGTGATGCTTTCAGGATGCAAATACTAGATGGGTCTTTTATACCTAAAAATAAAGGAGGAAATCACATGATTTGCAGAAGCGGTAAAGCAATACAATGGGGGAAGCTGCTGCTGGGATTTCTAGTTAGTCTACAGGAATATAGTGGGCGCCACAGAGAACTTTGGGCATACCATAGTTTCTGCTGCTGGTATTTTGGAGATGGGTTTATGGATTACTTTATTCGAACCAGTTTCTCTTCCTTCTTATTTTAAACATTGGCAATTGTTTAATCTAAACCTGTTGGCTGGGCCAGAAGATGACTAAATTTAGAACACAGAGAGAGAGTGAGACAGGGACAGAGAGAGGCTTACCTGTAAGGGGATATTTTGGTGCAAGCCGTATCTGGGAAATGACTGCCTTGGTCAACATAGCAAATCCCATGGATGAATAAGCTCTCGCCTTGGTCCGCCGGGAAAATGGATTTTGTCAACCAACAAGAGAACCAGATAAACGGGAGGACCGAACATGAATGTTCTCTCCCCTCCAGGAAGCTGCCCCTACAAAAACAGAGATCATCGGAGTGTCTCATGGCCCGAATGCTCCGTGCTAGCCCTCTTGCTCAAAGACCAGCAGTTTCGACAGCTGAGCAGCCGTTGGAGAAGCTATGTTCCAATATAGATTGGTATTGTGAGGGAAAGCCCAGGGGGAAGCAGGACCCTCGATGCAAAAAAATGGCTAGCTTTTAGAGGGTAGAGGTCCATCTCCTGAGATAATTGTCATGCCTGGATTGAGAGCGTGGCTACAAAGACATTCCAAAGTTAAATCCAAGGAGTCCAGCCTTCGTACATGTTGCAGAGATTATCTACGCTCATGGCTTGTTTAATCAGGAAATCGACTTGCTCCCGGACATTAATTTCCCTGAATAATGCAAGAGAAAACAGGAGGGGAAAGAAGGAAACAGTCCCATTAGATAACCGCCGGGAAATCTAAATTTTACAGTCGAGAAGCGGGAAAAGAGAAAAGTAGTCCACAACCAAGTAGTAGTACCTGGTCTCAGGAACGTCTCGGCCATCAATTTTCATCTCCACCCGCCTTAGTACTGATACAGCGTAAGGGTTCTTGCCTACATAACCAGAGACACAATCAGAAACTTGATTACAGATTTAAGGACTTTTGTCGGTTTTGCTTAAACAGTCCAAGCTGCATAATGAACCATTTGTTGTGTTGAATAATCATAGATCGTCTTGAATTCTCATCCTAAATCGATTAAGTTTCATGGTAGCAAGTATAGGAAGTACTGACTGATGCTCAAGTATTTCAAGCTGCATATTGAACCATTAGTTGTAGTAGTTGAAAGGCATCAAAGAGATAGTTCAGTAGAGACAGATATCAGGTTACCTGTGGCTAATCGAGCCCCAGTATGTGAATGTGAACGGGGTTGAGGAGTTTCGTGATTATTGTCCTCAACCTTATTCCTGCTCGAAGAGGATACGTTCTCATCTTTGCCCTCAAGTGTCGCAGTGGAGACCTGACTAAGAGGTTGTGACGTCTCGAGAGATGTAATTGCTTCACTCACTGACAATATCGTAGATTTCAGATCTTCACCCTGACCCACTGCCTCATGCTTTGACAGAATTTCCAACGAGTAGGGGGCTGCCTGATAACCAGTTTGAGAAGATGGAGCAGAACTAAGATGACTTGTTGCCAGCCTACCGTCAGAGCCATGAGCAAAGTCTACTAAATTGTCACAACTGTCTATAGTGCTAGCATCAACAGAGATGGAATCATCAGATCCCGAGCTACTACTGCAAATGCTATCTGGGGGGGATACCCATCCATTGTATTGCATGCTACACTCAACTTCACCAAGGAAATCCTCAGCAGTTTCAGTTTCCGGGGTTGATAGTTGCTCTATTCCTTTCTCGTCAAATTGATCAGCATCACTGTCAACTTCAGGTCTGGACAAATTGATCTCCGGTGATGTCACCTCCTGGCTTTCTGCCAATCCTTCGAGAGCCTAAGACAGACAAATTATCTGAATCAAATGGCATATATCAACCCAACCCAGGATAACCACTCGGTTTGGTGGGTAAATTGGTTGCGTTGGTGCCTAGTAGGTTTCTGAAAAGTTGTCATTTAGTATCTACACATTCTGTGTATTGCATTTAGTTCCCAAACTTACATATGTTCTACAAACTGGTCGGGAAATTCAATCCCACCTCTACAGTGAATCTAGTCAGTGAGAATATTAACGAGAGTGATGTCAGTTAAGCTAAGCATGAATTTTACCTTGTGAAGATTTCCAGCATGAAGACCGGCAGTACGAGCGAGACTAGTTAGCATTGAGCGCAGACCCTTCACAGATGTTGTGAGTGATGGTACTATGGGTTTAAATGCCCGAATAGCCTCCATAATCCTCGAATAGTACGATTGGTATAAGGCTTGTCCATGAATTGGTGACACATCCATCTTGGTTTCTTTCTCCCTGGCTATGGCATCAGTCATTGCAGCAACGTCCTTAGATAGTATTGATTCAAGAGGAAGAAGAATTGCATTTGCCTGGAGAGAGTAGAGAAGATTAGTACCAGGAATTATCCTAGTAAAGAAGAGGGCAAGAGAAATCTTTCTACAGCGAAAACTAAAAAAACTAAAGAACAGATGAAAACCTTTGAAAGTTCTCCCACAAGGGTGTGATGCAGGGCAGAAGCCTCCTTTCCTAATGTATGAACATCATGCAGGTCTTCAGTTATTGCAAGAACCTGAAGAGCAGACTGCCATCAGTCACAAACACCACAATGAAGTAATTGTATCGCATCTTAAAAAATCTGGTTGTGCTGTGAATAACTCGCTCCTACTTCGACTCAAACAGCACAACATGCCCCTGAGTTCTATACTCCTCTATATTTTCTTTGTTGTAAAACACCTTCCACTATTCCCACCGCATAAATTATGTGGAGGAGTAAGTGACACATATGAAAGGAATTAGTACATAACTATTGAGGTGTCTCCATATGGCTAAAAGAATGCAAAATCAGCTTGTGCAAGGATCAACAATTTATCATATTGCCTTGCTAGCACCACTATCCCAGCATTAAGTACAAGACCAAACGAGGAAAGAAGAAGCACAACAAAAGATCATAATCACCTCTTCAAGCATGGTGCCAGACTCAGAAGTCAAAGCAGTGTGCCCCCTTGACAAACGAGAAAAAGAAGAAAGGGCAATGCTAGCTTCAAAAGCACAATCCCGCATCGCAAGAACAGTGCTCTGAAGATCACCTGAAATAGATGAGCAGATCAATTTTACACAGCCTCACATCAAGTAAATGGTCTTCATAAAAAGAACATGTTGATTACTTCAGAATGCGATATAGCAAAGTGAACTGGGTGAGAGTTAGCAGGAGGAAGGATGTCCCCACCCTGGAACAGGTTCTGCATGGAGATAAAGGAACATAAAAAGTGACCCCCCCCCCCCCCCCCCCCCCCCCCCCCCCCAATAACATTATGAGTTATCTGGACATTCTAACATGGAAAAAACATCCTTCCTTCACCAACGCTCACAGTTGTATGTTGCTAAAGTTCCGTTCCAAAATTTCAGATAAACTCATCATGGCACCTCTTTTTACATATACTGCAGTGGCCAGTGTAGCACAACTTAGTATATACTCAACCATAATCGTTCTAATTAGTAAAGTATGCAGACCTGAAGCTGATTTTGCTTTAAGAGATGCACTGCACAGTTCATTAGTTGCCAAAAATAACCCATTTGAAGCAGCTTCCATTGTGCCTTGAGACAGCTTCCACTCCTGCTCAGCACCTGCCATAAGCAGTAATAATTGATCAAATTAGTTGACCATATGAGTGGCAAACAGTTGTACAGGTGTATTGACCCCAAGTGTGGGAACATAATTATTCTGATGTTGCTCCTTCACTGCAAATAGTAATACAGGAAACTTACGCGTGAAGGAATGGTAAGTCATCTCCAATTGAGTAAGTGCGTTAAAGTAAGTCTGCTGCCATGCCCTGCCATCATTACCAGGCCTTGATGGATGGCCTTCCCCTGGTATCCTGAACATTCCATCTCTTGATGCTTCAAATTCCAAGATTGACATAGACAATTTCACAATAGCTGTTGCCTTATCTTTAGATTCCCACAGCAATTGCCGTCGCCTGGCGAGATGATCATGAAATTCGTGAGGGATACCTGAAATCTTCGATGAAGCACCCAGTGAATTTGAGTTTGGGCCACCACAAGCCCAGCCCATTGCTCTCTCCAGTTGTCCTTCTGCAGCTACGGAATTACGTTCACAAGATTGCAGGCTATCTATTGACCTAGAGATATTAGTTAAAGCAGACTGCATTCCTTCTAACAGTTTAGGCCGGGTGAGGGTTGGAATGATGGAATACAACGTGTCTCCTCTGTCAAGAAAGGTTTGAAATGTAGCCCTATTCTTTTGTGAAGGGGTCAGTGCATCATACATCCATTCCAACTGGACAATCTCAAGGCTAGCCTTATGGAGAGCTTCCTTGAGCTCATTTGCCTGTTTCTTCATCAACAGAGCTGCTGATCGTGCTGCTCTAGCAGTTTCATGTGCATTGCAGTATTCTTCAATCATCAGCTGGACCTTCCTAACAGCTCCTTTGTCCTTCCTTACTTGTTCAGGAGAAAGTTCCTTTGATCTGTCCTCGGTCAACTGATCCAAATGCTGAATTTCTTTATCTAACCAAAGCGCAAAAGTACGTGCAACTCTTTCCCTCAGGTAACGACCGACATGATCTTCAAGTTGGACTTGCAGCTTTCTCTTTACAACATTGAACAGCTGGTCAAAACCCAGATTCTGATCCATTAATGAAGCCACGTCATGTATGCATGAATCAAGAATGGAATCCATAATACATACTTTCCAAACAAAAAAGCATTGGCTAGACGATAAGCCTCCAAATTTCCATATATGTCCAGATACTGAGTATCCAGAGGAAAACAAATCTGCTAAATCTGCCAAGTCGTCTTTGTATGAAGAAGCAACTGATTCAGTAAATATTGACAATCCTTGGTCAACTGATTCCAAGTCAGAGAAGGGCCTAGCTAGCACGGATAGTAGTGCTTTGCTTCCTAAAACTTGTGGATTTCTACCATCTTGACCTATTGTAAGAGATTTAAACTGCCACTCAGTAGAACCCAAGGCATTTCTAGTATCTATTTCTTTCTTCAAGAGAGAAGTAGCCCGTGATTCCCGTTGGTTCCACATTTTATGGAGTTGATCCAGCTGATCCCTACAAGCTTCTTCTTGAGAGGCCAGTTCTTCTGCCTCTTCCCAAGAAAGATTATCCCTACCCTTCATTGCAGCTTCCTCAAGAGCCAGCTGTTGTTCGGTAATGAAGCCAACCTTGACAAAATAGCTCTTTTCCAGTTCATTCAACGATGCCCTCTCTAGTTCAACATTTAGGAGTTGCTCTAATGCAGTGTCAATGGAACCTCGAATCTGTGACGTTAATCCAAATGCATCCATGACCTCTGAATTTAGTGAAACAGCAGATTTCATGACTTCATGGAGAACAACTTCAGTCATTTCTTCAACCAGACACTTGCAGCAAATCAATGTCCTCTGAAAGTTTAAAATCTCACTCCCATTCAAACTCCTCTCATGTTCTCCACTTGTATGACTACCAGGAAATTCAGCTCTAAGGAATTCCCACAGCTCGCTGACAAACCCAGCCACAAGTACGCATCTCTCTACCTGCTCTTCAAAACCACTGAAAATGGTCCCAAACCTATCGTTTGAATTAGCTGCAACATTGCATATCCCAAGAAGATTATGCTTCACCTCACTGTACACAGAACTTATTGCCATATTTAAAATCATTCCCACTTTCTCCTTCTTATCCTCCAGATCAATAGCAAGTTGTAATTGCCCCGACTGGTTGGGAGGACTGGCATCAATTTTCCTTACAAGACCAGCAGACTGTATATGCTTTATAAATGTGGACATAAGACGCTCCTTAGCTTTTGACTCAGTCTCAATGCCTATGGAGTTCGCCAGCTCAGCAGATTCTCCCTCAACTCTCTTAACCTCTTCTGCATATTTCTCCACTTTAGAGCAAAGCTCCATATGCCTGTGTTTAGCAGAATCAAGATTACCCCCATTTAATCTTGGAATGAGCTCAGCAGCCTGTCTTCTAGCAAGAGAGACAGCATCATAGGAATGGGGATTTGCAGCTAGTTGCAACAACTGTGTCCAGCCATGAATCTTGCTAGTTGTTAGATAATTTAGAGGCAGGATACGTTGCAGGGCACATGTATAGGCTTGGATCCCATTACGGACGGAGGAAAGTCCATGATCCAATTCAGCTATAAGCTGAAAAACCTCTCTATCTATGTCCTGGCACTGTATCTGTGTGGGTTCAGGTACTATGGTCAATGGTATTCCTGCCACAACAACAGCAGATGTAAGAGACAGCTTATCTGCCGCTCCATTGGCCAGCTTCAAGGAGGAGTTGGTTTCAGGAAGTAAATTGCTTCGTAGTGCATCCAGAATTTTGCTATGTTGCTCAACCCATGCAGCAGCCTCTTGGGCAGTTTCGGCTATCATGGTCTTCGCTTTGGTGAACTCTCGAGCGTGAACTTCAAAGGATACTCGAGCTTTCTCCAACTTAGAATTTGCATCTGCAACTATTGACTTTGCAGATGCCTCGTGCACAATGAGATTAGATTTCTCCTGGTCGGCTTGATAAAAGAGAGCAGAAGCAAGCTCATATCTGTTTAAAATATCAGCAAATCCCTGAAACATTGAAAAATTGATGATGTTCAGGGTACTTTAAATATTTTAATTTTTAAGCAAAGTATTCAGTCAAGAGCCCTTCATACCTCAAGAGCAGATTCAACAGTGGGTAAGGTAGCCAAGAAAAGATCGTGATGTTCCTGGATGCAATCAGCAAAAACCATTGAGATCATCAATTGTGGGAAACAAAACAAGCTAAGGGGGAAAACGTTACTACATAGATTCCATTCATATATATATATATATATATGAAAACTAAGACCAAGGATAGACACACCGAGAAGAGTGAAGTCAAGAAAAGTAACTAACCATAAGAACTGGCAAGTAAGAATGTCATTAACCAAGAAAAAACAGACAAAAGACTACTTAAACGGTCATTCAATTGTGAAGTTTTATGTCATTTACAAAAGTAAAGTCAACCAGTGCATAGTTCTAAGGAATAAAATAGAAAACATGCACCAATATTATATTGGAAGGAGATAATGAACAATTTGGCAAAGACATGTGCAAGCTTTCTCAAGACAACTTGGTACCTGTAAAGGAACACGTATTTCCTGCACACGAGAAGCAAATAAGCTCAAGCTGACAGCCAGCTCCATACCCTTTCTTTCTTCACCTCCAATTGCAGCATCATCATGAAAATCTCCTCGTGTCCATTCTACAAGAGGATCCCAAATAAAGACCTCTAGCAACATTAAAATTATGTCCTTGTTTTTCTTCATGACACTTAGAACCGCTTCACAGCTTGCTCTGAAGGTTCCTTCCACTCCAGTAATCCCCAGAGCAGTTTCAATGATTTGAGTAAGGCGGAATGGGACAATCTCTGGTATCTTTAGTCGTTGCCCTTTATCAAAGCATACATTGTAATCAATATGTACAATATCCCCACTACAGAAGTCCACAAGAATATTATCCAAATGCCGGTCCCCCAAACCCAAAATGTGGCCTACTATACTCATGGTTGCAACACTTCCAGAATACCTACAAAAATGTCAAGAGCGAAAGGTAAGGAAAATGCATATGGAAGGGAGAAAAAAAAAACTAAAATGGACACAGAACAAAAGAGTAACTTTGATTATCCATTCTAGAACTGGATTGTCCCGTGTGTCACATATCTACAATCATCCAGATGGAAAATCAAATCAGATATTAACTTGGCATTGTTGTGTATAGCGATTTGGTGCAATTGTATAAGCCGATGCTCACGCTCTGACATTTAACAGTTAGCACTAAATCTCACTACACTGTTTACATTTTTTCTAGTCTCCATACAGATACAAAGGACATGCTTTCTGTACCATTCAAAAGAAAATCCACAAAGAAGAGATAGAAAAACAATGCATAAAACAAAGTCAACAGAAAAGCATTTATGAGCGAAAAAAATATTGTGATAGAAGAGATAGAACGGAACTACCCATGCAATTCTAAGAAGTGGTGTTCATTTAAGCCTCTAGATGACAAGGCGTGCAATACCACTAACAAGATGGGAACAACAACCAGAGAACAAATGCTACATAGAAGAAAGGAAGCTAGGTTTTGTGGGGATGAAGGATATAGCCAACAAAGTAGAAGACACCAAAGATCTGACTATATCAAAAGGCTGTATGTGCTTAGTTTACTCGGTAAAATAAAAGACTGATTATGCTCAGTGTAAACTCAAACAAGCCCTAATGAGTGACTTTGACCATTTAATCTGAGTGGAGTCTCCTTTTAAAGTTCATAAGCATCATCCCTCATAAGACGGTGAAGGGAAAACAAGATAGTTTCTTCTAGAACAGTTACAAAAAAAAAATACCTTCTTAACTTCGAGCTGAAGGCTTTGAACCCTTCACTTGCACACCAAAGTTCTTGATGTAGGAGCTGTTTAGGAACCTCCTTCATAAGATCCAGAAGAACCTTACGCTTGACATCATGCGGCCAGTCTCTTCTTGAAATTACTCTTCGTATTCCTTTCTCTTTAAGCGCAGGTATAATTTTCCCATAAAACATATCACTTGGTCTAGGAATGGGTGGAGGAACAGAGCCTCTTGAATTTCCTGCTGCATTGACTGCAGAAAGTTGGGCCTGCTGTACACGATTTTGCCATGATTTGAAGACACTGTACATGCTTATCACATTGTCCACCCACTGGATGAGACCAGCCCGACCACTGACTGGAGTCACAGAATAATAGCGTATGGAGAGCAAATCCTTATGAGTATCAGAAGATGAACGCAGAAACCCATTCATAGCCTGCAAAAGCTGCATGATTCTGGCATCAAGACGCAGATCTTCACGCCCTTTCAAAAGATAAGTGTACTTCTGACCATCTGAACCAAGCATCACAAGTTTCTTAGGTCGGGTCTTAGTAGACAATACAGTAACCTCTTCACAAAAAGAAGCAATTCTAACGATCCCCTGGGTTGTAGATAAATCCCTGTCCGATTCAGATATGCTGACTTGCTTTTCAAGACCGGGCATTGGAACATCAGATGACGCTGATAGCGAAGCCAGTTGTGGTGCAACTTCTCCTAAAGATATGCAAGAATTTCTCTGATAGGACACAAGGGAAGAAGCAATATCCTCAAATGGCTGCCAAACATCCCCAAGAGCAGTAGCAGAAGCTGGAGGGGTCTTGAACTTTGTAATGGCTAAGCTCACTTTTTCTCTGTACTCCTCACAAAACCATGTTTCATGTGGTGTTTCAGGTTTTCGAGATGTTGAAGCCAGGCGGCGCTCCAAAGCTACAATAATGGGGGCCATCATGGCTGAATACTTAGCAGCATTGATCTTCTTTTTCTCAGCTAGACTCAGAGTAGCATTTTCTGCGATACGTGTGGCTTCCTCTTTCAGAACATTTATACGCCTCATGACATCTGGAGAAAAAATCAGTGAGAAGCAGCTCAGATGGAAACAGCAAATACAGAAATACATAAACATTCACAAGGTAGCAAAGAGTGAGAGCAAGCCTTGCAGAGATAACTCAACCTGCATGAAGATCCTGAAGTGTACTAAGCCATAGTTCCTCCCAGAGAACAGTTACATTACCAAGTTCATTTATCATTAACTGAACATCCTGAATTAATCTGGGATACAGCTCTCTCTGCAAAAGACAAACTTATGGATCAAAATCGTCTTCTAATTCATTATCACGAGTAAAAGAAATCAGTTACATGAAAAAGGAAGTGAGATAAAGAGTTTGAGCTCCTGGAGGATGAGCAATGCAAAGTGACAAGATAGTTTTAATCCCATGCATTCAAACTGGCAAGCATTTACATAATAAAGCACAACCAGTGTTTCATAATAAAGTTGAGTGTACAAGAATTAGCCACAGCTTCCTTGGTATTGTATCACAAATCCTAACATGGCAGTAGACAATCACTGAGAGAGGCCTAAAATACGAGATATACGTAAACGAAAATATAACTATAATTTGTAAATCAGTGGAAATGAAACGAAAAAGGAACTCCTAAATCAGATGGAACTGCATTCTTCCAAGACTTTCACATTATCAAACATATATGCAATCGGCTTGAAATCAGAGAGGAAATAGGAAGAGAAATCTTTCAAATCCAGGGTCTCAATGCGTGAAAGACTCAACAAACATAATAAGAGAGCTCAGCAAGTAGTTCATGTATGACAGAACGAAACCAGGGGAATTTCCTTCTTCCATTACCAAGGAACCCAAAATATGTTGAAGCTCTTCTGAAGGCTTCTCCTCACTAGTATTTACATCCACAAGAGTTGGATACACTATTGACCAAGGAGACAGCTTAGCCAACAGCAATAGTAAGCCCTCTAGTTGCTTTCGCACCACTTGCTCCGGATGTGAACTTAGACGAGCAAACAACTGGGGAGTGAGTTCCTACCAGATGAAATACAGCAATTAATATGACTAGATGAAAGATAGTTCAGACTATTTCGTAGATCACCTAGAGAAAAGTAGAGAGCTTCACACCTGCCATGGAAACAGAGGAAGCATTGAAAGACCAGGTTCAATTATATCTTTTAACTCAACTCCATAATCAAGGAGGATGTGCAGAGTGTACAAGCTAGCCCTCAATGTATAGCTGCTTGACTTTTGCTTTAATAGCTCACATTTAGAGCCGGCAAACAGACCATCAGAAGTCTTTGCAGATGAACGAGTAAGGTATCTCATAAAACCATGAGCAGCATGCCCAAAAAAAGAAACCCGCCTCCTTCTCAAAGACCACCAAATATTAACTAAATCCTCCACCAGAGCTGCAACATTGGATATATCCAGGCTGGTGTTGGTACCAAGGAGCAAAGTCTGGAGTTGAGAAGCCAGGGTACCAGAAAGTGGTTCTCCACCAGGAAAACCAGCCGTAGTTTCAATAGCATTGACTACCTGCTCCAGCAAGGCATGAATTGCACTGCTACCTCCTGAATGCTGCACAGAAGAATTATCCTCTTTCCCTTCAACATTCAGGGCAACGCCTTCTTTCCCAAAAAGACTGAAGATCAGAGATCGCACACTTGCCATCTCATTTTCAGTTAGCTTGAATCTTCCAGGATGGACCTCTGAAAGAAGTACAGGAGAGAACAAGCATGACTGAAGTACAGTTTCACGTGGGTTAAAGAGTGAGTCCCTAGCCTGATCAAAGCACCATGAAGCATAAGAAATCCACGTCTTCCCCATTGTTGGGCATAGTTGTGTTGAGAACTTTGTAGCAGTACCCACAAATTCCTCAATAAGAGAAGCTGCACTTGCTTCAGAACCTAAGTTGTCGGACACGGCTTCACTTTTACCAAACAGGGACCCATCATCCACTTTAAAATCAGCTAGCATCTTAAGCATGATATTGCGAGGAGAGATGTCAGGGTAGTCAAGTCTCAACCATTTTGCAAGTTTCAAGCAAGCCTTAGCCTTCACAAAACTCTCATCATAACTTGAACATACAAATTCCTGCGAAAAGATCTTCGGGTGCAGAAAAGACCAAAGATGTGAAAAAGCATCTTCAATCTTGTTATCAGCATGCTCCCGTACAAATTCTTCATACTGGAGATGTAGCAGTAAGGCATCATGGTGTCTCTTCTCCGAGCACTTCGTTAAATTATCTCGGAGTTGATTATTCAAGCGGTTTGCCAACATGAAGTTCCCCTGCTTGCGAGCTAAACGTAGCATGCTCATAGAAAGCTTTAGAGTGAATGGAGAAGCTGGTAGTATGTTTTGATAGACCCTAAGAACTTTTAACCATGAACTACAATCTTGGCGAATTGTGCTCATTCGAGACTCGACACTGCCAACATATGACACTAACAATGATTGATGCTTCTTGGGTATGGACTGACTACTGTTTAGCTTCTGACCTTCCTGAAATGCAAAGATGCAGTGCAACTGAGTCGCATAAGCCTCTGCATCAGCTATGCTGTCAAGTGGCAAAACAGACAAAATTTCATCCAACATTGACTCCGCCTTCTGTATTTCAAGTGTGACCTTGTCTTCCTTCCCCCCAACAGAAAGCAGCATTGCCTGTAAAAGCATTTGTTCACTCCTTTGCAAAGCTAATTTAGGATCAAGAGTGAGTTCACAGCTACTCTTAGGAGTCAAATCAAGGCATGACCAAGCTGCATGGAAGTCACCTTCATCAAAACGTGCCAAGGCATGAATTGCATGGACTTCATTACCTGTTGTAGTTAGAGCACCAGAATAACTCTTTCCAGCATGTTTAGAACGGAGTGTTTGCAACTCCAATAACCATGATTCAAGGGAGTTCCAATCACAGATAGCAGTATAGCTCTCGATTATGCGCGCAATAGTGAACTGGACACCATCTGAACCCATGGAGCTGAGAGATTCCTCATTTTGAAGCAAGTGGCAGAAGTAAGCAGCTGCTTTTTCATATTGACATTGTGACTGATATATAAGACCAGTGACCCATGTCAAAGGCCCTGATGAGTCATTATGACCAACGGACTGGTTATCATCTACAAACAAGGAAGAAAAAGTCATTGAAGCCCACTGCTGCAGTCCTATCAACGATTCTGAATCATGAATCTTACATAGAGCCACAGCCATGTGGCGTAAGACCTTCAAAATATCTCCAGAAAACCTGTCCCTTGTTGTACGGAGGTTCTCTGCTGTTTGTACCCTAGACTTGTCTTTTAAGGTTGAAGCGAACAGACTTCTAATCTCCAGCAAGCGTGCCGTGCAATATTGAATTGTGGTGTCATGACATTGCAATGCTAATCCAGCATTCATCATCGGTTCACACATACGAGAAAACCACTCTTCACAAACCTTCTTGTTTGCCCTAAAGAACAAGGAACTCTGGCGTGTTGCAGGCAGTAAAATGGATGATCCCTCATATGCATTGTATACATTCTTCTTTAGGGACTCCACAAACTCCAAAAGCAGCCTCATGGGCAGCAGGTGTGCACCTGAAGACCCTATAATACTAAGGTTTCCATCATTTTGCTCAACATCAAGTTGAATCAAGTGTGCAACATCCAAAAGCATTCTCTCCAATGCCGCAAAAGTTTGACTAGGTCCACCAAGATTAGTCCTCAGTCTTGTTGCAATACAGTATCGAGCTGCTTCATGTATAGCCCACCATGCACCGGCTAAATTATTAACCAAGCACATCCTTTCAAGAATATCTCCATCCATTTTTCTGTCTAACAACAGAAAATCACCACCCGAAATAAGTGGATCCTCAAGTTGGCCTACAGTGTTATCCTTCGCATTACGACTGGCATGACTGAGTCGTTGGATCCAGCTAGAAAGAGGTACCTTCCATCTTTGAGAAATATAACTCAAAACAGTAACAAGCTGCTGAGAATGAAGTTGCTTCAGCTGCCTCAAAGCAAAAACTTGCTTCCAGTGCAAGTTGTAGGAGTTATCTGCAAGAGGCTTTCTCATGATTGACAAGCCACAGTCAAATATACCACATGCATAAACTGACATTGGCAACACATTTGAGAGGAGTCTAACAAATGCAAATTTGACATCCCCATTTGAATCACCGAGCTTTTCTAAGACCACTTCAACCATGGGATAGAAATACATGGCATCCATGAGCCTTGCTTGTAGAAGCAGCTCCAGAACTGAAGCAACAGCCAACCTCACTTTTGATTCCCTATCTGAAGCAGCATCAAAAACAGCAGAGATTATATTGCCAAGAGGTTTGTTGCAACAAAGTGCCTCGCCAAAAGAGAATTCTAGTTCTACATTCTGAAAACTAGCAACAAGAATTTTGGAGAACCTTTCTATCCATGCTAAGGCGGCCATTTTAAGGGCAAGTGGAGATCCATAATGTAAGGCTTTGACAAGGACTAGATTATACTTCTCCATAAGCTCAGCTACAAGAGCAGAATGTCCATCCTGAGGACGTCTACCATTGCATGTAGCTTTGGTAGCTACCTCATGAGAAGCTGTCCCACTAGGTACTTCTTTTGTGGACCAGCGGCTCCAAAATTCAATGGAAGCAAGCCTCTCAAGCATACCAATGATATTCGCTTGCAAATCGACACAGTCTTGAATAGCTAGGTCAAAGGGATTCAGTTTCTCAATAACAAAAGAAGTCAGCTTCTCTACTCTCTTCAAATACAATGCAGCGATATCTGGATGCCCAATCAAATTCTTATCGCCAATCGCAGAAACACATGTCAGTAGAACCTTCAAATCAAATTTCATCAGGGAAAACAGCTCAGACTTAAAGAAAGAGTGGACATCTGAGGCACTAGTCACCTCATTTCTAGTGTTTGTAGTTTTCTTCAATATGCCCTTCAAGAACTCCAGCTCCTCAGTTAACACAGTTACTGCTTGCTGAACAACCTCCTCATTCCCATGTTGAAGCAAGAAAATATAAGTGGCAGCAGAACTTCCTGTCACCAAGTGATTCGGATGCAACCGCAGTTGCGAAACTGGTGAATTAAACTCTAGTATTTTCTGGACTGATGCTGGGAGGATACCAAGTTTTTGTAGGGATAACAGTTGAAGATTGGTCTTCAAAACCCCATGAACTTGAAAGGAAGTAACCTTCTCAGCACCACCAAGTTGATTAGTTCTACTCTGATCCAAGCTCTGAAATAAGATATTGACAACAAGCGGGTACAAGGTTGAAAACCTTTCACCCAATATTTCTGCCAAAAGAGTCAAGCACTTCCATAAATCCTCAATCCACTTCGACCATCCGAATTTCCTCCCAATCATGGGCAAGCATTGCAACAGCCGTGGGAGCAGTTTGCTAAGTGGTTCGCTTATCTGTTCGAGCAAATTCATTTCCAGCAACCCAGAAGCAGTGGACTTCAGTACTGTTGAAAAACAAGAAAGCAATGCAAGCAACCTCCGGAATTGTGGGGGAGTTCCATGACTGTCATCTTGAAGCAAGACTTCCATGTCACCCAGAAACTTCGACAACAATCCTAGAGAGAACTGTAAATTTGAGACCCAGTGCTTGTGAAATTCCAAAAAGCTATCCAAAATCACTCGTCTATCTGCTTCTGCAAGATCTGGTACCAATACCCATCCAAGAAGCAAGTCAACTACATCAACAAAATGAGGCTGGAAGAATCTGTAAAACTTCAAAGAAATCAAGGTCATAATGCCTAGAAGCCGCCGCAATAAACTTAAGGAGGTTCTCTCGTCTTCCAGAAGCTCTTGGCATGCTTTGAGGATAGGTAACGCGAATCTTTCTGTACCCACAACATCTCCAACACTAAGAAACTCATGCAGGCTTTCAACTGCCAGCTCCATTGCAGCATCACCAGCAGTAACATTGGACAGCAATGGCAAAGCCCAAGCAATAAACCTGTCAACCAAACCACCAAGCACAAGATGGTTTGGCCTTCCGCTTGCTCCGACAGGAATCGAACACAATACCGAACAGAGTGCCCCATATGTGACAGCTGCAGACCGCCTCACAGACTGTGACCTGAGGCAGACATTCCCGGTAATTCATATTAGTTTCCACACCAATACCTCCACAACGGTAACTTCAATGCTTCACAGTAGACCTATTACATAACTTCTAGCTTCGACGCAAATTATTGAGAAAATTAATCAAAATTACAGCATAATGACGGTGAAATTCGAGCTGAAGGGAGAGAGGAAGAAGCCAAACTTGTCAGAGAGCAGCTGAGAGAAACCCTGGGAGAGAAACGAAGCAGAGTGAGCGACAAGGAGCGAGTTGGGAGGGTAGAGGATAGCACGGTGGAGCGAGTTGATTGCGCTGAGCCGAGCGGAATCGTCGGCATTGGAGTTAGCAGTTTTCGTCGTTATCGGAGTTGCTGGTGCCGGCGCGGTGGCGGCAGCGGCAGCGGCAGCGACAACTGAGGAGCCGGCAGTAGAAGGAGAGGGAGTGACGACGGGAGCAGAGTCGTCTTTGGCAAGGGCGATGGAGAGGAGAGCTGCGAGTTGCTGTTGATGGTGGTGAAGTCCTTGCATCATCGCTACGGCGGCGGAGTTGCATCTCCTCCGCCGTGTTCAGCTGATCGGATTTTGGGCTTCGTGCTGACAAAGCTTTTCAGTATATATTCCTCAGAGGGGGATGCATACAGAACTGTATTATGTTCGTCTTCTTGGCCCCCGCTGGTTTGTGTTTGAGTAGAAGAGAAAAATCCAGTGGGGGCATCGGCATACCCCAAAAACTTGTCGCAAAACTGCCCTTGCTTTACTAACAATCATGGTTGTCATGCCGGTGGCATTCCACCCGGTTCAACCTGGTTCAACCTATGCCGGTAATGAAACCGGCATAATATTACCGGTATGACCGGTATGATCAACTTACGCATTCTAAGTAAAATGACATCATTTTAATGAACTTAATGAATGAAAAAATTAATTTATTATTCATTTTATGAATGTAATAGCTAAAACTTGATGATATTTGTTGGATTGTAACTAAATTGTCCACAAATATGTTTAATATATGATTAAATACATTAGATATTAATTGTTTTCACATTTTTTTAACCGACATGAACCGGCACAAACTGATTATACCACCGGTCGTACCATTTCACTTGCCAAACCGGCACAATAGTATAAACCGGTTTGACAACCTTGCTAACAATATAAATTTTTATAAAACATGTTTTCTCTATTATTACGCATTTTTATCAAACATGTTCCTTTATTATTTTTTATAACAAATATGTCTCTATAATATGTAAAAATGATCAAACATGTTCTTCTGTTAAAATTTGTATAAAAAAAATCATCAACCATGGCCAAACCTTGATTTGGGCGACACCTATATCGAAAAATATTCCTAATAATTTCACTTTAAAATTGTTTTGTTTCTTTTGTATAGTCACATACCTCTAATAATTTCACTACAACGAGACTTGGAGAAATAAATGAGGAAAAACAGATATTACACCCCCAATTTTTTCGGTGTCGGGTTGTGTGAATCTCGGTTCAACCGTGATTGACCATTTTTAATGGAAATTTTAGCATAAGGGCATGTTTGATAATTTTACAAAAGTATAGGGGCATGTTTGATGTAAAAAATAGGCAAAATAATATAGCCATTTCTATTCGAAAAAAACAAATAACCAATTCCGTCCATTTTGGTAACGGTGTTAGCAGACGTTATGACTGTACTAACGGCTTGCACTGAGTTGGCAACAGACGTTACCCCACTTTCCGACGTGGAAATCAGACTTAAAAAAAATGAAAGTGATCAGCTGTCCACCACCAGTCGCGACTCTTCCATTCCAACCTTATCCCTTCATTTTTCTTTCCCCCTTCACCTCTCTTCCTCCGACCACGACACAAGACTGACGACGACTGAAAGATTGATCCCAACATTGTAACCCCAATGCCTAATTCTCCTCTCCCTCATTCCTCTTGAATGATTAATTCGATTGATTGATGCAAAATCTCAATCGTGTTCTCTGTTCCCCGCATCCCCCAAATCCGAATCCGGTGGAAGAAGGAAACCCATCTGGCGGATTGAAAAGAAATTCCCAAATCCATACAAGCTGAGGCGAATCGGGAGCAATCATTTGGGAATGACGATGAAAGGGAACCAGAAAGATCCGGAGAAGATCATCTGGGATCAGATGCGGAACCCAAACTCCGTCGCTGCTCCCGGTTCCCCAGCTCGGATCCTCCCCAAGCTCATTGTATGGCTTCTCCTCTTCGTCACCGTCACCTACGTTTTCTACACCCTCAAGCTCCTCTCCACTTCCCAAGCCTGCGACGAAGACCCCTTCTCCCACCACCACCGCCTCTCCCACGTTTCCCTCAGCGACAACCACTCCTCCTCTTACGATACGGGCACGGGAATCGCTCTCCCGCGGCGGGAGATCGAGGAGATGCCGGAGAAGCAGGGGACGGGTCTTCAGCACGTGGTGTTCGGCATCGCGGCGTCGGCGAGGCTCTGGGAAAAGAGGAAGGAGTACATCAAGATTTGGTACAAGGCCGACAGAATGAATGAAGTCGGTGGCGGTCTCCAGCGGCGGGGTCGCGGTCTCCAGCGGCGACGTCGTCTCCAGCAAGTGCAAACCCTAATTAGAAACTGGAGTTTAGAATTTCGGGGACAGGGAAGAAGGAGAAAGGGAAGTAAACATATATAATTTTTTTTATTATTATTTACGTGGCATTCCACGTGTACGTTTTGCTGATGTGTCAATGATGTGTAGGTCGGTTTTCGTCCTCGTCAGCGTTCCGTCAAACGATTTAACGGAGTCGCAGACGGTGTTAAAGTTTCTAACGGATTTGGCTAGATTTGTCACACTACCCTCAGTTTTTTGGGCTATTTGTGGTTTTCGAATAGAAATGGCTATATTTGTCAAAAGTGTGAAAGTTATGGCTATACAGGTGTATTTTGCCTAAAAAATAGTATAGGGACATGTTTGATAAAATTGCATAGTAGAGGGGCATATTATACCTATAAGGCTATAACCCATAACAAATCTAACAATTTACGTTACAAATTTTAACGGTGTTAGAGACACCGTCAGTTATTGTAACGGTACGCTAATTAGGATCTAAATCAACACACATCAGCGACAAATGGGCCTAAAATGACACATTATTTGCCTTTTCTTCTTGGTTCTACGGGGATTTGGGGTTTTCTTATTAATCTTCACCACTGATTTCTCCCATCGCTTTATGTGTCTGGAATTGGGATTCTGGAATCGAAAATAATCCTTCCTCAAAAACTCAAATATGGTTCCCCCAACAAATCCAATCCCACTACCACTTCCACCTTCGAGAAATTCCCCAATTATAGCAATGAACTCGTCTATCGGATTCCTCACTACTCCAACGCAAATCGAGGGTTAGAGTTCTTCCATCACTTGATGATCGCACTATAGTGCAATGCAAGTAATAAAATCCTAGATAAATAAGGGTGGTATTCTATGAGTTATTTTGATTGTAACTACTCAAAGCTAACTAGTTGTGTCGAATCAAAATGCAAACAAAGTAAACATGATGGTTTGAGGTGTCCTTGGTCGAGTTCTACTATATTAATGCAACTAAATGAAAAACCAAGCAAGTAAATGAATGTTTAGGTAGTGTTTTCTAGATAATCATGCATTTATTCTTCTCACTAAGATGCATATATACATCATCTATGATTGTGTCCTATCTCTTCCACTAAGGTCATCCTACTCGAGGTTTCACAATATGCAATAGGAACTTGACTAGCTAATGCATGCTTTCGCTTCTTGCAATCACCTAATCAATGAAAGAACAGAGAAGTTATGATAGCATATATATAGTTAAGTGTGGACCTTGTTATACCCTCGGTATTTGGCTTCACGTTCAATCATAATAAACGAATGATTGGATTGACAGTTGAGTACGAAAACTTGAATCAAACAAAACCAGGCAAATCAAAATGCGGGCCATTTTCTAGTAAGTTATGACACCGGACGACGATACAAAAACGGTGGTGATAGGTTAAGGAGTGTCTAGTTTTGAGGTTAAGGGTGAAGAGTAATGTCAACTCCCACAAGTTCTTTTAAAAGGATAAAGTTAGAGGAAGCGAGTAAGACCAAATCCCGCAAAGTAAAAGGCAAATGTTTAAGATTTCTTTGATTATAATGTTTGAGTTTTGAGGGTGTCGAGTTATAACAACTCCCACGTGTTTAAGTGTAATGTTAAAGGGTGGAAGTATAAACAACTTCTCATTTCATCAGGTATAAAAAGGTTTAGAGGGCGAGTAGCTCGAGAGGAGATAGTGCGACACTAACAGCAGCAACATCCGTGAAGATGTCCCAGAAAGGATCACGTAAGGGAGTTGTAGTTGGAAATGTTTAGTTGTTTTCGTTTCATGATTCTGAGTATAAACTGGAGATGCAGAGTTTGTGTTTTAAGATTTATGGATTAAAGTTGCCCAACTGCTTAGGGCTTTATATTTGAGTTATAAGAAATGGTTCAGTTTTCTTTTGTTTACCTTGTTTTTATTTTTAAGAAAATTTTACTCGGTTCCGAAGCATTTGCTTTGTATTTTTGGTTAAAAGGATAAAGATGTTACAGACCTCTTAGGCATAACTCGTAGTCTATAGCATCGATGATCTAACAATCAAGCATTGATACTAGTTGATGCATGGATGTGTAGCTAATCCTCTCATACACGTCTAGCATCGATGGGGTATCCCTAGAGGGTAGTGTTCTTAGCAGCGTAGATGATACTAAGCATAGTGCATAGAGTAACATATCGTAGATTCGTGCACATAGAACAAACGAAACATCATATGATATAAAACATCAATAATTATAAACAATAGATGATTCAAGCATGCATTCAATAAAGCATGTAAGGTAACAACTATTGAAGATCATAAGCATAAAAAAAAATAGAATCTTCATTGATTCATCAAAAGATACATAAACATTATCGAATTCACATCTTTAAACAAATCAAACTGGAAAAGTATAGGAGAATAGGAAGACATCACTGAAGATGAAGAACATTGATGGTCAATCATCATCGTCAAACTCCAACATGGTTTTTCCTCTTCTCTAGGATTCCTAACTCGTGCCCCTAAGGCAGAGTGCTGGTAAAAGGTGTAGTATGAAGTCTACCCTAGGCCTCTATTTATACTAGTTACAGAAGGGGGTTTTCTTAGATTTTTCCTCTACAAAATGGCTAAAACCTTCCATGTACGACTTGAAATTGTATCCCATCGACTTGTGGACGAAGTAACCTTGAAGAGGAAGTTTCTTGAGCTTGGGCTTGAGTGGAGGTCGGACCCGTTACTGGGTCGCCACATGTTTTCTTCGTGCAATGGATTGTTTGGCACACAAGCAATCTCTCCTCCAAATTTGGGTGTGATATGACTTATAGAACTCTTTTGGACATCGATCAAAATTGAGTCTGCTTCACTACCAGATCTGCTTGTTTTGGCCATAAAGTGAGCATCCAATGTCCAAATCCATATATGTTTGAGCCCATGAGCTTGTAATATCATCCTCCTTCTGATTCATTGGATCCCTTGGTGATCCATATTTGTGAGTGCATTATATTCTTAAAAATCATAAAAGAGCACCAAAAGACATAAAATAATAGAAAACACACTCAAGGTCTATCACAAAAATTTAATTTGATGGGTATGGGGCGGATATGATTTTAGACTCCCTGCCCCATACCCATACCCGCCCTCCTCAAAAGTATTTCTTCACATGTGAAAAAATATGTGAATCAATTTGTGATCTATCAATAATAGTGAATATAACTCAATAAAATATAAAGTAAAAATGCAATTGAGTGGCCACCCAAATCAAAATTATGTTTGTTAATTTTCCCTTCACTCTTTCACTCAATTTTGAACCTTCACTCTTTCACTTTTTCCCACTTGTTAGATTATGTTTGTTAATTATTACTTAATAGATGTATCATAGTAGAGAATGATGATTTGGATTATATTGTACTTTATCTTAAGGATTAATGGATCTTTTAGGATAAGATGATTTGAACCGTATTAAAAATGATTGTCTCTTTGTCGACTTCTAATATAGTAGGTGTGTTTAATGTTATAAATTATAATTGAAAAATCTACATGTAAAATATTAGGTATTAGAATATTGGATGTACGGGGCGGGTATTACCCATGAGTACCCAAAACCCACGGGTATGGGGATGGGTTTGCAAAACCTCCTCCCGTATGGGTATGGATATTTGAAAGCGGGGATGTGGATGGTTTAGGCAAACCCGCCCCATTGTCATCCCTAGGTGGGAGGTGACACAATTGAATTCCATCTTGGACTGGCGGTTGGGAGAAAGGAAGGGGAAAGAACAGAGAGAGAAGAGAGAAAATAAAAACATTTAATGAACTTTTTTTAATTTTTTCAGTAGATTCAACCTCACATTGTTATTGACGAAATGTAGCCAAGTCAACCTTTTCATTAGTCCAATCAGCCTATTAGATGACACCATTGAAGAACTAGACGGAGTTGACTATTTTGTGTATTTCTCAAAAAGTGACTATTAATTGACAAAACACGAAAGTTATAGCTATGCAGGTGTATTTTATTTTCCCCTTGTTTATCTATAAAATACTAGTATGTGCTTGGCGACGGTTATAGATTATAAGCTTTAACTGACTGTCTAAAGAGCTTATGGTAAACAATTGATTTAGGAAAAAATAGTTTATTATAAAAATTGGTTGTAGAGTATAAAAAATCCTATGAATAGTGCCCACTACGAAAAAATGGGAAAATTTAGTATCGCCTCCATTTTTTAGTAAAGAATAATGATATTTTTACGGTAAGGAATAATGATTTTAAGTTGTGCTTATACGAAAAATAAATGCAAAAAAATAAAATAAATGCATTTTTGGGCATACTAGTGCCCACTATGAAAAATAAATGCATTAATTTATTTTATAATCCCACGAAAACAGAACCAACAATTACGCTGACCATTGAGGTGGACACGTGCGGTGGAGATTCCCTAGTGTATGACATACACCAACTTTTGTCTAGTGTACGATAGAACCATCCATCTTAACAACAAGTGCTTTAGTACGTTGAGTCTCGTAGTGTTGCCTCTCATGTTGAAGCATCATTTGGAGAACTTGATAAATTGATGGTAAAACAACAACAAAAAGAACATGTGACCTTCCACCAACAAGAATTTCAATCAGACCTCTTCAAAATTGGACTACATAATTGGTATCTCTATACTCAAACACTTGTTCATGGCTTTGTAGTTGGCATGGTTGGATGATGTGCAATCACTATATTCCAAAGGTTGATAGTTCTCAGTTCATCTCTTATGATTTCAAGTTTCATAGTAATCAGTAATTGACTGGTTACCTTTATTATCCAAGTAGCAGATAGTCTCAGTCAGTCAACTCTGTTATCCTTACCATATCACCCTGGCCAATCCTTGCTCTCAAACTTCTCCATGCTCCATGAGGTGTCTTGCAATACATGATAGTCTTTCTAATGTCGGGATCAACTGCTTGTTGGATCATGGCAAGAACCATGACGTTGTTACGCTTCATGACCATGCCAAAGGAGTTTCTTCTCATGGGTTATGGAAGGAGCTATTGATGAGATCAAACTTGTTCTTGACCTCTAAAGTATTGTACATGACTTTGCTATAATCGTTGTAGTTAGTGGGGTGAGTTCTCTCCCACCAACACCAACTCGAGCTTTTCAAATCCATGAAAATAGTAAAAATATGTTGTTGGATCACCATTGTTACGATTGTTGTTGACAACTTCTGCTTCTCGACTCATGGTTGCAAAAGAGGTTAGGGCTTGCAACCAAACTTTGATACCATAACAACGCCTTTAGTTTTGTGAAACCCTAAAAATGTGGTTGTTCTCATTGCATCTCACAAGTCACAACTTATATAGCTGGAACTTGTGGCTATAAGTCCTTTGTTGAGACTTACACTTAGAGAGGAAGACAAATTTGGAGATGAAACAAGTATGTGTCGAAAAGGAAAATTGTGTAAGTTAAAGAATATTGGGTACTACTTGTCATTTTTCCAACATCGACGTCAATCTAGTTTCGGTTGTTTGCATATTTTCTTACAATGATATCACTTATATTGCACTTCGAATACATTCGACTACAAAGAGGAAGTTACATCATGAAATCTTGAAACAAGCGGGACAACCTCATCATCTAGATGAGCACACTGACACAAAGTGGTAAGCTCGAAATGACGAAAGGAAAAGCATGATCAAACCAAATAAGAGATTATCTTTCTTGATCCAAGAAACAAAGCATCCAAAAACACTCTTTGCAACTTCATTCATGGAAGTAGCACAAAGCATAATCCAATACAAAATTGACCATGACAACTAAACAAAGCAACACCATATGCCACATCCTGGAGTTTCTCAACGACGACCCATCACAGTGAATCACTGAATTGGAATTTCATCGCGGTGGAAAGGATTGTAACCGGACTTCTCAGAGTTGAAGCAAGGCCGATGGAACCACAGACAGAGACACCCATGACAAAATAGAGCAACAAAGCATCCAAGGGTTGAAAGCAAACCAAAATAAAGCACACAAAAAAACCCCAAAACACAACTCAGAAAACCCCTTGTAGAAACCAAAACCCCAGCAAAGATGAACCAATAATACAAGCATAAGAAAAATCACAAACACCAAGAAGAGACCCCCTGTAGAGATCAAGAAAACACCTAAAGAGAACAACCCAAAATTCCATAACCAAAGCATAAGAAAGTAACAACCATACTACCCCAACCAACCCCCAACCACAAAAACAAATCAACCCTAGATGGAGCAAATGCAGTCAAAATCTAGATTTTAAGTAAAATCGAAAACTGAGGTAGAATCGAAATCGTAGATTAAAATCGTAAAATCGTAAGATTTTAAGGTTCATATTAAAATAAATACTTAAAACACTAGATAGTAATAAAATGCCTATCTTGAATAACAATCAACCACTTAAAGCATAATTACTTCCCAAGATAAGTTTGTTTGCTAAACAAACACAACTAATCCATATATTTTTCTTGTACATAATAGAAACACACAAATAAGAAACCTGAAACATTATATTATCACTGTTAATTAATTGTTAAGAGTAGAAAATTACATAAGATCGTTAGAATCAACATTAACATCACTTACACATTATCGTCATCATCCTCAACCTAACCCTCACTCTCATCGTTTTTATTTGTTTAAGGACTAATATCATTACTCTTATGATCACTTGAAGTACTTTCACCATTAACCATATTTCCTTGATTACCATCATCTGGAAAAGATAACTCATTGATTGATGCATTCCCTTCTTAATTGATAAAAGGTCGGGTTAGTGGTGCTGAAGGATTGGGAGATGAACAAAAGCTTGCAATGTAATGGAGATTTGGATTATTGTGAGGGTGATCAGAACAAACTACAAGCTAATTGGGAGGGTGGAAGATATCGTTGATGGAAGGAGTTGGGCGCCGACGTGCGAAAGAGGAAGATACGAGGAAGAGAATGAAAATAAATTGAGGGTTAACTTCAGGTTGGGGTTGGGGTTGTGTTGTTCATTATGTTGGGTTGGGGAAAGTAAATTTGACTCGTTTCATGGGCATAACCCAACTTGACCGGCCTAATATTGATCCAATTGATATGAACCTTGAAATCGTACAAAATCGTAAAAATCGTAGATTTTATGGATTTTAGAGTTTTAAATCGGAATTTTATGAGATTTTAAGGTTCAAAGATTTTACAGTAAAATCATGATCGGAACCCATAGGTAAGATCGTCAAATCGTAAGATTTTAAGATTAAAATCGGGATTTTGACTACATTGGATGGAGCTCATAACTCAGTAAACTATGGAAAAGACGTTGCGGCTGTCGGAAGAGACAATTTTACCCATTTTAATCAATCGGAAGGAACTCATAGAGCAAGCTTTGGGGACATTGATGGATGGTTAACGGTGAATGTGATCACATAGATAGATGACCACACCAAGAATGAAGAACACCTTCACATAAGATCTAGCAGAGGCTCCCAAACTGCATATTCTGGACCCATAGTAGAGCGAGGCCAAAACTGGTATAGTAAACCTTGAATAGAGGAAGACACATCCATCTTCACGGGAGAGGATTGCTGGAGGATTCCGCGAAGGAAAAAGGAAAATGCCACTAAGGTTGGAAAAGCCAATGATGGCTCGAAAAAGAGAAGTCTGGAGAATCCACTTATGGCTGGGGAAAAACCCTAGGAAAAATACAGTCAAAATCGCGCTTTAATGCTTAAAAATTTACGATTTTACATTTACCGGTCACCAAAATTCTTCTACGTAGAATCGTGCTTTTTTTATGGGCAATATCAAAAAACTTTATTAAGCTCTATGTGTCCCCCAGAACAGGGAATACACATCTGGACCATTTACAATTGTACAGCAAGCTGAGACCTGCTCTACTACACTCTTTTTTATACAACAAACAAAAGAACTTGTACTACTACAGTCTGTTTCTACATTCTGCTTCTTTCCATTCCTTTACTGACTAAACACCACTCGACAGTCAGTGTCCAGTGCTACATTTCCTTGTCTGGCCAGCTCAATCGCCCTTCGAACCGTCCTGATCAGCTCCTCATACTGCATTGAATTACTTCCATACAATCTACCACAACGTTCCCGCCAAATCGAGCTTACTACTAAATTCCAAACCAATCGGCCAACCATAGCTAACTCCTTCTTGCCTTTGAAGTTCCTCACTGCCCACTGCAAGTAATCTTCATAGCTGACTAGATGAGGACAGCTTAGATTAAGCATTTGTAAACAACCCTTCAGCACCTGGAATATATATTGACATTGGAAAAACAAGTGGTCTCTATCCTCTGTATGAGCATAACAGAGCAAACAATTAGCATCCAATACCTTCCCTCGGCTCTTCAATTGGTCCAGTGTAGTGATCCTGTTACGTGTTATAATCCAACTTAAGAAACTTTGCTTTGGAATAGAGTGTCGTCCCCATACAAGCTAATACCAGAGCACTAGAGGTCTAGCCGGCTGTAAATCCTGCCAAACCTACTTTACAGAATAACGCAACATCCTCTTATCATTCCAAAAGACTTGTGTTCCCCAACAGCGAAAGAAACCTTCCACCTTATCCCTTACCTTCCAAACCCATGAGGCAGTACTTCCTTTTCTTAATTCCCAGAATGTCAGGTGCTTAATTTGATACTGATAATTCCATGTAACCCACTAGAACCCCTCTTTAGCAAGCAGAGCCCATATATGCCTCGTAGCACAAGATATATTCCACGTCTTTAGACAACGAATTCCTAGTCCACCATCTTTTTTGGAATTGCTAACAATCCCCAAGCCATGACTGCTTTCTTTCTCATGGAATCTTCATCTATACCCCAAAGAAACTTGCAACATATTTGCTCTATCTCCTTTATGATGGACAGTGGCAAAAAGGAACACATCCATCCAGAAGTAGGATAGACTATTTAATACAGAAGTGATGAGTTGAAGTTTACCTGCATAACTGAGCAGCCTAGGCTTCCATCCAAAGATGCGTTTTGTGATCTTCTCAACTAGCACACGACAATCACTTGTAGTAAGCTTCCCTGCGATAAGAGGAACTCCTAGATAACGAACTGGTAAAGAAGCTTTCTGAAAGCCTGCTCACCGAGCCAATCGATCATGTTCTGCCTCATCAATCCCTGTGCAGAATAATTGGCTCTTCTCTGGATTAAACCTCAAACCTGAAAGCCTGTAGAATTTATCTAGCAGACTTTTTACACTCTCCACTGCTTTAGTAGAACCATTGGAGAATAGCAGTAAGTCATCTGCGAACACAAGGTGTGTGATGCCTAGCTTCTTACATCTTGGATGAAATGGAAACTCACCAGAAGTAGCACCTTTATTCAATATACACGATAAAACTTCCATAGCTATTGAGAATAGGAAAGGAGATAGGGGATCACCCTGGCGCAGGCCTTTCAATTGTAGTCAAAATCTTTGCTTTAAAGCATAAAAACTTACGATTTTATACTTCTAGTTCACCAAAACGCTTATACATAAAATCACGTTTTTTTACTGCAATGCCTAGGAAAAGGCCAAAAAGCAAGAGAAATGAAAGAAGCATAAGCAGTGTTGTCTCGCCGTAGAATGCCAACTGTCGAATTTGGTTCAATCGATTCCGGTAACGAATTGACATGAATACTACTAGTATGACCCGCATGATCCATTTTCGACTTATATACAAAATGACATCCTTTTAGTGAATTTAATTAATAATAAACTTAAATTTTGATTTATTTTATTAATTTGAAACTTAAAATGTGGATGTTATTTGTTGGATTTAAGTATAAAAGTTTGAATGTTGACGTTAAATACTATATTTAAATATGAATATAGATGGTAAGAAAATTGTTTTCAAATATGTTTTCTATATGGTTACATTCATAAAGGTTTTTTTTTAATATTTTAACACAAACCAATTATCTAACCGGTCGAATTTTACCACTTGATAAATCGATACAACGATATAATCCGAATTGAGAATATTTCAAAGTTGAGTATAAAAGAAAACTTTATGTTGTTTGGATTGATAATTTCAAAAACTTGTTATTTATGGGCCAATTACCACACAAATACCACGTAACATGTCAATATCATTGACAAAACAAGTGAGTGAAGCTTGGCGAGGAGTGTCCACTGTCCATTCCTTATGCAATTGCAAAGATTCAAGAAGCAACTATATGAACGAGGAGAATATGGATTATGGTGGACATGGCGCGACTCAAAGCTCAATCCTCAATCATAAAAAAAAAAATCAAACGTCTCCCATGGGAACTGATACTACAGCCATTAAGCCAAAAATTCGTTGATATTCATACAAAATCTGGCGCCAAGACCAAACAGCAAAATTCTACAGCCTAAAATATTGCCGCGAAAATTCAATTCAAGCAACAGGAATCTGCTGCTGCGGCTGCTGGATGATATTGCCTTGCTTCTTCCCCTTCGACTTGTCCTCGTTGAAATCTTCTGGGTTGTATATGACCGTGATGTAGAGGGAGCAACTCGGACACCGAGCGATTTCTTCACCGATCCGGAGATCCTCCTTCGTTATCTGGAACAGATCGCCGCAGGGGCACGGGTACGTGAACGATTGGAGCTCCTCGTTCCACTCCATGTCTTCTATCTCCACGTCGTCGTATGACATCGCTCTCTGCCGGCGACGCTTCTACTTTCTTTTTAACCCCGGTCGCTAATCCGGCGGTTGAAGAAACGGAAGAATCGGGGGGAAGATTGGCGACAGCGGAGGTTTCGTTCTTCTTTCTCTGCCTGTCTAGTTTGCTTTTTAATTAGGGTTTCGCGTCGAGAGCAATCTGATCAATGTCGAAGGAGAAAAGGAAAGTTATTTTGGGCCCGTAATTAAATTTCTGTGGGCCTCTGGGCTCAATAATCCATATGTGTTTTCTTTTCTCTTTCCATCCTCTTCCCAGAACCACACTGCTACTGTATTCTCTCAAACTGCTTCACTTGTTCTCTCTGCAGCTAAAATTTAGCGACCGCCCGATTCCTGCTGTTGTTTTTCGGCAATATGAAGCCGATTAGAATCGTCAGTTGTGGATTGTCGAAGCTCAATGGCGTCAAAACCACCATTATTGTCGCCAGTCAGAACTCGCTGGATTCCCGTCGCTGTTTCTCTACCACGGCGGAAGTCCAGTCACGAAGCAGTCCACCACAACCGCCTCGCTCGGGGAAGGAGGGTGAGATCCTCGACTTGATTCAATCTTCACTGTGGCATTCCGTCAAGCACCTGGCGCCCAACTTGACAGCTTCTGTGATTTCCTCCACTCTCCTTGCACTTCAGAAAAGTCCTGATTCAGCTTTCCGGTTCATTACTTCGGTTGAGTTTGAATCTCTTGATTTGAAAACCAAATGCTTGGCTGTGGCTGTGGTCTCTAGGTCCCCCTCTCCGAAACCCGCTTTGCAATTGCTAAAACAAACCATTACACGTGGATTGGGTAGCGTAGGAGAAGCTTTCAATGAGTTGGCGGTTGCGCGGGATAAGTTGGGCAGTGAAAGTACTTTACTTTTCGATCTGTTGATCAGGGCTTGTTGTGAATTGAAGAGGGGTGATGATGCTTTTGAGTGTTTTGATAAGATGAAGGATAAGGGTGTGGTTCCCACGGTTGAGACTTGTAATGTAATGTTGAGTCTGTTTCTGAAGTTGAATCAGACAGACAAGGCATGGGTTCTATATGCGGAGATGTTTAGGTTGAAGATCAAATCCAGTATGTACACATTTAACATCATGATTAATGTGTTGTGCAAGGAAGGGAAACTGAAGCAGGCGAAGGAGTTCATTCCTTTCATGGAGAGTTTGGGAATTAGGCCTACCGCTGTTACCTATAACACACTGATTCATGGTTACTGCACAAGGGGGAGATTTGAAGCCGCTCTTTTGGTTGTGGATCTAATGAAACGTAAAGGGGTTGAACCTGATCCCTACACCTATGGTTCACTTATTACTGGGATGTGCAAGGAAGGGAAACTTGAAGGTGCTTCTCAATTGCTTGAGAAAATGAAAGAAACTGGGTTGCTTCCAAATGCTGTGACATACAACATCTTGATTGATGGATATTGCAATAAAGGCAATTTGGAGATGGCTTTTCGCTACAAGGATGAGATGATTGGAAACGGTATTTTGCCAACTGTGTCAACTTACAATCTGCTCATTCATGCTCTACTTATTGAAGCCAAAATGGACGAAGCTGATCAGATGGTAAAGGACATGAGGGCTAGGGGTATTGTTCCTGATTCTATAACCTATAATATCCTAATCAACGGGTATTCCAGATGCATGAATGCTAAAATGGCATTCAACCTACATGATGAAATGCTGAGTGCAGGAATTCAGCCAACACGTGTAACGTATACGTCTCTCATTTATGTTCTGAGTAAACGTAAGAGGATGGAGGAAGCTGACAGTTTGTTTGGAGAAATTGTGAAGAAGGGCATTCTGCCTGACCGTATAATGTTCAATACATTGATTGATGGTCACTGTGCAAATGGGAATATGGAACGGGGATTTGCATTGTTGAAAGAGATGGACAAAAGGAATTGTTTGCCTGATGAAGTGACTTACAATACCCTTATGCAAGGCCGTTGCCGGGAGGGGAAAATTGAAGAGGCTCGTGCTCTTATCAATGAGATGAAGAGTAGAGGTATTAAACCTGATCACATAAGTTACAACACTCTAATTAGTGGTTATAGTAAAAGAGGTGACATGAAGGATGCATTTAGAGTTCGGGATGAGATGTTGAGTATAGGATTCAACCCTACACGCCTCACTTATAATGCTCTGATTCAAGGTTTGTGCAAAAACCAAGAAGGTGATCTTGCTGAAGAGCTCCTTACAGAAATGGTTAGCAGAGGCATTGCACCTGATGATAGCACATACTTTTCTTTAATTGAAGGGATTGGGAATGTTGATGAGTTCTTGAGCAGTAAGACTGCAGGACCAGTTTCATTACAGGAAAATGGAACACTGTAGCACACTGGTTTTCTAACCAGTTCTCAGTGCTCCATGCTAGGGGAAAGGCAGATAGCAGCAGGGGACATCAACAGACCAATTGATGGTCCGTAATCCTCAAAGTTCCTTGGATGCTGTCTTGCATAGCAGTGCACATTGCTTTGCATATGCTGAGTAGAGCTCAGTCTTCTACAAGGTAGTTGAGATGATGAAAAGAGTGGAAATGGAATTCCACTGTATGCACAATTTCATATCTGGCTCAATAATGCATGAACCCTTATAATGCTTTTAGTCTCACAAATTTCTAATTTGACGTGTTCAAGGTTCATTCTCCTTTTGCCTGTAGCATTACCTTTAGCACCAAGAAAGTGGATCTCGACTCAAACACCAAAGTCCATCCTTTTCTCTATAAGCCACAAATCTTTGGTAATTGGTATATATCAGGAATCTTACCCTCTTGGTGGTAATTGCATGATTGTTGACTTAAGATTGCTGCAGGCAGCATATAATTGGACAAAGCCAGACACATCATTAACCCTTGAGGGTTCTCCTTGGCCTCAAAGCCACATGAAGAGCCGTGCATGCTTTTTCAAAAGCTCATGTTTAATAGAAAAGAGGCAATCAACACTTGCCTTAAATTGAGAGAGGACTTTGCTGCTTTTTCTGCTTTGTGGATAAAAGCTTTAGCAGATAAGGTATGCTATCTCGCTTATTTTTCCATGAATCGTTGATATAATGTAATGGATTTCTGGGTAAATGGAATCTTAAAATGAATGGTACATACTTTCTGGTTCTTACTCACAATGGTAACTGCTTTATGATTTGTCATTGTTGCACAGATGTCCCTTTCGTACAGTATGGGTTGGTGGAGTACACATGCATTTTACACTACATTCTGTCGCTTTACTCACTCACTTGCTGGTATATTTATAGGTAATAGAGTCCTGTTATGCTATAACTGAAGGCTGCCATGGGGAATTTCATAGCCCACATCGTGCCTGGTTTGGCTTTAACTCTTCTTGGCTTATGGCACACCATCAACACTACCAGGTCCTACTGCAACAACAAGACCTCTACAAACTTCATCGTCAAGTTTTGGCACCCATTTAATTGTCCTTTTTCCAGGCTCAAATACGTGGAGCCTATCCTCATTCTATCCTTCTGTATATTATCAGTTTTGGACCAAATTTTCGATTTCCCTCTCTTTCGCTTCTCCTTCGAGCTTGTCAACTTGGAACATGCAACCATGTTCCTTCACCTTGCCATCTTTGCAGGTTTCATCCTTTGCACAGAGATAACTCGATCATCTCACATCCTGTCTAGTTTCACTGGGATACTCGCCACTTCCCTCTTCAGCCAAGAGCTTTTCCTCCTTCATTTCCACTCAGCTGACCATGTCGGTCTAGAGGGCCATTACCACTGGCTCCTTCAGCTTATAATATTCACCTCTCTCCTATCAGCCTTAGCTGCCACTTTTCTCCCAACTAGCTTCCCGGCAGCCCTTGGTCTTTCAGTTTCAGTAGTATTCCAGGGATGTTGGTTTATGAACATGGGGTGTATGCTGTGGCTTCCTCAGTTTGTTCCTCAGGGGTGCTCAGTGAATACGATGCTGTCGGGTGGGAACAGCGGTTCCGTAATTCATGGAGCAGTCACCTGTGAATCTTCTTACGCAGATCATAGGGCTAGAGCTCTTGCAAACTTGCAGTTCAGCTGGATACTTTGCGGAATCATGTTGGTCACTGGTTGTCTTTGCCTGAAATCAGCTGGGAAGTCCACCCGGAGTCTGCAGCAGTATGAGCAACTCAACACCATCAGAGGTGGTGATAGTCCTGTCACCATTATCGAGGGCTTCAAGTAAGTCCGGCTCGAAGCACTAGCTACATAATCTAGTTTAAGATGATGATGATGATATGATGGGCACCACTGTAGAATGAATAACTAAGGATGCATATGTACTGAACTTATCTTTCAATACAAAGAATGAATATCCAGGAGCAAAGTGATACTGTTGGTTGTAAAGATGAAAGCTTTCTTATCTTCCCGAAGGTCAAAAAGGAAAGTTTTTTTTTTTATGTGATGGTAGAGAAAAGGAAAAGGGTTTGCTTTTGCTACTGCTTTCCCACTCGGATCTCTCAAGCTCAATTTGTCTTTGGGTTTCTGGCCAAGTAGAAATGATCATCTGAGGAACGGTGAGACTATATGATTGATGCAAAATTGGTCTGATATAGTGGTGCACAAAAGTTCAGTCCAAACCATATCGAGCCCGTATCTTACCAAATGAAAACTGTCGAGATGTATTGACAAGAAAGGAATGAAGGGGGGAAAAAGTTTTTTCGCTGAATGCCTGAATCGGGATTTGGTTTGGGGCCGTCGGTTGTCAAAACCCAAATGCTCTTCTCGTTCTGGCAATGCCAGGCATGATGATCTTTTGATTGGTCATGGGCCTGAAAGCCTTCATAATTTGGGCTGTTTCTCGTTCTTTTCTGCTTTCTTTCCAACTTGGATTTTAGATCCAGCTTAGAGAGCAGTTGCAGGTAGTGATGGCAATGTGGCGGGGCGGGGCGGGGGCGGGTCGACCCATTCTTACGTGTTGTTCAAAAAAATACAAGTAAATTTTACTTTTTACAATAAATCGTAGGGAAAAACACTTTAAGAATGAAAAATATTGATAATAGAATGGATAATTGAGCCTAACAAGTTGAAAGATCGACTCTAACTAGTTGAAGAAAAGTCAAAATAGGAGAAATATGTATAGATATTGTACGAAATTGAGATAAATGAGTCTAGAACGGGTCGGGGCAGGGCGGGACAGAAGTAGATACCCATGCCCCGCCCCACGCTACCGCGGGTCGGGTAATACCCGCCCCATCGCGGGTCAGGTCAGGTAATACCCCCGGGGCGGGTTGAAATTGCCATCACTAGTTGCAGGATTCATCCATGAGAATATGAACGGGTCCTTTGAATGTATAAATCAGCGGTGAAAAAACGAGACAATTTAATCAATTTTCTAATTTTACAAAATGAATCATTTAGAACGATTCAATTCAAATTGTCTGTTATATTCCAAACAATTGTAATTATCTCAAAACGAGTCAATTTGAAATTTTTCGGACAAAAATGCTTCATCTAAATATTGTGTTGTCAAACGGGTCAACTTGACCATATTCTCTCATAACTAACAGACCATTTGGTACCAAATGAATCGAGACTTCATTTCATTGTAAAATGAATTACCATGTAGAATTCATTGTCAAATGAAATATTGTGTTTGGTGGGTCATATTCAAATCTTTAGAATTAAATGAATTGCCATGCAAAATTCGTTGTCAAATGAATTCATGTGTTTGGTATATCATATGTATAAGTAATTTAGTTAATAAAAAGGATAATCATATCATTCTATTATAATTTAGTCTATTATAATTTAGTTAATAAAAATGGATAATCACATTGCCTTGCTTACAACAAGTTACAAACTAACTAAAATCCCAAAAGTTCCAACTAATCACCTTCGAAAGTTCCCCAATCTCACCCCACCTTACTACTCAAACAAACGCAGAATGGAACAAGAACCCCTAAACTTGGCCATGGCATCATCTTCAATCATCAAGGCAGATCACCTCCTCCATAGACGGGAAGCCTTTCTTTAGCACTCTAGAGATGGAAACTTGGAACACAACATCGACCTCACATGATAACATCTCAAACAAGCAAACATCCCCAAGTTTGAGCTCATTCTCTTTGTAAAACTTACTAAATCCTTTACCGGAAAGGCACGGTCCTTTAGCAGAGTATCTGATCACGACGACATCCCACTTTGCGTCATTGCCTCCCCTCGCAAGCTTCAGCCTCACAGATTCAGCATTCTCCATCTGCTGGTGCTCGTTAACAAACGCAAGCGGTGGAATCTGCGCCATTGCCAAGCACGATTTCATTACAATAATGACACAACAAAAAAAAACCCAACACTATAATAATCAGAGTAGGAGCGCTCCTTTTTACCAGCCGAGGTTGCGGCTTCCTGTTGTGCCTCTGTATCATTACAAGGAAAGACGGTTCGTTGCCACGCTTCATCGCAATGGCTTCTTCCACTGCCCTCTGGATTTCAATCGACAATTTGGGTAGTTTCTTGGAAAGCTTTGAGTTAACGAAGATCCGCCTCCGTTTCAGTTCCTTCACCAGCGTTTCACCCAACTCTCCATCCCCTGCTTCGTCATCCTCCTCTTCCGCCTCTTCCTCCTCGTCGCCATCTGCAGAGTCGAATGGAACATGAAATTGGAAGGACTAGTAAGAAATCTAGCTGCTTATTTCTCCTTTGAATAAAAAAAATCTTCCGTTACCGGAATCAGAAGGTTTGCTCAAGTTACGGGAAGTAATGGCATTGTTGCTGTTCTTAATCTTCTTGCGTGGCTGAACAGAGTCGGATTGGGGATTTTGCTTGGGTGAGGGATTTGGAGGCGGCGATTCCAGAATTTGAACAGAGGAGTCGTCTTCTTCTTCGACGTCATTGTCAAATCCGCCAGATGGGTAATCGATTTCGCAGGTGGTGAGGTCAAAGATCTGAACTTTGAAGCTGGACGGCCCCGTATGCTCGAATGCTAGGAACCAGTACTCCTTAACAGAGTTCTGTTCGACGAAAAGGGACCAGCCATCGTCGAACCAAAATTGGTCCTCTTCGGGTCCTTTGACGACGCCCACGTCCCAGTTACGACCGTTGGGCAAGGAAAGTCGAGCCCTTTCCGCCAGCTTCCCGCCGTGCAGTCTGGCGAATTTCACAGGCAGTTTCTGAAATCAACAAGTTAGGGAATGTGTACGATTTCTGGGACGTTTGGGTAAAGAAACAAGAAAGGGGGGAGAAGGGTTGTTAGTTTGTTTACCAGCTTCTTCTCTTGGATTGCGTGTGGAAGCATTACTCTGAAGAAAGCCATGAGATGCAGGAGGAAGGGTCGCCGACGATCGGGATTCCGGCTGCAATGCTCTGCTTTTCTTCTTCTTCTTCTACAGTACTTTTGAGGGGGAACTGAACGGTCAATGAGTGGATGTGAAGTGTGAAGTGTGAAGTGTGAAGTGCGAAGATTGAGTGAAGACTAAAGAGAGAGAGAGTGGGGAGAAGGTCTAATCAAATCTCGGCTTGTTGGTGTCATTGCAGAGTGTGACAATTCAAAGGGTCATCAGACTATTGATTGGGTGTTGGGAAAAGGAATGGTTATTGAACATTTGAACTCCTGCAAGCATGGGATGCCCAGCACAAGCCTCCAATCCATGAGTCACGGTTGAATGAGGATAAATTCATACTCATCCATTAATTTTTTTTAGAAGACAAACACGTCTTAGTGTTAGTGTTGTGGTATATGATCCACGATTGAACCTCTCTTAACAACTTGAGCTATTGGGATCAACTGGTTCTTGACATGATATCAAAGCCTTCTGTGACCAAGAGGTCTTGTGTTCGATTCCCGGTTGCCCTCATTTGTTAAGCACATGGTATTCTTGTTTTCAGACTTGTGCAAACTTCCAGCCCTTGTGAGTGGCTTTCGTTTGAGAGGGCGTGTTAGTGTTGTGGTATATGATCCACGATTGAACCTCTCCCAACAACTCGAGTTATTGGGATCAGCTGGTTCATGACACTTAGCTCGTATTAACGATTAAACGCTACAACTTTCAGCTTCGCTCTAGTGATTGAGCAAGTACCAAGGTTGATGGAGAATGCTTTATGACATCTCCCTGTGTGGTCTCTGATCGGCCCTCCGCTGCCACCTTAACCCCTAGTGATCATTGAACCATCCGTACTTATTTTCACTCATCCTTCTCGTGGTGGTGTCTATCCCAACCTGCAAGGCTCCTTCGTCCTTTGTTGGACCGTATAAAATTTCTTGTCGAACAGATGAGCATTCCTCACAATGTTGAAGAAGGTCAGGATCTTGTGGATCAGGCTTTGTTCACTGTATAGCCTGCCCTCCATAACTTACTCGTTCCTCTGCTTCCATATATGTCAAAGTCCACACCTCTATCTCCATCTTTTAGCGGTGTTCATATTGTTACCATGGTAATTACCAAATCAAAAAAGTCTAAATTCTATTAATCATGGGATACAATATCATAACCAAACCGTCCAAACTAATACAACAACCAAATTAGCCAAACTAAAGTTTAACCGGTTTGGTTATTGGTTGACCAAAATAACCAATATACAATTACCTTATCATTAAGTGGATTTTTTTCCAGTCAGTGCATCAATTTGTTATTTATATAATGAATAACACATAACAATCAACATAAAAGTATAGTTAACCCTTAATATAAATACATGCAACAAATACAATTATCTTACATTTGACTTTTGAGTGGTTATGCAAAGTATTAAGTATGTGTACATAATATTTTTATATATGTATATATATATAAGATCCATCAACAAAACCCACAAATATTATGAACTTATCCTCACAGAAACTGGATCAGTCACCTTTTCCCACAAATTTGATCCTTCAGACAAAACACTCAATACCCACTCAACCTGCAAAATCCACCAAATTATCCACCCTCGCCAATGGCCTACTAGCCCAAACACCAACCAAAAATTTCCTGCTATTATTGCTCTTAACCACTCGCAAATCTGCAAATCCTTCAATTTAGAGTTATTATTAGTTGAGAGATGGGTACCCCATGGTTAGATCCTAGCTGAATCCTTTGTGAGAGAGTTGTAAGACCGTCTTTGGCCGTTAACCTATCTCACCTGTAAGTTAGATCCAGCCTTTGTTTACCTTTCTTTCCTCTAGTCATGAGTTCGATTTTTAGACCTTCCTCTTCTTCCTCTAATTCTGACATCACCGGGAACCGTGTGATCAACCAAGAAGAAATTATTTTTGAAACTGTTAGTAAAGAAATTGATAATTGGCAAATTCCTAGGATTACCCAAAAGGAAATTTATGAGCAAAGCAAATTTAACTTCCTCAATAAAATGGATTATACCATCAAAACCGAAGAAAGAGATATTCATCTTTTCAATGATTATGAAACTATCAAACTTTTGTCTCAAAATTCTATTCAACAACACAAAAAGAAGTACAACTATATCCATATTGGGTTAGTTTAAGTAGGGATTAAGCCTCTATCCAAAAAAGGCCTTAATACTGTTATTTTAATGGTTTTACGAGATTTTCGGTTTCTTGAGTTTAACGACTCTTTACTTGGAACTGTTGAATCAAGTCTTTGTAATGGCCCAATTTACTTCAATTGTTTTCCAAACTTTACTGTCTCTCTTCATGACAATAATATTTTTGATGTTTTACCCTACAAATAAAAACTTTCAACTATAAAATCCAACAATGATCTTTACCTATCTCTTTGGTTTACCGCTTACACTATAAAGCTATGAAATCTGCTTTCTCTTCTAAAGCTCTTCAATATGGTACAAAAGGAGAAACTATACTTTGGCAAACTGATTTAACTCGTACTAACACTGTTACTCCCAAAACTATCAAATGGGGAGAAGTTACTCTTCCTACAGAATGGACCCTTGAAGGAGCTACCATTCTCAGAAGCATCGACCATCGTCAGGTTAATCAAATTACTCAAGATCTTGATGGTATTGTTAACATCTCTTTTGCTAGGAACTCCATCTCTAGCATTTCTGATATAGACCCTGAATTGATAGACGATGCTCGACAGCGCATCAATACTTTTCTTAGAAGCCAATCTTGTAGAAATCTTTCTCCCATACCTACACCCACTCGACATACCTCCTATACACTCAACTATGATCTACGAGGAATCAACAACTCCAACAACATACCTCAGCCAGTTTATACTCCACCACCTCCCACAACTCTTTTTCCAAATATAAATACCTCGAGAACACAAAATATGTCTCCTATTGCCTCACAAGCTGCACTTCCTGAAGAAGAAATCCCTTCTGCTCTTGATGTCATTACACACGAGTTCAAAATCAACAAAGAATTTATTCGCCATGATTTCTATTCCCAACGAAATGTGAGGTTTTATAAAGGGAACACATGTGAGGTTTTATAAAGTAAAACATAGCAGGGGGTTATAAGTAGAATGGAACACATGTGAGGTTTTATAAAGGTGCAAAGAAGAAAAAAAATGGTGGTGGTAGTCTCTTAGTTGTCTATGGCGACGTTCTTTCAATTTCTACATGTTTGCAATGCCATTTGTTTGTTTCCTTAGCATGAATTTTTGCCTAATTGAATCCCTAACTAAAACTTGATTTTGGCCTGATCGTTTTCTTGACAACAACTATTTGGTTGATGCATCAACCGTGTTCATGAATGAAGATTTTACAAGTTACAATGAGTTGAGGTCTATTGAAGTATGCCGTTTTTACAATTCATCTATGTTGTTATTAGGTAAAAAAATACACCATTGTTTTTTAAGGGGGTATGTAGCTCTCTACAAATATAAACCGTGTTTATATGCAATTTAGTTTGTAATATTGTTTTAATAAATTAGTGACAGCTAATAGTTCTATTTTTGGTTGGTTTTGCTAGAACATTTTAAAGATAAATTAAATGAATAAGCAGAAGATTGATGATGTGGATGCTAATGTGTTTTCTCATTCTTCTAAAATTGCACAAGTAACTAATAGTGCACGATGTTCGTGGGATTTAGAGCGTGATAGTATGTATTATCATTCCAACATACGAGAAGGGAGAAGAATTTTTTTTTGACAAAAGAAGGGAGAAGAAATGAAATGCTCTTTGCTTATTTTTTTTTATTTATTAATTGAAACATATTTGCTTACTTCATTTTTTAAACTTCTTTGTCACTATTGTGTGCTAAAACATTGATAATATCTTATGTTTATATTCTAAATTGTGGGTTCGATACTAACTTATAAATAAATAACAAAAGGTCTACTGAGAGCTCATTTAATAAAATCAAATTTTCATAAATAAACAAAAAATATAAAAGTGTGTAAAATACCTAAAATCAAGTAAGTGAGATTAACAATTCAATGTATAATAGTTTAACATACATAAATTAAAAATAAAATAAAATAAAAAATAAAATAACAATAATAATGCACCGCCCAACGGGCCGATAAAAAGCTAGTTGCATTTATGCTAAATCCGACTTGATGCTCCGGAAATTCTTCGAGACCAACTTCAACCAGATAGGCTCAAATTCTCCATACTTTATTGATGTCTATTTTTACCCAAACATTTTTTTTAGATTCTTTTATATTATCCAAACCTATTAATATTATATTAATTAGGCAAATCTTTCATAATGCATAAAAATATTAGCAATTTTTACGTTATCGTAAATAAATTTGTAACTCTTTTCTTAGTTAAAATTGTTTGAGCCAAGATACCCTGGTCTCACCAAACAAGATCTTATTGTGCCAATTCGCAACTCAGGCGCCTAGACCCTGCAAGGACAAACGCCTAATGGCCAAAGGGACCTGTTAGCACTCCAACGCTCAAGTCAATGCAAGTTCTAGAGAGATAAGTGTCAAGCGAAATTTTAGTGAGAGAAGCCAACCTGCTTAAATGCCACCTACCGAACACTATTTATACTCGCCGAGGCTCCGACCAGACTCCTAAAATTCAGCCTCTCCATCAACACGTCATTAAATACTTGGCATGGCCCAACCGGTGGGCGCCTGTACGTGGCACTCCTTGTATAGTATAAGGTAGTTTGCCAAACAAAAAGGATTAAAATCGGAGAGGTATGGGCTTTTAGCCCATAACTTGCGCCTACTATCTGGGCCCATACCGATAACTATGAGGAACAGGACTTCGATGGGGGAGGGGAAGCGGAATAAATTCTCTGTTTCAAAAGGCGCCTGGACTAGCTGGTCTCCTTCCCCGAACTCGTACTGCGTAGCTGCCAAGCGAGTGAAAGGGAAGCTTTGGTACCCAGTAACAAGGAAAAAGCACTCACATCCACCAACAATGGCGGAACCGAAAGTAAAATACGATCGCCAACTCAGGTACCTTCGTATTCCACTACTTGTTTCACGGCTTCCCAGCTGAGCTTTGTTTTTATCCGACTACCTCTGCTTGCTCTCTCTTGCCCTAGAGCTCCGTTTCATCTCGCTCTGAAACATCGTTTGCTTTAACGCACCGATGAGTTATTTGATTGGTTGGGTAGTTTGAAATTTTTTGTAAAGGGTTGGGAGGTTTTTCTAGCTAATGGGTATCTAATTGTAAAGGATGAGGAAGACTGCCGAAAATTCAATTATGGGTTAATTTGTAGCTCGCAGTTATGAAGAGTTCCAATATGAAGGTAGAGACCCCCCCACCCACAAGAAGTACTTCGCCAGTTCTTGCCGTTGTTTATGCAATAATACCATCAGGAATTAGTGGAAAGAAAGAAAATCAGAGAATTACCTTGTGCGGGATAACCATCATTAATCAGGGGGTTGATTGGGATCATCCATGCTGCTAATAACTGCTTACTAGTTTGTGGACAATTTTAAGCTTGTTAAAACTACATGCTGGTTCAGGGAGCATTCGAAATGTTTAAGCTTTTTTCGTTTTGCGTTATCATCCTAAAGCTGCTGTTTTTTTTTTGCTATTTTAAGGATATGGGGGGAACAAGGACAGGCCGCCTTGGAGAAATCCAGCATATGCCTTCTTAATTGTGGTCCTACGGGCTCAGAGACATTGAAGAACCTTGTTCTCGGTGGAGTTGGATCAATCACAGTTGTTGATGGATCCAAAGTGGAATTTGGTGACCTTGGGAACAATTTCATGGGTAAGTTCCTAATTCGAAATTTGATTTCACAATTTGTCATGGGGTTTCTGAGAGCTTACTGAATTGTTTTATTCTGATATTGGTAGTTGATGAATCGAGTGTTGGACAATCGAAGGCGAAAACTGTGTGTGCGTTCCTTCAAGAACTAAATGATGCAGTAAAAGCTAAGTTCATAGAAGAGTGCCCAGAGGCTCTGATTGAGACAAATCCCTCATTCTTTTCTCAGTTCACCTTGGTAGTAGCCACACAGGTACGTAAGGTTTCTTTAGCTTGTGAAGCAATCTAAGCTTACAAACTTTGCTTGTGGCTTTCTGAGACAATCCTGGTTCAGGTTATGATTAATTTTGCCATGTGCTTTTCTGTGGACAGTTGCCATGATTTTAGATCCATGCTGCCAATTCTTGCTTTTCACACGTTCATCCATCTGCTCTACTTTTCCCTGGGCTGAAATGCTCTTTCTCCTTTACATCTGATTTATCTCATTGTCCTCCCCTCCTTGCATCCATCTGTTAATACACTGTCACATGTATAATTCTTGATTGACTTTCCGTTCCCCTTGTTTTATCGAGAATACCAAGGTTATCAGGAAGTTGATTTCATGGACATCATGCTATTTCTTTGTCTGCTCTTACGCCAATTCCTTGACATTGTATGGCAGCTCGCTGAGGACTCAATGATTAAGCTGGATAGAATCTGTAGGGAGGCAAATGTTATGTTGCTATTTGCGCGTTCTTATGGACTTGCAGGGTTTGTTAGAATCAGTGTGAAGGTAATTCTTCTTGACATTTACTCTTCCCTCATCCATTCTTATGTCATAAATCATATTTGCAAGTTGAAGAAAATATGAAATTAGAAGTAAGTTTTGAAGACCATATTTAGAGAAATTTATGATGTGATTGATTTTGCATATTTATACACATCCAAGGGGTGCTTAAAAACTTTTTGTTATTTTGGCAGGAACATGTGGTCATTGAGTCAAAGCCTGATCATTTTCTTGACGACCTTAGGTTGAATAACCCGTGGCCTGAGCTTAAGAGGTATCTCCCAGATGCATTTTTGTCCTGTATTGGGTTATAAAATCTGTAGTTTCATTTCTGAACCATGACTATAGCTGCGATTAAGTATGTGCTCTGACATGGTGTAATTACACTAGTTTCGCAGAAACCATTGAGTTGAATGCGGCAGATCCTGTTGCCCACAAGCACACGCCTTATGTTGTCATTCTTGTGAAGATGGCTGAGGAATGGGCCAAAGCTCATGATGGTAATCTTCCGTCAACAAGGGATGAGAAAAAGGAATTCAAGGTAGAAACTCCACTTGAACGTGTTATTTCATTTTTTTTTATTGTGCTTTTGCTGTCTAGTTATGCTTCTAGTCATCTTAATGCTGCATCAGGAGCTTCTTAAAGCCAAGATGATGTCAATGGATGAGGATAACTACAAAGAAGCTGTCGATGCCTCGTTCAAAGTGTTTGCTCCTCGAGGAATTAGTAAGTGAAGTTGATATTCAGGTTCAAAAGTCTAGAACAATTCTCTCGTGAAAATTATTATGGACTCCAGTGGTTTATTAGTTATCAAATGAATGAATTTGTTCCCTTATCATATGTTGGTGTCTTCCAGTTCCATTAAATTGGAGACTAATCACTTTGCATCCTGTGTTATTGGGTTTTTTAGATGCAGAATTGCGGCAGATTATTAATGATGGCTGCGCTGAAGTTGATTCTAGTTCATCTGACTTTTGGGTGATGGTGGCTGCACTAAAGGTGCGGATCTCTTGTTTGATATTGTTCATTAATATGACTAGTTAATGCACACTTCTGTTGTACAATACGAGGTTTTTGTTCTTTTCTTTTCGTGTTTTATCTTTAAAATAATTGATATTTTAATTTTGGGGTTTAAATTTTGCGTCGGAACTATTTCCTTATTGGATAGATAAAGCCTTTGGGACTTCTTAATAAGAAAAGGTTTTTTTCTAGCGTAAACAAGAACTTCGTATGTGGTAATTGACCATAGTTCTGCTTTTCTAAAGTGAAAAACTCTTCATGTTTTTTGTCTTAATTGTGTATCCTCTATAATAGTTGTGAATAAAATGTGGGTGTTCCAATAGAACTTGGAAATCCAATTTCCGGTCAAGCGGCTTATCTGCATTACCTTGGGTGCCAAGTACGATCATCTTTGGGATTCTTTCTTTTCTCAGATATACATATTTGTTTATTTTAACTGGGGAAATCATCTTGCTTTCTTTGGCATTACTTTTTATATATCAAACTTCCAGGACTTCATTGTACACGAAGGTGCGGGAGAGGCTCCTCTCGAGGGCTCAATACCTGATATGACGTCTTCAACCGAGTTAGTTCCATAATATTGTTTCAGTTTCCAGACTCTTTTCAGACTGAACAAATGTGGCTGATGTTTTGTGAAGTCTGATCATTCTCGATTTGTTTTCTACCAGGCTTTATGTAAACTTGCAGAAGATCTACCAAGCGAAAGCCGAGGCAGATTTTCTTGTTATTGAGGAAAAGGTGAGAAGTATTCTTAAGAAAACCGGTAAAGATCCACATAGCATCCCGAAGTCAGTGATAAAAAGCTTCTGCAAAAATGCTAGGAAACTGAAGGTAAGTTGGTTTTTCGGACTACTTCATTGCAAAAGTCCATCCTTTCCACGCTTGCTTAGTTTCTAGTAGATGCGGCTATTACCATTTATCATTGTGATTTGAGGTTTTAATTTATATATTTGTAGGTTTGCCGGTATCGATTAGTTGAGGACGAGTTTAGCAACCCTTCTTTGTCAGAGTTGCAGAGGTACCTTAGCAGTCCTGACTACAGGTGAGATCACTAAGAAAGCTGAAAGCTAACAAATGACTAATGAGTTCATAAGTCCATTGAGTTTAGAGATGAGACTTCTTACCTAATGCAAATAATTCATCATCAGCTTCTCCAGTTGCTAACATCTTAACTCTATGTTGCCTGCATAATTTTGTTTCCAGTTTTGCTGCGGGGTTTTACATCTTGCTTCGAGCAGCTGATCGCTTTGCTGCAAACTACAAAGTCATTCCTGGTCATTTTGAAGGGTAAGACATGTCTGCTTGACTTTGTTTAAACAATTCCTTGCTTGCTTAACAAACAGAAAAAAAGTTTTAAAGTAATTTTGTATCAGCTCTCTGATGCCTTCTTGTAGGGAAATCGACGAGGACATTGCTAGGTTGAAATCCACAGCAGTGGCCCTACTCAACGACTTGGGTTGCAGTGGCTCACCCTTGAACGATGACCTTGTTAGCGAAATGTGGCGGTACGCAGCTTCAGAGCTCCACACTGTTGCTGCTTTTGTTGGCGGTGTTGCGTCGCAAGAAGTGATCAAGGTTTGTTCCTCTTCTTCTTGCTCCTTCAGCATTACGATGCTGTGATGGATTCTGAACTGGGTCTTTCTCGATCTTGTCTGATCTCTCTCCCTCTCTGCCACTTTAGCTAATAACAAAGCAGTTCGTTCCCATGTCTGGCACATTCATATTCAACGGTATTGATCACAAATCTCAATTGCTGTCCTTGTGAAGAAGTCCTTCCTCCAACGTAGAAGGTGGGTAACATGGCAACTTCTTTCTTGAATCCTAATTTTGCCAGCTACCTCATAATGAATGTTTAGTTACATTCTCATTCTTCATAATGTACTCTGCAGATCCCAGTCACTGTTTTGGTTAGAAGTCGAATACAGTAGCCATGCGAAGCTTGCAGACTCTGCTGCTCCATCAAAAAAATCCGTTCAACTGTAGGGTGCACCAAATCATTAGCTGGAGATCGGTCACTTACGCATTCCATTTAGAAATGATTGATGTAAAATCTATAGCCTGAGAATGTTAGAACATGGTAGGATGAGAGTTGTACTAGAGGATTTGTTTTTTCACGTTTTATTTTCGCTTCTGCATGTGGGGTAGTAAAGTTTGGTTCTTGCTGGAATATCTCGTCTGGTTCTAGATCTGGGAATTTCACTTGTTGTTGTGGCAGTCCGGTTTTACTCCTGCAATTCTTGGTTTCTAGTAATTAGCAAATGCAACCGTCTGGGTGATGGCAACGGAAAGCACTTCAGTGATAAGACTAAATGATAAAACTAAAGGAAAACACTTTATGAATGAAAATAGTGATGAAAAGAGTGATAATAGAATAGGCAATTGAGTCTAATTGTTGAAAAAAAATATTAAAATATTTATCAAAATATGAGAAATATAAATAAATATGTAATAAAATTGAGATAGAATGAGCCAAGAACGAGTTAGGGTGAAACATGATGAGTCGAAAGTAGATACTTATGCTACCCACCTAACACGGATCAGATTGGATAATACCCGACGGGTTCAAATTGCCATCGTAACCCATTTCCATGCCCAAGAACGGTTTGATACAAAATAGAAAATACATTTATTCGATACAAAATAGAAAATACATTTAGGAATTTCCCATACAACAGATCGGCTTAGTGATGGCAATTTCAACCCGCCTCGTGGGTATTACCCCACCTGACCTGCGATGGGGCGGGTATTGCCCGACCCGTAGTAGCGTGGGGCGGGGCATGAGTATCTACTTTCGACCCGCCCTGCCCCGCCCCGCCCCGTTCTAGACTCATTTTATATCAATTTCTTACAATTTGTTATGCTCAATTATCCATTCTATTATCAAAAATTTTCATTCTTAAAGTGTTTTTCCTACGTTTTATTGTAAAAAATAAAATTTACTTGTATTTTTTTGAACAACATATAAGAGTGGATCGACCCGCCCCACCCCGTACCCGCACGGATTTTATCCGCCTCGACCCGTAATAGCGTGGGACATGGGAATTGAGTTACCCGCCCCATTGCCATCATTCGGCTCCATTGTATTTCAAGGTGGGCGAGTACATGAGCAGCCTGATTGGCTTGTCTGGGAGAAGTAGCCCAACTGATAGATTGCGTTCCTCCTTGAACCCTCGCTGCTGCTAGAATTCATCTTCCTTCACTCCCATCTCTGTTCGATCTATCTCATTCCTTCGCAGTTTTGAGATGACGCTTTCACAGTCCCCTTCAATTAACAACGGCATGTAGCCTCTTTTCTCTGCTTCTAAGATTCCGGCATACACAGCCCTCGTCTCTGCCTCCTCCGGTCTACACAATCCCTTCTCCCATCGCGTAAACCCAAACACAGAAGGAGCCATTCCAGTCTCTAATCACCCCTCCCAGACCAATTCCATATTTCCAATTTGGGTAAACTTAGAATTGTGAGAGAGATTAGGAAAACCATGGCAGCTCGCAAGAGAGCTTCAGCACCCGCGGCGGCCACTGCCGATGCTGCTGCCACTGTTTCCAACGGCGACAAGGCCGAGCAAAAACCCAAGGAAGCTTCAGATCCGCCGATCGCACCACCGAAATTGGGGGTTATCTTGAAGCTCTCCCTCTTGCTTTTAGCGCCCTACTTCTATTTCTTCTTCTACCACTACGAGATCCAGCAGGAGCTACAAAAATCCATCCTCATCAATGCCGCGCTTAGCCTTGCGGGCTTCTTTCTGACGGTCAAGATGATACCTGTGGCCTCTAGATACGTGCTGAGGAGGAATCTGTTTGGTTATGATATCAACAAGAAGGGCACTCGTCAAGGGACGGTCAAAGTGTACGTCCTAATCCGTTTTCTTACCCAATTGTTCTTGACTGTTTGAGCTTGTGTTTCGATGTTGGATTTCTTCTTTATTCTTGTTGTCTTTGGTTGGACATGTTTCATTTTCTGTATTGATCACAGTTTTGGAGGTAGATTGGCAAACTTTTGGGAAATGGGGGGCCTTTGTTGAAACTTCCATTGTTGTTGAATTCTGAAGTCGATTGCCTTCTCGTATGCCTTATACTCCCTTCTCCAAGTTTTGATTTTGCAATGCTGTATGCTATTTGTGGTCCTTCTTTCTGTGGGATTCTTCTTTCGTGGCTCTTCCACTTGATTGTGCGGGCTGAGCAAGTCCACATGATCTTTGTATATTAGACATTTCCCTGCTGCTTAAGCAGCTGCTATCTTTTCCTGGGAATTTTACCATGTGCTTCTGTTGCTTCATGGTACTGTTCTTCTACTTCTTCTTTTTTCTAAACAACTTGTTGCTCATCTTACAGGCCGGAGTCATTGGGTATTGTTGTTGGGATAGTCTTCTTGGTGTTGGCAATCATATTTCAATATTTTAACTTCACTGCAGATTCCATTGTAAGTATGTAGCATTTTACTGTTACAATGTATGCTCTCTCTCTCTCTCTCTCTTGTGTGTTTCTTTAGTTTCTCCTCTTTTGTAAGTCCTTTCCTTATAAGCCTACAAGATCACAGAATGCTACAGCTGGAGGAGTTTTCTTTTCTAATATTTTCCTCTGGAACCATGACCATGACCTCGATCCCTTGTTAGTTCTTACATACCATTTGATGAACTTACTTGTATTTCTTCGTATCCTCTAGTTATTAGCTAACTAGTCAATAATCTTGTTCACTGCGCTTTTATCGTATCCACTGACAAGGTTGCTTCTCAAATTTTGATTTGCTCATAATTGCAGTGGCTTGTGGAATACAATGCTGCATTAGCATGCATATGCTTCATGACACTGCTAGGATTTGTTGATGATGTCCTTGATATCCCCTGGAGAGTGTGAGTATCTTTTGTCGATTTAGTTTACATCTTCTTATGTTCCACGTATTCTTCAATCAACTTTATGAATTTACTATCCGTTTCCCTGGAACCTTAAGATCCGCATTCCTAAATTTAATCCTTAATTGTTTTTCTGTCAATTTCTTTGTTTGGGTGACACTGTAATCCAAATCAGGAATATATTGTTATCTCTCTCAGTTTATATTTTGGCTGTTTTCATTTTGAACTGTTCTTTGGAATCCTTATGGAATGTTTGTCAACTTTTGAGTGTAGGAAATTGCTCTTACCATCATTTGCTGCACTCCCCTTGCTAATGGCATATGCTGGACATACAACTATTCTCATACCAAAGCCTTTGACTCAATATGTTGGAGTCGATGTGTTGGACCTAGGTGTGTTTTCTATTCAATGATTATTACAGTTTCGTGTGCTTGATTGACTCCTTTGTACTCTGCTTTCTTTCTGATGAATATTATGAGATGCTCTTGTAAATGACAATGATGCTTTAATTACACTAATTTGTAAGAAGATAAACTAGCTCACTAAGCCTTCGATATCAACTGGGATTCTGGGAAGATGCTGATGGAAGTTACTACCATGTATACCCCCGATTGTCCTAATTTGAAAACTTTCTAAAGAGTTGTTCAAAAACTGTTGCCACCTCAAAACATATGTGAATAGTGGTTAACTCACTTTTAGGCTCTTCGGTCGATGCTATTTTTATTTAATTCAGATTAATTTTGACCATTAGAGAACAGTGTTGCAAAACATGAGTCACTTGTACATAATGACATTATGGCCAATGGTGTAGAAGCCATCTTTGAGAAGTGGGTGGAAAATCATGGAAAGGAGGCTTAATGCTAAAATGGCTAAACTTCCTTTTTTGTCATTCCCATGATAAACAAATGACCCTGCCTATTTGTTTGATTAAGTCTACTAGCAACTTTTTTTAGGTGCTTTTGTTCTGGTTAAACCGAGTAGAACAACCTCTATAATTCCTTTCATATTTTGTTTCTGTCTTCAATCATTCTTGAATTGTTATAACAGTCTGTGGCACTCATGGTTGGTTTGAGAGAGTGGAGTGTTTCCTTGGTGATGTCATGTACTTCCCTAGGTTAAATGTTTGTTGGCATTTTTGCAGTAGTAGGATCTGTTAGGTTTTAGCATACATTTCACAATTTTCTTAATCTGACTAATATGCCATATATTTACAATGTCTTAGCTTACATCTTTCTGTTTCATCATGAGTCATACTCTCATGTAGTTTCTCGTTGTTACTAAACAGGCTGGATATATAAGTTATATATGGGGCTTCTGGTTGTTTTCTGCACAAATTCTATCAATATCCATGCGGGTATAAATGGACTTGAAGTTGGACAAACAGTTGTGATTGCATCTGCTGTAAGCACAAACCTATTAAAGTACTTGGCTTGCAACAGTTTTAAGAGTTCTAACTGTTTTTAGTGTGTCTTAGATTTTGGTACACAACATCATGCAAATCGGAGCATCAATTGATCCCGAGAAGCAACAGGCCCATGCCTTCTCAATTTATCTTGTTCAACCATTGCTCGCAACCTCCTTGGCCTTACTCTCGTACAATTGGTATGTACACTTGACTTAATGTTTCTTGGTTTGTTGCTGCCTCCCTTCATTTTATAAACTGCAACATAAATGTTTCATTCTTTATTATAGGTACCCTTCTTCTGTTTTCGTTGGGGACACCTACACTTACTTTGCCGGGATGACAATGGCTGTTGTTGGGATTTTAGGTCATTTCAGGTATGCTGATTTTCCGATTCTGACATGTCAATTCAACTTTCTTTTGGCAATTTCATACTGAAGTTAGCTCAGCAATAACAATCTGAATACTGTACATATAAGTGTGGGTGTTGGTTTGTGTGCTTGCTTATCATTCTGGCTATTGCTAAATGAGAATATGTGGCTATTGCTTCTTCTCATGGATGTCATCCTTTATTTCAACCCATATCATAAACTGTCTTTACATAGTGCAATAATATATTCCTTTTACTTTTCAGTGAAACGCTGCTGATTTTCTTTCTGCCTCAAGTGATAAACTTTCTGTTATCACTCCCTCAGGTTTGATACTAAATATTTCTCACTTTGTAAATTCTACCCCCCCCCCCCCACAAATGCTGACAGTACCTTTTCTGTTCACTCAGCTAGCTGGTATTGTTCATTGTCCACGTCATCGTCTTCCTAGGTGATATTTTTACTCATGTTGCTTTAATTGAGAATGTGCTATGACTTCTACAATCCTGTAACAAAAGCATCTCACACATGTATGGTTGTATGTCAACTTTCAGGTTTGATCCCGACACAGGATTACTAACTGGAACAAAGGATGGAACGGTGGTTAATGTTTACTTGAGATTTTTCGGCAAGAAGAAGGAAAACTCACTATGCATTCATCTTCTTCTCGTTCAGGTGATTTATACTCTGCTCTGGTTATAACTTTCATGTGTGAAGGGTTTTTCTTTGTTGCTATGTTTCGGGTAGGTTTGCTGATATGTTTTCTCCTGTTTGCATGCAACAGGCTGTTGGTTGCGGCTTTTGTTTCTTTTTGAGGTACTTGCTCACTGGCTGGTACAAATGAGGCTTTGCTGAAAGGATCTCTCCGAGTCTTTTAGCTTATTGGTTACCAGTTAGCCAGTTCAGTTGTACGATTTTAATTTATACATGCACTTGTACCTGTGCCGTGCTTTGCTAGTTACATAGGAACTAGGAAATGACTGAGTGTTTCACAGGACCACCATGGAGTTTAAAGTTTTGTTTCTTCATATTCATGGAGGGAGAGGATCTTGATGTTGCTAACATTACATATAGAAGATAACGTAGTATTGCTTGTTCAGTTCCATCTCATATTTTTGCCTATACTCTCTTGCTTCGTGAACAACTTGTTGATATCTCAAGCGAAAGATTATTAACAGGATCTTCGTTCATGCCATGAACGAACAAAGTAAAGCATGAAGAAACAGAGAGTTACGGAGGAAAGAGGAAGAAGTGGCCTGTGTTACGAGCTTTTTCTTCTCCATGACACTGTCGCATTATGCTGAAGAATACCAATATACAATGCTGGATCCGTCTGGAAAGGAGGACATCTGCTGCCGTTTAGACCGGCTCTTTTGGTTCTTCTTCCATGCATCTTCCCATGGAGGCGGCAGAGTTTTACTTCGTCCAAACTTTAGTTTGTTAAGTTCTCCAATACCCACCAAGTTTGAGGCTTTCGTTGAAGGGAACAAAAATTGTCTATCAACTGTTTGAGCTCCACAGTCAAGCAAAAAAGGTCATATAAAGCAGGGATTCGAGTTTGACAGCCATCACTGGCTGTTGAAGTTAGATTACACAATGCTGCTATTCGAGCAATGTTTCGGCCGATCCAATCCAGGGCAACCGCTCAAGCTCAATCCACCACAGTGAACAGAGGAGCACACTGAAAGTTCGACCCATTACCAGACCTTCCATCACAGTTGCTCCGTCAGTTGGTAGCAGGCAACCTCATCAAACCTATATCACTTGGGCCATAAAATGGGAATTCATTTTCAACAAAAAAAATCATTGCTTTCTTGTGTGCCTGGCTACAAAATGGTTGATCATCCAGTAAAAAGAAAGAAAAGGAAAAAAGAAGCAGCAAATAGTACCCTCTGTTCTTCTCCTAATATAGGCTCTACCCTAAACCCTCTTCAACAACATGCTAATGGAACATCTCATACTGGTGCTAATGATATCATCTCTTCCTCTTCTTCTACTCCAGGTAAAGCCCTAAATATCGAGACTCTCATCACACGATCCTCAGAACTTATCAGGTGAAAGAGGCAAACATCCCCTATCCCCAAATTGTTATCACTTGCAAAGTCTGTCCATCCAACTGCCATAAGCAGCCCCGCCCCCGAACAGGCTCTCAATGTTGTCCCAAGCTTCCACTTGTTAACCCCTCCTCTCCCTTTGAACACCTCGAGCGTAATGCTTTTACATTCTCCACGAATATGGTCTGTCATGAACGAAGCTGGTATTGTCTGCCACCGTGGATCACAAAATAGTGACACAAACAAGTGAATAAAACATCAAAAGTTTAATGTAATGAATTAATGTGTTTAGGACTATGGCCAGATAATAACGCTCAGTTGCTCACGAATGGTCTGGCAGCTCTGTTGACGCCGACTGAATGCACCACAGCAAGGAAACTAGGATGTTTCAGCTTCAATTTCATAGCTTCTTGTATCCCATTCTTGCAGCTTTTGTACAAGCTGGGTGATAGAAGGGGCAACTTTTTACTTGTATGAATACCCTTTGCTGCTAAACAGCTCCGCAGCTTCTCTGGATCACCTGTAGTGGTGGTAGATGGAGAATGTAGAACAATCAACCAGAGAGAGCAAATGCATATCGATAAAGACACGTTTTACAGTGATGCATAATTTACCAGTTTCGAGAGTCTCACTTGCAACTTGAGAATCAGGACTCGAAGTAATTTCAATCACCTGAGTTCTCCTCCTTTTCGGTCCGTTTGTCCTCCTCGCCTTTGGAGTTTGACTGGTAGCAATGTGACCGCTATCACCACCATCCTCACCTTTACCAGGAAAAGGCTTCGAATTCTCAAGATCATACTGGTCTTCACTACCACCATCACCATCATCAACTCCAGCCTTGTTGGCAGGCTCACAGTCACAGTGTTTCACCCGTTTCTGCCTCTTGCTACGTGGGGCATTGACACAATGTCCACCAGAATCATAGCGGATTGAGCAAGTGCTCTGGTCGAAAATCTCGACCTCGAATGCAGATGATCCCACGTACTTAAACACCATGAGATAACCCGAGTTGATTGAATTACAGCTTGCAAATGAATCCCAGCCATCACTAAACCAAATCTCGTCCGCTGCTGTTTTCGCCAAGCCCACGTTCCATATGAAGCCGTTTGGTAACGAAAGCCTAGCCATTGACGATAGTTCATCGCCGTACCCACGCACGAATTTCGCTGGCAGCTTCTGCAAATCAGTCAAAAACATTATCCCGTCGCTCAACTAACACTTAGGACCTATGAAAATACCCAATTTGACACAGAACGTCTGTCCGAATTTAGGGTTCCTAGTCAAAATACACAGCGGACGAACGGCACTCAGCAGCAAAATTCGATTGAATCAGAGTGCCATTGCAACAGGGTTTTTGTTTTTACGGGGATTTGAAGAGTGTAATGTGTAGGAAACTTACCAGCTTCTTTTCACGAACGACACTGGGAAGCATCACTCTGAAGAAAACACGATGAACCCCGCCGCTGTGCTGTGAAGTTCCACTACAACCTCCTCCGTCGGCCATCGCTCAGCTGGATTCCGGCGAGAAATGACGGACGGCACCGGAACGCGCGGCTTGATTTTCTTACTAATTACTAACCGCTCACTGGAAGTAAAAGTTAAAACGTTTTCTTCTTGCTGGAAATAAACAGAAATGAAGAGATAATAAAAAAAATCCGTAAACCCTAATTATTAGCCAACCATTTTATACAATTTTTTTATTAGTTAAACCTATTAATTACTAATAATTGGTCAAATGTTAATTTTTATTTAGCAATTTTGTTAATAGTATTGACTTGACAACATTATACTGACTTGGAAGAGACACATGAATGTCAACATTCCAAAATGACTGATATTCTCATGTGTTACAAAAGTTTTGGCTAATTATTAGTAATTTAATAGTTTTGGCTAATAAAAAGGAATGACAAAAAGGTTTCGGTAATAATTAGCATTTATCCTAAAAAATCATCCAAGTGATTTACTTAATTACTTCAGTATCAGACAAGATTGTCAACCTGCTGGTTAACCTGTCGGGTGACTTTTTTGGCCTTGACCCGGTGACAAAAACGAGCCGCACACACCCGCCAGGTCAATCTACTACAAGGTTATCAGGTTGGAGGTCACAAGTGTATGTGAATTCTCTTTACCTGGCAATATTTTTGGAATTCTAAATTGAATATTTGAATATTAATGTTAATTGTTACACAAGTGTATGTGAGTTCTCACTATATGTTGGATCCAAGTACGCTATGTTATTTTGGTGTAATGTTATATGCTATTACTCATATGTTATATGAGATTTTATACAATCTATAAATGTATGATCAATATAATGATTTTTCACATATCCATAGCAAAGTGATCGGACCATTAAACCTCAACTCACTCACTCGATTTGACTAACCGGCTAAATCAGATTGACAACCTTAATAGCGTAAGTAAATATAAATAAATAATATCGAACCACGGTGCAATGCATTGTGGGCTCACTCACGAAGCATGGCTTAAGACAAGCCCAACACAGATATAAAAGCCCAAAGACAATGGGATATTTTGTTATAGGCCAATACTACGGTGCCGCCATTTTAATGGCGACACCGGTGCCGCGGATTGTGATTGGTCTACATAGACGATGACATGGCACAGATGGAATGTATTAAACCACGTATCAATCTCGATAACTAACTAACCATGAACCGACCGAAAATGCTATCGGTCAGAGAATTGACGATTTCACAGTTTCCGTCTTCCATCTCCGAAACTGGCAATCTGTTTATCAATTTAATAAGTTGTTCCTTCAACCATTAATCAATACTAGGATATAGCCCGCGCTCTGCTGCGGGATACTATTTCTGTCATAATTTAAATGAGATTCAATATAATCTATTACCATAATTGTTATGTCCCAAACATAGACATAAATGTTGTAATCTATGACCATTATGTAAAAGAGTGACAGATTTTGCAGAATAACATGAATGTAGTTAGGAGTGTTGCCAAGTCTCCATGACATAGCCACTAAAGTAATAAAAGTTCCATGGCGGTGACTGAAGATTTGCAAAACAGCAGAACTAAATGTTTACAGAAGTTTTGTGCCTTTGTTCATTGCACGATATCAAAATGGTAACCTTTGAAAGACAACATCATTTCTCGAATGCCGATCGGTCCCAGAGGGTGAGCACTGTCGCTTTTGCCTGCATGTCTGAATCTGTTTCCCCTACTTTTTTCCATGCGACATTCAACTCCGCAGCATATTTTTTGTTACAGTTCTTTGCGATCAATTCGATGATTTCGTCCTTCTTCAAAAACTGATAATCAGATGGTGACTTACGAATAAGTGACAAAGCTGCTTCATGCTTAAACACCACATCTATTTCAGATCCTCCTTGGCGACATTTCCCTTCCAGTTTGTATGTCAATCTTGCAAAAAAGTTTTTTTTGTTAGATTAGACAAGGGGTATCATTATGACTTGTGTAAACATGGGAGAATGGTTAGAAGCTCACCCTGTGTTCTCTCCACGAACTTTGCAGATGCTTTTTCTGTATATAAACTTTGGGATGTTAATCAATGTCATGTAAGTAACCTGTTGCAAAAAATGTCAGATGTATTATACAGGTAAACAGATGGATATGAACATCTGTTGTCAATTTTGGTGTTTGTTCGTTTACCTCTGTGAAATCTGACAGGCCCTCCATCCTTTCTTTTATCTCTCTCAGCGATTTCTTTTGCAGTTGATTGCTTAGCAGATGTCCAGTTTTTTTGCAAGTAGTATCATCGATGAAATATACAGGTTTGCGACATGCAAGAAAGCTACACGTTGAAAATAAATGTGTAAGTACACTAACTCGATAGGAGTTGAACTAATCAGTTGGGTAAACAAATACACAGTAACTCACATGTTCATGACATCCTTGCAACAGTCCTGATAAGAATGGATGATGAGCTTGCTTGCAATTGTGGATTGAAATTCATGCTGATACTTGCTGTTATGTCTAGGGGATACTCTACTAACTGATCTTATTGTCACAATCAGTGGTAACTTTGACTCAATTGCTGGAGCATTCTTTTGAAAATCATCAATGTCATGGCCACTGTATTCAACATAAGCCTTTGCCCCACTGATTGTAAACCAATGCGTTAACTACACGTTTTGACAAAGTAAAAAAAAGTGTACAATCTTAAGTGCATACCAGACATCTTGTATGAGCAGGTCTAATTTCTGAATCCTTCCTTGAATTCTTTCTGGATGAGTTAGTCTTCTAACACATCCTGTAACATCTGTAGATTTAATGTTTGTTATGCTTTGTTTAATGGTCTTTTTAATCAAGTATAGAGAGACATATATTTACCTGAATGGCAGACAAAGTCCTCTGATAGTTGAGGCACAATGGAAAAATCGGCTGCTGTGTATGATCCTGGTGGGAATTGTTGGGGTCCATTTCCTTCTTCAATGTGTCTCCTAATTTGATCTGAAGTGAGGAGCAGGCGTAACTCTCGATGGACAACGCGTGGCATTGACCTTGCTGGACCTGCTACAATATCTTGTAGTTCATGCAGGCAACCAACTTTTATTTTCTGAAAAACCTCAATTGCATCTTCTTCTTCAACTTGTGCTTCGATCAATTTGTTCTGTAAAGTCAATGGTAGATAAATATGTTGCAAAGAGTTCTTGTTCTTTTAGCATTTGTCAGTAGGTCAATTGATGTCCAATGTTTGTATATTGGCAAGTTCTTTGTCCTAACACTGAATCAAATGCACTGACGAATATTTATGAATATGGTTTGGGTATCTGGAGTCAAACCTTTTTGTCAAGCCAGAGCATGTGATGTGTCCTTTTCTTCCATGTTGATAAAGGCACTTCTCGGAACTCAGTCCATGTAACGACATGTCTTGCAATAATTGTTCGATTGTTTGTTCCCAAACGCAGTCCCCGAAAGCACATGCTTGATTCAATAGACTCTGCAATCCGATTAAAGAAGAATCGATAAATAATTAATGGGTAAAACTTGCATAGGAATCGAGAAGTTCTTGTCGGATTTCTTTCCAGATTCAATGTATTTACCTTTCAATTCGTTCGGGTCCATTTTGTGTGGGTCCACGGAATCTCACGTTTCAGTCGTACTACACAACTGTAAATCTGTTGGGTAGAAGAATGCTTCCAGTTCTTCGAGATCCTGGTTTCCCTTTTTTGTCTTAATCTTGACTGCGCGGTTGATTTTAGAAGGCATCAAAAACAATCGGTAGTTTATGTAAGCTAGGATTAACTTAGGGTAAGTCCTTTTTGGGGAAAAAATCCCAAGTTACACATCTTTTTAAAAAAAAATCTCAAAATACACACGTTATGAAAATAATTCCCAATCTACGTTAGTTTGGGCCATCACCGCTGTCGACGAAGACAGTGATTGCATCACTGTTGTCGACGAAGACAGTGATTGCATCACCGCTTTCGACGAAGACAGTGATTGCATCACCGCTGTCGACGAAGACAGTGATTGCATCACTGCAGTACACGGCCGCGGTGAAGGCCTGACCTGCGTCGAAACTTGAAACAAACGTAACTTTGTGCTCGGTTATCCGATCGTAGCAAAATTTTTTTTGATTCCGCATAATTTTTCGAGATCTTGCAAGTCGCAAATGGCCATAGGAGGTTTGGTCCCGCCTTCGTCTCGAAAATATGTCGTTTGCTACCCCGAACGAGCCTTTTTTTCGATTTCGTCAAACTTTGAATGACCATAACTTTGTGCTCCACAATCCGAAAATCATGAATTTTTTTTTGATTTCGCATAAATTTTTAAGGACTAAAATATTTAGTAGGAGAGAATTTTCAAAAAATGAATTATTTATGGATATAAGGGGTTTTGGGAATAACTTTACCTTCCTTTTCAGGAATCCAAGTACATTCCGAAAATATGTCTATGATAAAAATTGTAGTCCTTAAAATGTTATGCGAAATAAAAAAAAATCATGATTTTCGGATTGTGGAGCACAAAGTTATGGTCATTCAAAGTTTGACGAAATCGAAAAAAGGCTCGTTCGGGGTAGCAAACGACATATTTTCGAGACGAAGGCGGGACCAAACCGCCTATGGCCATTTGTGGCTTGCAAGATCTCGAAAAATTATGCGGAATAAAAAAAAATTGCTACGATCGGATAACCGAGCACAAAGTTACGTTTGTTTAAAGTTTCGATGCAGGTCAGGCCTTCACCGCGGCCGTGTACTGCAGTGATGCAATCACTGTCTTCGTCGACAGCGGTGATGCAATCACTGTCTTCGTCGACAACAGTGATGCAATCACTGTCTTCGTCGACAACAGTGATGCAATCACTGTCTTCGTCGACAGCGGTGATGGCTCAAACTAACGTAGATTGGGAATTATTTTCATAACGTGTGTATTTTGAGAATTTTTTTTAAAAACATGTGTAACTTGGGATTTTTTCCCCTTTTTGGATCGATTGTTTGGGCCTTGACATCGTGTTTGGGCTCTGTATGGTATGCAATGGGTTCTAACTATTGAATCAGGCCTTTTTACAGAAAAGCCTACAATATGTTCCCGTGATGAATGTCGTCAAGTTGTATCAGTTGGGCTCATCGATTTTCTTTATAAGTTCTCTCTGGATATTCTGAATCGATGTTAACTGATTATAACTCATGACTGCTTTCAAGCTTTGAGTTTCGAAATAATAAACATCAAACTTGTCTCTTGTTAAGAACAACGCAAGAACTGGAAGAACAAATTTCCCCAGGCGTAAAATTCAAAAAGTTGGGAGAGTTAATAATAATCACTTCGAGCTTCTTCGATGATATCAAAATTAACCAGGTGCAATATCTGTGAAGGCTTCTGAATATACAATGTTTCTTGTGTAATTTGCTGGAATGTCCTCTTCATTTTCAATCAAGAATCTCAAACCATTTGCAGATCTTACTCTTGATGCTGCCACGTAAAGCTGTCCATGACTGAATACTGGTTTGGGCAAATAGACTCCAACCTTGTCCAGAGTCTGACCCTGGCTCTTATTTATAGTCATCCCATAACATAACCGTACCGGGAATTGCCTCCTCTTCAGTATAAAGGGCCAGCGTTTGTCTTCTACGTTGAGTACTATTCGTGGTATAACAACCTCTTTCGTGTCAAAAGATCCTCCCATGA